TATCCTTCAGTGACAGAGAAAAAGATCCGGTTTCATGTTATAATACCGTCACCTAGCGAAACTTTCCCTCAACATCAAAACGTAGGAAGAGAAATGAAGAGTGTTTTGGTGTAAAGATAGGTCTCATTGGACAAGGATTTTAAAATTTTCAGTGGTTTAAAATTGTCATTGTCGCTAGAAGGACATCACATGTATTTATTTCAAAACTTTCTGTGGGCTCTCGTTTTTTTTGTGTGATGACGTCATTAAAATTGGAAATTTCGCACTTGGTTCTGCTTTGGCGATCTGGTGGCCACTGGCCAGTCGAAGTCCGAAAGACTATGGTACCGGTACTGTAAAAGATTTGGATTTCCTTGTTACTTCGTTTTTGCCTACGTAGGCGCATTGTTCTCTTGTTTAGAAAGATTCAACTTATTGAAAACTACTAATGTCAAGTATACCAATGATATAACAGTACGTGTACTCACTCTACGCACCAGTTTCGCCCAAACCCGCAGCAACAAGTGGGTTCAAGTGTAACATATCTGCCGACACTGCTCCTGGTTTTGTGGTGCTGACTGCGGTGGGCCAACCAGTTTATTCTGTGTTATAATCAGGATATTAATCAAGACAACTTTCGGAAGAGACACTAACGCCTTGAGCCCTTTCTTAACATAATGATAAAGACCCTGTCACAAAATATATACATAAAATCTACTGCCGAGGTATTATTAATTTTATAGTATTTTCTTATATGTTTCATTTACGTCGATGATTATCAAATGGGCTATTCCAAGTGACACTACAGGACAATTCCAGAAATTTTGCATGTTGTTGGATGCAATATATTTTCACATTTTCAGCTACATGTTTAGTACATTGTCCAATCAGTTGCCTATTGAATATGTAAAAAATTGCACAAAAGTTACACCTAGGACTTACTTAGTAGATAAAAAAAATATAGTAAAATATAGCGTGACACTACAGGACGGCAAATCCACCATGCACTAACAGTGCGTTGTGTTGTGCTGTAAATTTATGCGATGGTACAGTAGGAGCCCATAATATTTTCTGGTGCAGTAGCTGAACTACCTCTCTATGTGTTGCTCAAGTTACTTAATGTAACACTGTAAATCCATGCCAATAATGTACATATTGTATGTGACACTACAGGACATTTTTTCCCTTCGAAATAGCGGCCTCTATCATCTCTTAAAATTCTGGTAATAAATCGTTAAATGGGTGAAGAAATGTCCTACAGCACTGCAAACATTTAAACTTTAATAACTTAAATCCAGTGCGTCAATTCCAAAGGAAATAACTGTACCACACAATCAAACACTTTTTGTCACGAATCATCACAAAATATGTCAATTATACCAAAATTTCTACATTTCAGGCCATTTTTTAAAAACCATCAAAAACCTGGGTGAAATTTCAAATTGTTCGATGAAATGAATGCAGTCCAATAAAATTCCAATGTCTTTTGATATCAAAAATAAAAAAAAATTACTTTCACTGCACTTTTTAAAAAATTGATGGAATTCAACTTTTGCTTGGAATGGCCCAAATGCAGAGATTTGTGGAATGTATAAGAGAAGGATTCAGAGTACGGTCGGAGAGTAGCACTTAAAATTTAATAATTTTGATTTGATGCTAAATAGGCGTCGAAAGTACAATTTGAACCCCGAAATATTTGTCAGAGTCGACCGCGTGATGAAAAAGAAATCACCAGGTAGCGCTGTTCAACTAGAAAGAATGAGGAAGAAGAAGACATGGCTTCAACGCGACACCTGGTGGAATGTGAAATATCTTGCTTAAATATTTTCGTAAGATATATGATGTGCAGTTTTTTGGAAGTGGAACTGTGAATGGTTTTGGCACATTCTTATTGTTGTTATAGTTGTTGTTAACACAAAAGCTGCATTTAGCATTCACTACTGAGTCAATCGATTCAAAATTTTAGATAGATACAAATAGAAGTTTTTTTTCTAATTGTTCTCTATGTTTCCTTTCCCCAGTGAAATGTGTATTCAGTATTATTCGTTTTAATATTGCATGTTAATTTTTTTTAATGGATGGAAAAAATAAACTTGACTATGACTATGACTTTTGCTGTACCTCTAGGCTCATTTGCAAACATAATTATTTTTGATTTTGATAATAGCTTTTTTAGTTGATCATCAAGATTTCGTTTATTTATATATCAAAATTGAGACCGGATACAGCCCCTCGTTGTGAATTGTAACAACCTAAACTAAAAATTTATAAATTTGGTTATGCATTTGAATGTGAAAGCATTTGTAACAAGAGAGTGTTACAAACCTTTTTATGTTTTGTACAGAATTGAAAATTGTGGTTTCTGTGAGATTTTATCTTTTACATTTTTCGTGGCATAAGACTGTCTAACTTGAAAATCAATGAAATAAGCGCATATTTACTGGTTAGCAACATTTCAGAAATATTAGAACAAACGTCGTAAACAGGAAACCTTTTGGTCAAAACAAAAATAACGTAATAAAACGGTCAATCCTAATTTATTTTATCGATTTTCTCAGTCCCTTAACACCATCGACATTTTTATTATTATTTGATCAGTCGAAAGGTCTCCCATTTTGGTTAAAAACATCAGTAAGGTTAAAGCAGGATCTCAGTTAGTATTTAAAATTTTATCGAAATTCATTTTACCATGATTACAAGACATTCACATGTGCAAACACCGCTTCTTACAGTGTGCTTTTCTCATTGTGAGTGTAACAAATAATGTTACAGGGTTACATGGTATCTGGAAGAGATTGGATTCGCTTGAAATTCAAATACCGCTCTCGCCCCAAGGCTGATTTGCCTAAAAATGGAAATCGTTTGAAATTTTAAATTCAAAGAAGCGCGGGATATGCGTTTGCAAAAAATAAGACAATATGTTACTAATGATGGTCGTGCAGCATAGTTAGCCTGAATTTTGAAATCATTAAACTGGATTGTAATGAAAGACTAGTCATTTCAATTTTTTTTAAGAGAATTGTGTAATACGACGTATGGAGGAGAGTGAGTTGGCATAGAATAGTGAGTTGCCCATCGGCATCATAGCACGGCTCTGATTCAAAGAAGTTGTAAAGGGAACGAACTCGTGCGAAGATATGCGTGCTAATTTCCGAACACTATATTGTAAGATTAATGCAGTGTAATAAATGCAAGTATTGTAGTACAAATAAGAACTTGGCCAGTAAAGGCTATGCACGCAATTTATAAGAGTGAAAGTTAGTTGCACAAATCATATGGAACCGTGTATATCTCATATAGTATGGAATAAGGATAATTATGTATTTACGCAATGTTTAGTGACGCATGTTAATATAGACAGATACATTCGAATTCTATCGCGCGGTTGATATTAATTACTCGCAGAAATTTGCGGTTTACACACAATCTACAAACAAATGTTAGTTATGTGCCAAAGATAAAAGGTTCAAATATAGTATGTCTGAAATTAGACTGTATTCCAAGCAAAGAAACAGTAATAGATAAATGTGCATTGTTTGGATTTGTTTCATAAGGATTTTCGATACCAAGATATAATCTAACATATGCTCTTTTTGAAAAAATTCTGAATCATTTTCCACTCTTGGTACATTATGCCCTTATGGCACGCAGTACTAACTCATTTGACCTGTTGATTTTTTTTATCGATGTCTTGATCTATAAGCTGTTATTATTGTATGCAAAAAAAACATATCCAATGTACATATCGCAGCCGTTGTGAGGGATTACTGAGTCTATTTCAAGCCTATTTTGGATATAATATACCAATCAGATGTTAAAACTGTCAAATTTCTATACATGTTAACAATTCAATGCAGAAGAACTTTCCAGATATTCGAGACCATAGTTTCACACTACATCACTTTTTTGATCTGACACCGTTATCGATTTTTACTGTAAAACGAGCAAAGTCATATCGGCCCCAATCTATAATAAAATTTATAGCAAGCAGCAAGGTGTATAATATCAAATCAGTCTCTCGACAATCGCTTAACACTCTTTAAATTGGCCCGGAGCATTAATTTTGAATTTTGGCGCGAAAAAATGTTGTTTAAAAATGAAATGTGTTCCGTGAATTCGAATATAGAGCTTGTTTACGGGTTTCTATGTGGTAGAGCACGTCACAATTAACCAATAAATAAAACTGTTAGTAAGATAGTGATTTTGCAGTAAGGATAAAAAGAGTTTTTTATTTGGAAAAACTATCCAAAACCAAGTTCTAATGGAAATAAAATACTTTGTTGATAACCCTTGGTCTTATTAAGCAAGTACAGTACGGCTAATGCTTGATTGATGCTATTTACTACGCGTACATAGCTAATATGACCTTGACTAAAATGTATTGTAATTTACACATTTTATTTGATAGTGTGACAGCACGTTCATTGCCCGGGGTCATCTCAAGTTGATGCGGTTTATTTACTAAATGACATAGATTAGTACCCTATTTATGTACGTTTACGATAGTATCACGTGTTTTATGACGTTTTTTCAGAAACTTAAGATTACAGTTTTGAAATTTGTTAAACCGCTCTACTTTATACAACATATATAACGAGATTTTTTTCTGGCGCCTTTTTTTCAAATCTTTCGAGTATTTATGGACAAAACAAGCTTATCACGTCTTATTTTTATGCTCTTGTCACCGTGAGTGCAAATGTAATGAACAGTAGAAAAATGATGAAGAGTGTTTATTAGAATTACTGAAAAGGAATTGCGCTAAATGCAAGATTAGAATACTAACTGTCCATGAAAAATGTCCAAACCCCGGACTATAAAGAGTAATAACATATACTTTATTATACTGTATTTCTCTTTTGCAAACAGGATCAATCTGCTTTCCCCTTTGTGTAGATACCCCCTCACTCCACCTAAAAACTAAGATACATCAGTGAATTTTTCGGCCATGAGTAGGTATATTCTTTTGGCACGATGAAAGCCAAAAAGATGACATGATTTTAACATGATTACTAGCATTATTAATTTGTTTCTTCTATCAATAGCCGATAGCCATAAATATAACTAGTTGCTGATAACTTTTAATGCAAAGAATGACGATAATGAAACAAAGTGTAATGTTTGTATTTGGATGTTTGATTATTATACTAATAGGTAAGATAAACTTTATAATCACGAATGCAGTGAATGCTAACTAGAAATATCTGATGTTCTTGCCTTCCTAAATGTCGACGTAAAATAAACTTACGAAGAAAAAATACGTTTAAAACATCATCTTTGAATTTCTAAATATTCATCTGTAGGAGAAGCGGCGGCTGGAAGGAGTGGCATGAGTAGTTGGCGTCCTCCATCTCCACCTTGGATCCATTTAGCAGAAAATTTACCTGAAAACAGACCTCCAAGACCACCGCATGCACCTGGGCATTTGAGAGGACGGGATGTGAATTTAGAATACGATGGGCAATTATCTCGTAGGGAAAGAATTGGTGATAAGGACAAACGAGAACAACATTTTTGCATCACAGATTCGAGGTCCATACCCCCACACAAAATGTGCGATGGAAAATTTGATTGCAGGGATTTATCGGATGAATATCTGTGCCCCGCTGAGACAGTCACAACTTGGACGGATTATATCAAATATTCAATGCAACTCTTCACCATATGAGCGAGTTGTTTATTTCAAGAAATATGATCGGATTATATGGAACTCGCTCAAGTCTTATATCAAACACAGGGAAGAGAAGGGAAAGTGCGTTAGACTTCATTCAACGATCTTGCATTTCTTCTCTCGATCGCACGATTGTCGCAAATGGCAAAAAGGCCGCCGCTTGTACTTACTGTAACGAAGGCGAAATACTGTGTTTCACTGGAGTTTTCCAGTAATGGAACAATGAAATGTGTATCTAAAAATCAAGTTTGTGATGGAATTCAGCAATGTCCCGACAATCAAGATGAAATATTTTGTGATATAATGCGGGAACGACCAACAGTACAATTTTAGCTTTGAATAGAACTTATTGGACACGTTTAGTGGCCATAACGATCGTTTCAAAATTTTGTTGTTATTGTTATTTTCTTTCGTCATTATCAATAAAAATCGCTTTTCTCTTCGAATACTGGACCAATTGCTTTGGAATTTTCAGTGGTTCAAGATTGATTTTTTGCCAAAAGGCTATTACTTTCATTTATTCCTGAATTTTCTATGAATCTTATGAGATCTATTATTTCATCCAAAATTGCGCTGTATTAATTTTTAATTATGGGAACACGGTTTTTAATCCGCCAAGCGTGACGGCTGACTGTGAAAATTCTTGCGACTGAAAACCCGGAATTTTTTGAGGGTACGGTACCGGTAACGTCAAAGGTAAACCCTGCTTCGCTCGAGTCCACGTGTCCATATATTTGAGCGTTGCTCTCTTGTTTATTTATAATTATAACATTGCACACGAATGTCCACTGCGTGTCTAATAAGAAGCGTCTACATAAACGTCTCATCGTGGCAAGCTTTTAACAAGAACTAGGAGTCAAGAGTGTGCCCTTAAAATTTAATGCGGCGATTGTTCGTAGGCGGAAATTAAAGCGGTCGCAAGCTATACCGAAAAAGTGTATATTTGACCGCTAGTACATAAAGCTTACCAACCACTGCTGTAAATTAAAAAGAAATGCCTTTAAAGAATATTTTCCGGAATTACTTCGATTGTGTAAAGAACTTTCATCGGCTCCATCATTTTGTATGTAGAATACCATCAGCACTCGATCTACTAGTGAAGGTTGCATACATTTGTGATTCTCTCGTTCAACCACGCATGCAAGAAAATATCATTACACATTATATATCATACACAATACCGCATCAATGCAATAGTGATGCATTAAATTATATTAAACAATATCGCGAAATAACCCTAACAATATCGGTTTGACAAGAATTTTATATATTACTCACATGTTTAAAATACCACCATATTGTACTATTTTATTTCAGCCAATTGCACCAAAAACTCTAATCTCAACAGATTCATCAGAAATAGGAATCGGAATAATTCCAAGCGCATGAAGAAAATCAGGGAAAGACATAACGCCACAATCAGCTGCATGACTTTAGCCAACGTAAATTCAGTGAACAATGTTCGCAAAAAAGAATGGGGACGCACTGGATCACCACACGGCGGATATTCCTTTTCAAGACAGTCGGCGACCCGCATGCAATTATTGTCTGAGGTCTTACTTCAAACAAAGACGTTAAATAACGCTACTGATAACCAAAAAAATATTACTCTTTCCCAAGTGTGCGATGGAATTATTGACTGTGACTCAGCCTACGACGAGCTCATATGCCCAGGCCGCTTTTACTGCGAGTCCGGTACCCCATTATACGTGAACAGTAGTCAAAGAGGTGATGAGGTAGCTGATTGTGTTGACGGAAGTGACGAGTGGGAAGATCGTCCAGAAATAATGACGTCATCAAAAGATAAGATGATTAAAGACTGGTATATACTATTCTCCATGTGGGTCGTTGGAATAGTAGCTGTTTTGGGTAACTCCGTAGTTATCATAAATACAAGCCTCAGTCTTACAAGGATGCAAAACACACGGTCGTCAAGTGCAGTGCTTCAGTTATTATCATCTGTCACAGGGGTTATTTTGTCAGATAGTGGCATAAAACGTGAAGCTAATTTGAAGAGAGATGATAAAGGTAATATAAATCAACGCAGAACAGGCAAATCAGTCGGCTGGGGACGAAAGAAAACCATCAAATTATGGAACAGTGTTTTAGTTCTTAATCTCGCAGCTGCGGATTTTTTGATGGGTATATATCTGGTGACATTGGCAGGAATTTCTATGACGCAGTCAACTGATTACTGGAATTTCGATAAAAAGTGGAGAACCAGTGGTCCGTGTCAAGCTCTCGGCGTGATAGTTATGCTTTCTAGTCAGACGTCTGTACTGTCTCTAATCAGTCTCACTACACTACGACTTTACTCTGTGGCAAGGCCTTTTGGTATAAGGATACTGAAAAAATCAAATTACTTAATCTGCATTTGCGCTGCTACATGGATTGTGTCTTTCGCAACCGCCGTGCTTCCAATTTTACCTGGACTTCGAGATCACTACACTACTAAAGCATGGGTGCCATTCCCACACGCCAGGCCCCCGGTAATTAATCAGACCGTCGCCAGCAACCTCATTCTTGCATTGATCGACGTTTCAGAGAACACAACCATTGGAGCTAACTTACTGAAAGGTGAGCACTTGAGTTGGAGAGAAATGGTGGATCTGACTAAACAGGCTGCACCTATGTATTCCGACTGGCGATTTTTTGGTTTTTATAGTGTTCATAGTGTATGCATACCCAAGCTGTATGTCACAATCGGTGATGTAGCATGGCAACACACAGCAACATTTTTGATAGTAAATTTTGTTGGTGTGGTTTATATTAGTATCGCCTACTTGTTCATCTACATTTTGTCCAACAAAAGTCGGGCTGTCGTATTTGAGAAAGCCCCCACTCGTTTAGATGAATCAGTAGATGGCTCGAAGAACTGTAGTCCGAACGCTTCAATAAAAAGCGTACAAGAAGGTGGTAAAGGTAAATTATGGATTTTTTGGGACTGTTTCACATGCCACAAACGGCGTCAATCTAATTTCGCTCCAACAACACCGTTTAATGATCGAAAGAACGTCAAGAAGATGACTCAAAGAACGTCAAGGATACAATTTCGCATTGCACTGCTGATAGCCACAGACTGTGTGTGCTGGATTCCCATATGTATAATGGGATTTTTGAAATTGGCAGGCCATGATATACCATACGTAGCATACACAATTTCAGCAGTTGGCCTTTTACCGGTTAACAGCGCTCTTAATCCTTTACTTTATTCTAGTTTTCTTAATGATTTTCGTATAAGATTTTATAATACTTTAAAAAAGAAGGTCGTTACTGTGCACGTCGATAAATGACCGTTTTATGTTAAAAATTATATATTTAAATAAATCAATATCACATTCGGTAAGCAATATTTGTATGAATACTTTGGCACAAATGATTTACTAAAATACATATGACTATACATATAGAGTTTATGATTTCGAAAGTATAGAGAGAACATAATTTTTATATTCGTCCAATAATACCGTATATGAGCATTCGCCGGACCTGCGCTGTTGATTTTGTGTGCAACAGTCCGGACAACTGTGATACGCTTGTAGGTCTTATTTTCAGGGTAGGTTTTATTTATGATACCCAATGGAAAATTCAATTTCCGCGCTAAAACTACCTTCGAAAACTTTGAAACCCGTATCTAATGAATCAATCGATTTCGAATTTTCAGTGTTTAGGAAGTAGTTTACAAAAGTCCATTACTTCTGTATATTTTGAATGTTTCTGCGAGATACGAAATTTGGCGCAATTTCATTTTAATTCATGAGAACACTGTAGTTATTACGCCAAGCGTGACGCTCTTGCTCAGTTGATTCGTCGTTCTACTGGAGAAATCGCCGTTAATCAAGAACGTTGGTCAAAAGCGGACGGAGTCTTATTCTTACTCATTTTAGGTAAGTGAATTTAATTTTTGATAAGTATAAATTAGTTATACCATACCAAGTTAAATTTAAACCTTTTCCACGCGTCCACATCTCTTGAAATACCGGTACGGCACATTGACATGATAGGTAGGTTTGTTTTAGAAGGAAATTGAGTCTAAAATGCCAAGGATGTATTGCTTGGAATCAGGGATCTTGTACAACGCCTCCACCACTAATTTAAGATATTAAAAAACACTCCAGCCACGTATTTAAATAACAAATTACTAACTATCCAGTTGGGGTTAGGAATGATTTAAAAATTAAAATTTCCAGCGCAATCTGCATTCCAAACCCTAACTAGATAATTACTACTTTTAAGGGGTTGGCGAGAGTGTGTTTTTTTTCGGGGGCTTTGTACAAAAGATACGGAACCAGGTGCGGTACAACCCTGATTGATGATATGTAGCTTGTATTCACGAAATTTTCGATATACCATCATAACCTACACCGGTATCTGCACATAGCCCTACATCTCGAACTTTAATGCCGGTATCGGCACAGCACTGTAATGAAATGATATTGATATGATGGAATTGTTCTTGTTTTTGATAAAAAAAATACGGACCCAATTCACCCATTTAATTCACAAAATTCAATCATACTGGTACTCGAAGTCTGTTATATTGACATCCTTCCAGTTATTCAATGGACTGGTTTTGATGGACATGTAACCAGAAAATAGGCTATCGTACCGCAGACAGTCATTGTACTTTGTATTCTTTTATTATGTTAGTCAGGGTTGGTTGATACGTGTGTGAAGTTTCAGGGGTGGCCAAAGTTTTTGGACCAGCGGCAAAAAAATTTGCCATCGAGATTGGCCGGCCATGTAAGTGTAACGTAACGCAATAGGTTACATTTTATGGACAATGTTTACAGTGTTGCAAAAGTGAATGCGGAAAACAATAAGCCTCGTGCCAAAACTAAATTTAATCTCAATCTCGACAAATTCCTTGGGCAATTTTTCAGCTCAAACTTTAAAATTTAGTTTTAGTTGGGTTGTGGCAGAATCAGGCGGGCCAGATTGAACAACCCAACGGATTTGGCACGCGGGCCCTAGTTTGCCCATGTCAGAGTTAAATCCACGGTTGCGAATTTTATATTCGACACCATATTGATTCGATAATTGCTGGCTGACTTTGATGACGATCAATACGTGAACCCGCTACGTTGCATGATTGTGCCATCTCACTGCTGTAGAGGTTATTTGTATTTTTGTTACTCTGTTTTGTGTGATCAATCCGTGCATTACCGCTGGATAGTTCTTTGCTGCGTCAACGAACTGTTAAGCGTGTCGTCTTTGCAGCGATTGGGATATCCAGGCATTGTTGCTGGGTTGGCGAGTATACTTAATCTTGAAACCGTGCCAATGCACGTCATTAACATGTCTCAACACTTTTAAATTCTCAACACTTTAAAATTGCAAAACATTTCACTTTATATTTTATATATATATATATAAAACCTAGTAAAATACAAGCAGCAATAAACGATGTACACAAAAAAAAATATATATATATATATCAACTGAAAGCAAACTGCACAGAAACAATGATGTTATTTCACTCATTTCATTCGGTGGTGTGTTGGATTATCGACTTCATACCGCAAGGAAACTATATTTCTAGAACATTGAAAATATTTACTAAAATTTAATAATCATTCCAGGTTTAAGATACTTTCTTTCATAGAGAGCGAAGAATTATACCAAAATATAAAATAGTAACCATTCGGGATAGCTTCAGGCACGTATACAAGTGGGAATATAAATATAATAATTCAACACTGATAACAACAACGCGATAGTTTTATCCGGATCATTGGAAACCGTTCGTAACTGCTATTTTCCTGCTGGTGTTTTAACTTCTGATATTCTATTCAAAGAACGCTTTGGTGATTTCGCTTGACCCTTTTTCCTGTTTCCACCTTTTGAAGATTTTTTATCTGACTGTCCTCCAGAGTCAGATTTTCGACGTGTAGATTTTGGTGATTTTCCTGACTTGACTTCCCCGCTCTTTGTTGAATTTTTTCCGTAATGACGAGGTTTTCTTCTCTTAGATGATGCCACACTTTCAGCAAAACTCTTCAGAGACATGGAGCCCGTGGCATCTGTAAATGTCTATAATCATTGACTATAAATGATGATGCACAAGAATACAAAAGGCGTTAAATAGCACCTAAAATGCTTTTAGCGCCATCATGCAGTTATTTGGAAGCAAAAACAAACCCACGGCAACAATATCTACCACACACGTTACACGCGCAGACCCACCTCATCGATTTAGGATTTTGTTTTACCAATCGACTTCCTCATTTCATTGGCAACAGAGCGGCGTCGATTCGATCGGCCGCGTTGAAAAGATTTTCTGCGACATTCGGTAAGTCGCCCTATACACACATAAATATCCATGCTAAGTTGCTTTCCATTGTATTTGGTCAAGTCATTTTGACAGGTCGTAAGTTTTCATTAGGGACCAGTACATGGGGTAAATTTAATGCGCCTCATAAATGAGTAACTAAACGTGGACCTTCAAACGGGGGGACCATGAGGCGGAAATAATTTATTATACTTCAACTTGCTTCAACGGCAATTTTCAATGGTATACATTAGACTCCTTTCAGTGTTCTTAATTTGTGAAAGATGAGTATAAAAACGTGTAGGATACTGGCAAACTCCATATTTTTCGAGGTCGATAAATTATTGAATGAATTTTAGAGAATGTGAAATTTTATTCAAGGGTTTGAAATGTTTTTTTTATGTCTACCTATAAACCCCTGAGGCGGTTCCTTACAATTAACAAGTTTGTGGATTTAGCACATGTGTACCATGTGTTTGAATACAACTAAAATGTAATATGCGAGATGTAGTTAGTTCACGTCCTCGTTTGCAAGGCTCAAGCAAACGCATCCTATGTATTATGCAAAATAAACAACCTCAATATAACATGCTTTACTATGTTATATCTTACCGGTACTCATATCGTCAGCTGATATGTATGAATCTGGTTCGAAGCTATTTTTTAAACACCACTCCATATCTTCGTCGTCGAAAGGTTCAGCTTCTCCGTTTAGCTCGGTGTTTGTTCGTCTGTCTTTATACTCTTCTTCCGCTCTAGAGAAAAAGACTAAATGCCAAACAAAGCAATTCCTTCTAACCTACCACTGAACGTAGATACCAGCCAATCAAAAGTGTTAATACGAGTAATAATATATACGATAGTCATAGGCGCATAAAACATCTGTTATTAAACTCTTTATGAAGACAGGAACAAATTTGGATGTGTTTAATACAGACCATATATAAACTTCAACTTACATGCGCAAGAATTCTACAGATTCTTTATGTCCATAAACTTCTGCTATTCTTCTTGGAGTGTCACCATATAAATCACGTACGAGTAATAATATATACGATAGTCATAGGCGCGTAAAACATCTGTTATTAAACTCTTTATGAAGACAGGAACAAATTTGGATGTGTTTAATACAGACCATATATAAACTTCAACTTACATGCGCAAAAATTCTACAGATTCTTTATGTCCATAAACTTCTGCTATTCTTCTTGGAGTGTCACCATATAAATCACGTCGATTCATCGGAGAATTCAAACTGTGTAGCGTTCTGAAAAATTCGAAACTCTTATAATTTTATGATCGCTGATGATTGAATCATTGTCTTATCAAATTCCTGTCTACCAATCAACCAAAATACAAATTGGTTTTGTTAATTACAATCAGCTGTTTTAGTCAACTATACAATTATTATTAATATAAAATATTTTGGGCATTCCAAAGGACCCAAATAATATACGACGTCACGTTGTAATTGTTGAAAAACTTTGAGCTTGCTATGGAAATAAAAAATGTTCGATGTTCCTAGGATCTATTTTTCGAGAGTACAAAAAATCTAAATACCTTAAGACGTGGGTTTTTCCACCTTCTGCTGCAAAGTGTGCTGCTGTCCATCCACAGTCTGACCTTAAACCTGGGTGTGCGCCTTTGTCAATAAGCCTTCTAACCATGTCTCCTTTTCCTAAAATATATTGTTATTGTTAAATAGCGGCATATAGTAATTGACCAGTTGCTTGGGTTGTTTTGAGTGTTTATTCTGCCAGGTCAGTGAGCAAAATGGGAGGAGTAAATTTAAATTTCTGAGAAAAATATTACGATAAACCACAATACAAATAAAACAATATTATGAAATTTTCATTCTTGTTCTTGTTCATTCTCTTCGTTTTCGAGGAATGATGTACAACAACAAAACGTTTTTATACCTTTCAGACTGCACCAGTGCAGCGGTGTTCTATCGCCCCAATCCGGATCCTTATAATTCAAAAATTCGTATCTTCCACTCTTAAGAATTTCATCCAATTTATCTACATCTCCACCTGCGCATATTTCGTGAAGTTCAGAAAATTTCATTCCCCTCGACTCTCGACCTGATTCCGGAGCCACGCTGGACGGCGACGATGGCATGTTCGATCTTCTTCTCTCAGACATGAATTGCGTAACCAAAAGTTACAGTCAAATGGTTCATTCAATCTTCTCTTAAAGCGGTGCATTTCAAATATTTAGAAAACATTACTTTAAAATAAAGGAGACTACATCTCTAAAAGCAAGATGGGATAACGACAATTTGAGTTGTCTGTCGCTTGAAATCTAATAACGAAATTGAAAAGCTTAAATCCACATCGTGTCATTATTATATCACCTTGATCGTCAGTTCTCTGCCCTCTGCCCTATATTATCGACAAGGTAATAGGGTAGGCTTCATTCCTGGATATGTTGGAGCTGACAAAAGTCGTCTACTGCACGACTGTTTTTCCCCACTCAAACCACTTTTGGTATACCTAATACCAAAACGAGATGTGGTTGTATTGTTGGACATGAAGGACCAGGCGTAAGTTTGCTGAATTGTGGTTGTTATCTTAGTGGTTGAGCATTGCCCTTTTGTATTGTAAGAATGTGCCTATCATCATGACATCTACCCGTGCTGGAGGTGCTTGATAGCATGTGTCCGCAAAATTACTATAGCTGATATGATACTATTTCATTCTATTGATCATATATCAAAGTCTCTTTTTTCTTAGCTTGCTGAAATCACAATTATTTTCGTCTCTGCAAGTTTTTATACAATAAAAATCACCGACTGCTGGTTATTCTCGTTTTTCGTTCTCATCCCTAAAATACACGAAAAATGTGTTCGTGCTTGCTCGTACAGCATATTGCGTTTAGTTTTGGCTACCGAGAGATACTCAGCTTTAAACGTCATCACTTATACGGAGAAAAGCAAATAAAAATCCTTTCAATACAGGAACGCTTTAAAATAAATGTCCGTCAAGTTGCCTCACATAAGAAATCACTGACGTATTCGTTTCTTGTGTCGAAGCAACGGCCGAGCAAGAACTTTAGAAGATGAGACTGGTATAATTTGCGCACTCTTAACTTCCATACCACCTCATATCCTTACTACTGAAAATATATATGTAGCCCGTGACAGATTATATGCTATTTACCTCTGAATTCTATCGATCAGAACACTTTGTTAGGAAAAAGTGCTTCTACGAAGAGACTCAAATACTTAATAAGGAATTTTACATATCAGCAAATTTTTGTAGCTGAATATTGAACTGCACGCAAGGTTAATAATACGGAGCCCTGAATGAAGTTTTAGATACCGCGTCTCTTTGTTGATGCCAAAACTAAGTTGACAACATTATGTTTCGCGTTCGATTGTATCCATCTTTTGATATTCACACAAAAGCGTCCTATGGTAACAAAGGCTTTTGTTGACATTGATTAATCCCGTATCATACACTTATAAATGAATCGCAGAGGTAGAAATGAATAATTCGTTGGTAGAGGAAACCATTGGGATCGATGGTAAATACCAATAAAGAGCGTACGGGGCGGGTACATGATACTCATCATGTTTTAAACGCTCTCCAGAATTCTACATTTTTAATTTATGTGTATTGTGGAGTTTTTTTTAAACAAATCTATCTATCTAACCACCCCAATCATTGTATAAGTCATGACCCGATTCGTAGATAGTTTGTAGTGATGGCGCTATAGAGCAACAAATCAGAAACATTTCTACGCTCCAGAACGTACCAGATAAGCTTCAAAGCCTAATTTGGTTGCGTGATATTTATTAAAATAGCGAACGAATAATTTTAACGCTCAATGACCACGATTTTCAAAACACGTTCAACACGTAGATATTGGTTTGTACGAGTTAAGACAATTAGGGTGCATTACTATTGTATATATCAGGTGAGGCCAATACGTCGATCGACCTGTCGATTGCCACGTCGCGAGTAGTCGATCGCGGTTGATGTTGAATGAATTTAATGACGTATACCAAAAAATTGTCTTGAACTATAGGCATGCAGCGCCTGTTATGTGCTTTAAAACAGGAAGAATACAGTACTGTACATGCGCATCGCGTCTGATGTTGAGTGAATTCAATGACGTACCCCAAAAATTACCTTGAACTATAGGCATGCAACGCCTGTTGTGTGCGATAGTACCTATATACGATAAACCCATACACTATTTAAGTGAGTCTGGGCAAGTCCAATAGAGCACATAATTACGTAACAAATACAAGTTTCGCCGCTGCCAAGGCTTAAAAATGAACGTGCTGAATATCGGGTACTCCCGAAGTATGTGAACCAAGATGGCGGACACCGGAACGTAGTATGTGTGCCAGGTTGGGGTTAGGACATAATTTCAGGTACAAATACTACGGGAGTCACTTGGTTAGTCCCCGTAATAAAACTGAAATAGAAAAATTTGGATAAAATTATGGCCCAACCCTAATCTGGTACACATACTACGTTTCGGTGTCCGCCATCTTGGCTCACATACTTCGGGAGTACCGAATATTGTGTGTCTTGACTGACAAACGATCCTACAAGAACTTTTGCAGTATGCGAAAGGTATTGTCACACTCCAAGAGTAGTAGTAGTGCCCGATTTTTTCTAATTCCAGGCGAGCGAAGATTCCGACTCTGAGGAAATGGTAAATTAGATATTCAAGTTTGATCAGTCTTGTAACATTTATGGTTTGAAAATATTTAGTTTTCGCTGTTTAGATAATACATGGATACGGGCAAGTTTTTTTGGGCAATTTTCAACACTTACGACAAAAAAATAGGCAGGCCTTAGATCTGAATTGTATTATTTGAATAAATCTTAAATAAATGATGAAACATTTACTCCGGGTACAATTACATAATCAAATCAAATAAATAGATGTAACATGAAATTTTTGTGGCGATTTCCTTATGAATGCGTCCACATAGCCGAGCTTTTTGGCAGCGCTAGAATTTTTGTATGCGTGTGTGTGTAGTTATCTGCATATTCAGCACCCATTTTTATGTGTATGATCGCGGCTGAAAGCATGCAGGATGGCCACCTTTGGTATATATGATGTATCGATTCATGTATATGATGTTTATTGTCCACAGAAATACTATTATAAAAGTCGTAATCAAATACATATGAGCGAATTTATTTGGCAAGTCTAATCACGAGTGTGTCGCAACGATCGTGATCTGGTCGCCTAATGACCTAGTCAGATTTGTAAGTGAAGAGCACTTTTACACTCTTGAATCTGAAATGTGGTGCCGAACTTCGAAAAATTTCATACCGCGGACAAGCAAGAACTTGGCACGAAGAGCCCAGGTTAGCTTGGGATTTCTCATTTAGTACATTTTTCGGTACTCCCGTAGTGTGTGTACGTACCAGGTTGGGATTAGGCCATAGTTTTATTCTGATTTTTCTGATTTTAGTTCTATTACCAGTTCGGGGACTGTCTGTGTTAGCCAAGTGAATATACCCCATGCCCATAGGTTTCAGTCCCTTCACACAACTTGATGTAAAGTAGTCGAACCATATTAGTTACCTCCATATTAGTACACACACTTCTGGGGCGCCATTGATTGTAGAAAAAATTCTAGCTTGTGGAATTCTGAATAAAAGTTATCCAGTGTCGTAGCGCCCAGTATGAATATTCGAACTTTAAATTTGTTGGTATTACATTTGTTAGCAATCTCTTCGCTATTATGTTTTGTAAATAAATAAAAATCGAGGAGGTGATATTAGATTGAAATTATTTTATTCCAATTGTAAATGATTCGATTTTGCTGTTTATGAAAGAAAAAGAAGGCGGCATCAGCTCATTTCAGCAAGAGTTTATTTTCCACGGTAACGGTCACAATACGATTGAAGCTATGAGTCAACTTTACGATTATTGTATTTGGAAGCTGAATCGCAAAGTGTTGGTTAAACATTGATGGAACGTTCATACAATGTACCGAAAATCAGTTTAATAAAACAATATTGTTCAAGTTTTCGACAGAAGGCTGAAACGTATGAAGATCAACAGAATGCGTGACATATCTGCAATAATTTACAGGCCTATCATTTCCCCCAAACGTAATCTTAAAGCCACAGAACGATATTCAACTTCATAAGTTGTGCATGGACAGTATATTCACAAAATCTCCTACCAGTTCAGTAATTCGAAATTTCTGGTGAGTTCGCTGTGGACTATAGCTGTATTCAAGGCCAGTGAACTTTCAATCTCTTACCAACGGTTCTTACTTCTTCATGCAAACTTGTTGACCTAATAGTTGTTCTTTGCAAACACTTGAAATAATTACGACCGTTTATAATGAAATAATCTCACCTAGATTTTGTTAATAATTACACTCGACGACCCACAATAGCGCGGTACCGTTAGTTTGCGTAAAACTCGACTGCAAACATTGCGAAATAAATCGACCTAAAACAATGATTCATCTTATCACTTGATAAAACCGCGAACAACACTGTTGAAAATTTTAGCAATTAAATGCCATTATCAAACATTATAAGCATTTCAGGTAATTTTCCATTTCATTTATTGGCTTCTGTATACGAAGAAGTTTAATGAACCTTCTCATGCCAAAGAACCTGATTATGCGGAAATGCGATCAATTTAACATATTTTTTCAGTACCCACAATTGCACAATCACTAATTAACGGAGTTCTACTGCCCATGTGGCAAAGATGTATTTTAACCTTATTTACGCCCTCTAAATTTTCAGGTCACCAGTAACAATTGAACCGCTTTTTAAGTCTATAAAACACCAAATATTAGTCAATGTCAACAAGTGATTGAAAATCTGTCCATCTCTCCCATTTGGTAGTTTCTCCATTCAACATAACAAACAAATGATCTTGTTGATTTACACGATATATTAAAAACGATTTCGTTAACAATGTTATGATATTCTAAAACAGTTACAACAAAATGGAGATTCGAGATTTTCCAATGACATATAATTTTTATAACTAGTAGTAAAAGCATGCAAAATACAATATATAATTGAGTTTTCAGTTCTAGAGAAATCGTGAAATTGATGACGTCATGAATTCTAATAGAATAATATTTCAACATCTCTTGAACAGTCTCACAAGACAGGTTCCATCTTTTGTAATTTTCTGAAAAAAAAGAAAAATAAATAATGAAAATATATGTTAAACATTGAGACGCCCGTTGGAAATATTTGCCAAAATTTAGATGCTTGTCGGTATTATACTGTAAGTATAGGTATTGGTATTACTATCAGGAGAATTCTCATACCTAAATTGTTGTGAAAATCGCAAAGAACATCTATGGCAACGGAAAATTGAGATGAAATTGAACTTCAGATTATTTCATTTATACCAAACGTTGATTTGGATGCCTGACCAGCTGCTACAAACGACCTCAACAGTAACAGAATGTGGATCATCGAAACCCGCAAAAAAAAAATGCAGATTGCTTAAAGGCAATTTTATTTTGATTTAGGTTTCATCCAAAATTCAGAGCGAATGATTACGATACACGAACGCACACCAAACATAATGAATTCATAAATTGCATCGAAATTTACACAAAACCATGGATACTAGATTGACTCTCGATAAAGCAGTCTATTTAGTTTCGAGGTTAGTCTGACTATAGTTTACGACCGAAACATGTAAAATCCGGCGAGGCTGTAAAAATGTCCTAAATTGATTACTAATAGAATAGAGTATTTGAAGAAGGCGTGTTAAATTTGAATGAGAATCGATGAATTGAGGTAGGCGGGCGATAATGCCTATCCCATATGATAGAATTGTAGCCACAAAATAACACTGAACGCAAATAAAGGATCACACACGGATGGAATAGCAAATATAGGCTTCGTGTCAGCTTTACATGATGCAATGGCTCATTTTGGCATGTTTGAAATGGAGCTATTTGCATAATTAATTCTTCAAAATTCACAAAGTATAGAGAGAATTTGTGCACATTTTACTTACATCAGTTATGACACCGTCTTTGTCTATAACCATGTGCTCCACGATCCCACCTTCGTATTTTCCCCACATCTCGTTATTTGCGTCAATTGTCACGACACCCTGAATGCATGATTCCATTTTACCACAATTTCAATTTTGCCCACTTTACATTTTTAAGAAAGAAAAGTTCGATTACTTCAAATACCGAAAATAGTCGCAGTTGTTTCTCGGAAAATGTTTCAATTATTACTCGAATAGACACAGACTCATGAAAATTAGGCATATTTGTGACTTTTCAATCTATGCGTACAAAGACACTAAAGCACATAGCAATTTATGCTTTGTAATATGAAAGCGTATTCATCCCGTCGGTATTTTATTAATTGTATGAGAGTTTGTGATCAGTAGCACAGAGAAACACTCAGATACACAATTATCTTTTTACCAAAATTCGTGTTTCTGAGTGTCTGGTTGCGCCACTGCCTTCTCTATGGGAATTTTTTTCGTATATAAACATTTTATACTAACCTTCAACACCATTGCATCCAAAGTTTGCACGGTGGATTCTTTGTCCAGAGTGACTTTCATGATGTTTTCCTTGCCCCCACTGGTCTGCTTCATCGTGTAATCATCTCCAGCGCTTGTGATCTCATTCGTCAGTTCCATCGCTTTGATGGCCTGAATTTGTGCTGCCGGGACTCCTGTGAAAAGTTATAAAACTGATACCAGTCATACTGATAAAGCTCTCAAGTATATTAGATATATTTCCGAAAATATTTATCAAAATTCCGACGAAAATAAAAGTCAAATATATTTAAATATAGCACGTTCCACCATAGTTGACAAAGACAATGACAAAGCGTTGGATAGTTCCTAAACCTGAAAAAGAGTACCAATAAGTTAAAGTAGCTTACACATTATTACAGCCACAGATCTTTTCTTCTTCTATGTAGTTGCATGGATCCACATTACTCTAATAACATCAACGCTAGCAAATGACTTACAGCTCGAGTTAGAGTCTGTGGACACAAGCTGAGAATGGACACGCCCAACAGCAACCAATTAACAACTGAGCGATACGTTCTCTCTCGTTACAATTTATGTTAGAGTTGGTTAATAATCTACCTACAAAAGAGTTATTCTTTGTTACACACGGATCCCGATATTCAAAAATGTCGCGTCCGCGAATTTTTATTTATTGACGACATGCATGCATGCACCAAAGCACTGCGTTTTGTCGTTGCCATGTCTCTACGTTCGATTAAAGCGTTGTGCGCTGTCTCGTCGAGGGTTTCGCAATGTGCTGTTTGTGTAGCGTGATCGGAGGAATATTTGACAATCATTAAGCTGCGGAGCTGACCGTTTGTTTGACTGCGAGACAACGGTACCATCTCGCGTGCTCTTTGTAAAATAACAAATTCACCATCTCGGAGAACGCTTCGATAAGATTTATTTACTTGGCAAACATTGAAAATTTATATGTTTGCAGATGCAAACTGACGAGACCTCATTGCAAACTTATTATCAGTACCGGTATTTCAGTAACTGGCACACGGTTGCTATCTAATTAGGACAATTAATCGGAGGCACGATGATCCTGCAACCGTTTCTTTACGTAATGCATATTTAGCGATCTTGCGAAATATAAGCTGATGTGCCAGAAATCTTATCATTATGTATTTGTACTTTATCACCACATAAACGACAGTGTCAGGCTTCTGGTGTCACATAATGCAAGGTATGAAAGTCTTTGTCTGGCCAACAAGTGTGATGCGGTATTTTTAATAAATATCTGTTTTGATGTCAAAAGTGTCATGCCATGCAACTCGTATAAAATAATGTACAGTAATAATGTAATGTAGAATAATGAATGATGTACCATAATAGAACTATGTAGCATTCTATAGCGTATTCTCTTGACAAGACCCCAGAACCCGATCTCATTAGCTGAATATTTTTTTTGTTTTTGTAAATTATTCTATCAATTAACACATTTTAAGCAAGTTCTGTAGGGAATAATCAAAATGCATTAATAACAGTGCAGTGGATATTGAGCCGGTCCTTCACCTCAATAAATTTCTCCTATACTCTATCATTGTTAAATATTTGATATATATTTTGAGAGAATTTTCGAGAATTGACACTTGCAAACTAATTTACATCTTCTGCAATAAAATGTACTGACAGCAAATTTTACTGGACTAGCGTTTTCCAGCTATTTCCAGTACCGGTAGTTTCCTATTTCTGCAATTAGACTTCAACTTGAAACAAAATGCCGTTATAAGTTATTTGATTTATAGGCCTACTCACATTTTGGAAACATAACCGAAAACTGGTAAATAACACTCAAAACGACGAAAATTAGTCAACGAGTAGAAACACGTCAGTAGATCACAACTGTCTGAGCAGAAAGATCTGTGAGCGCTGTTAAAATATATTATTGTTTCTTCACCTATTACATGTACTTAATCATTATCTACCGTTACGGAAGTAAGCAAGAAAGTTAGTAGTCGAGGAAAAATCCATGGCAATGGTCTTGACCCCGATATGTCACTGGAGACAACATTTTCTGTATTAATATGCGATAGTAAGTTGCACTATATAGAAGAATTCTCTAATTTGGCAATGGCTTATGTCAATAACGAACATGCCGGTTTTAGAAAAGCACCTCCTAAAAAACCAAACTTAGATCCTCGCACGCTCGTCTCTTTCACTGAACACTATATATGTTCAGAACGCAGTACTAATTAGGCATATTACAGCATAAAGATGATGTCACACAAAATCAACCTAGAAACGTGTCAGCTTTATCATCATCTTTGCCAATTACTCCATCACAATACTTTTTTTCTTCCATATTTATGAATGGCGATAACAGAAGACTGCAATCATAATTAAATATACCTGTACATTCAAGCAAAATATGGAGATGAAGACCTGACTTCATATAGCAAAACTATTTTCTATATTCGAAGGTAAGACTTCATAACGAGGTCAATCCGGGAGCACCAACCATGTTTTTTTAAGATTCTTTTTCATGCCTCTCAACGCCAATTGACTTTATCATTTCTCTAAGCTGAGTCTTTTTGCTTCAAATGATTTGTATCACGATTATTCTAGTCAAGAAAAACAAAACGTCCAGTACTTGCAGTCCAGTACAAAATGTTTTAAATTGGAAGGTATAAACTGAAACTGGATTATTATTTGCATATTCACATATTTTGCACCGGGTGTTCCAAACCGTATCTAAATGCTTCTTCGCTGAACAACGAAGCTATGCCCATATTGCTTTGTGATGAGAATGGAATTCATTTTTCATTAACGTTAGTGGCATCAGTGATGAGTTAACAACAGACTTCCTAATTTCGCTTTTATGAAACCAAAATTGGAAATATAAACAGTTCAATGAAAGCTGATATAGAGCTGATAGAGGATAGAGTACACTCGAGTCACACTCGACCCTAAACTCCAAATCGCTTGGACGCCCGAGGGGGGAAGGTTGGGACACTTTTTTTTTCTTTTGCATATTTTGAGCCGTTAATTCTGCATATTCACGTGGGACGGTTCCATTACATTTGAACCCACGTACATTTGAACCCATGACAATTGCACCCGTATGCTATTGCACCTATGGATTTTTTTTTTGTTTCACGGATAGTTAAACCCATACTAACCCTAACCCACGGGTTTTAGCACCCGCATATAGATTGAACCCGTGGATATACGCATGGGTTCAAATGTACATGGGTTCAAATGTACGGTCACCACGTGGGACTAATGCATAGAGCGGTAAATCTAGTTTTTATTCAGCGACTAAGAAATTTCCTTGCGACACACATCTTACTACCAAAATGCTTTGAAAAACGTCTGTCAAGTGTCCCCACTGTACCCCACTTGTGGGGCACATTCGGACAGACCCTGGGGCACAATGGGTCATTCTGTCAAAATTCAACGAAGTAACCCGAAGTAAGCAATTAATCAGCATAATCGTCTAAAGAACAAGGAGACTTCAAATTTGAAGATTTAATATTTTTAAAATCAATGTTCAACTGAAATAGTTCAGATATTTGACAAAAAAATTCGCAAGCAAATTTGATTATTTCCTTCCTCGAATCTAAATCTGGAAATATTGTTGATTCTCGAATATATCCCATATTGGGCCATGGGTCCAAAGAAACTCAAATATAACGCATTTCTAGATTTCTAAGCATTTATTGTATCAAATACTGTCGAATTGTGCCCTGTAGGGCATGTCCCACTGAACCCCGGTCCATTGTTCTCCATAGGAAACAAATAATTTCAGACCATCCCACGGCGAAATTCGGAAGGCATATCCACTCGCCAACTTTATGAATATTTTACAGTGAATTAAAGCTGAGAAATATCAGACGGTGGCTTGTCACGATGAAAGGGCTAAAGTAGAAATAAGAAAAAACTGGAACGGTGAAATTTTAGTTTCAACCTCCCAAAACCAATTTCACCTCATAGCTTGCGGCGCTCTACCCGTCCGTTGTCTGTTCGCGGGGACGTTGTAACTCACCGAAGGGCGGATTGAAACATCAAACCGCGGACCGGATTTCGGATATAGTATCAGTGTAAGAGCTGATTTTTCACTGTGCCCCATGTCCCAACGTGCCCCACCTTCCCCTATATGGACAATACTTTCGTCTCCATTCAAGATTTCGAATTTGACTTTAATTTACAATTCCGATAAAGCCAAATTTCGATAACAAAAAATTTGGCATATGTAAGCTGTCCTTAATTCTCTGTTCAGAGCGTTTGGTAGACTTACCTACCAAGCTGTACACCGTTACCCCAGTCCTGATACAACCGCTATTATCAGCAGTAATATGTTTTTGAAAGCACATCCATTTCTGCCATGAAAAAATGGGCGCTCCAGAAGTATGTGTACCATTATGGAGGTAAATAATTTTGTTCACTTATGTTATACCAAATTGTGTAAAGGAACTGAAACCTTTGAGCGGGGGGAAATTTACTTGGCTAACACAGACCTAACTCGCAATAGAATTAAATTGAGGAAAATCAAAATGCACAGTTACATCTGTCAATCACCAAAATCAAATCACGCATTAACAAAATGAGATCGCATTTTTTGAGCTCAGCACAACATGAATTAATTCTACGTTGGCTCCGACTTCGCAATATCACCACTGAGCATAATTTTTTATTGCGACGCGGGAGATCGTGGTAAAACCAACTGAGGTCGTAAGTGCTCGGACCACCGTGAGAGTTTCTTATCTTCCTGGGCCAGTCATGCACATGAAACATTCAAACTGCTTGACGATGAAAGACTTCGTTTTCTTTCAAAAATGAGTTTTTCAATTATTATAACTCTAACGCTCAACTATCAAACATATATATCCGGATCTAGTGTCTATCTACTAAATACGCGAGATGGCGGTATAGCGCTACGAGTCGTCATTTAAAATTCGGGTATGGTGCTTAAGTTTGGAATAGACGCGTGTAAATGGGATTGTAATGATCTGGCAATGATAGATACTTGTTTAGTATTGATATCGATGGAAATGTCATGAAACTGGGTTACTCTCTCTATGAATTATGCACTCATTTTATTTCACAATAAGTACTTGCGTTCTGTGACCCCACTTCCTCGCGCAAACCTGATTTAAGCCCTCAATTCCATTTTCGAGGTATACATATCTTTTCTTTTGTAAGAGTGGTTGTGAGCGTGAGCGTAGTCCAGCAAATTAAATTTTTGAACTCGATACAAGTCATATATAAGTTAGTGCATTAATACATAAGAATGAAAATTCGTAGTTCAACCAAAACTGTGGAGTCCCCAAATACGAGTTATCAGGAGTCACCAAGTTACTGAAAATACTAACTAGATATTTTGTCTTATATCCAATACGCCATTGTAGTCATTTTCCTTGTACAAGACTACCAGAGTGGTTGGGTTTTCATATATGACCAGTTTAGCAAAAACTACAAGAAGACACAAGCTGTTGAGAACCCTTATTTGTGGAATGAATTGAACTGGAAGTGGAGCGTTTACGAAGTAATACGAATATTGATTTGAAAAATATAGCTTTGTAAAGGTAGTAACAAGCTAGCAGAATTTGGAAGCCAGTCTATTTAGCTAAGCAGATAATTTCTTACCTAGTTTTCCGAGAAACTCCTCCACGTTTCTTTGTTCGGTCATTTTGAATTTTCCATTCCAGGCACTTCGATCCATAGCTTTTTAATGGTTTTTAGTACAGCTGAATAAAGCTAAAAGTTAAATACTTTGTGATGCAGCTAACAAAAAAAGTTCAACTGATTTATTCGAAGATAATTCACGTGAAATATCAGTAATTCATCCCAACCACAAGATCTACAAATCACTAACTTGTTATAATTATATGTATCATAATTCTAGGATTTGCGCCGCTTAATATTTGGTATCACTGGCTTGGAATATCCCTGTTCACTCATAAAGCATATCGCCGGATGAGCACAGAACAGGCCTCAATCACAAATTTGAGAATATCTTTATATTCAACATCTTTTGGCACTTCAGCTTTGATTGGTTTCTGTTTTTTAACCACATACAGAGCTTCGTCATTTTGTTTCTAACGATAATCAAATTTGCTGGATTGGCCCGCTGTCATTCAATGCTACTTAAGCGTTGCATTGGACAACGGAACGTAAGTTTCGAATATTTTATTTTCGAATGAAATTTTGGTTTAGAATGTTCTGATTCGAATCTAGTTCTGTTTAGTATAACACCCTGATTTCATTGAATTAAATATTTGGAAACTGAAGACTGAATTTAACGCATCAAAAGACTGCATTTAATGTCTATACTATTCTTGCTGAGACAAATTTAAAGCACATATCCCTTTTTGCAAACAATAGCTGGTGCATTGATAGAATTTTCTATTTTACAGCTGGCCTTTAGAATCCTCATACATTTGTCTTTTCTGATATACGTCAGTTACTGATGTTGTTCAGTATCAAATAATTGCTTTGATTCCAAAAGCCAAAATGATGGACTTAAATCTTGTGTTTTTGAAAACATTAATTGTTGATCTAAAAATTAGCTTGTTTTTTAGATCGATTTATTTTTCTCATCGCTGTCATTTCGAATCGTGAGATATTAGCAACTGTATCGACAAAAAATAAGCACTTTTTAAAACATACATTTACTGGTCAACCTGTCTAGGATCTACTATTCTACTCATATTTAATATCGAACTTTCTCTAAACAAGAATCTTGTTTTCTTTAATCTGTGCTAACAAGTAGTCAGGGCTATAACAATTACTTTTCCTCTTGTTCATTGAAACTACCGTATTTGAATCAAAACTTGGGCATAAAGCGGGTCTGTCACCATTCTGACATTAAATATATGGTGTCAGAAAGGCCTAAATCCATCATATCGGATTTAGGCATATTTTGTGTTCAACAACTATAAAATATCTCATTCCTAAGCCAAGCTAAAATTCTTAATATTGGAAAATTGACAAATGCAAGACCACCTTGTAGTGGTAGAGCATTGTTCGAAACTCCAAAAATATTCAAATAAAAAGTAAAATGTAATAAATCGTAACTTAGGCCCTTCTGTTCTCATCCGGCGATGCATAGTTATTTCATATTATTAGCTGTAGCACCAGCTGTAAATGGGTATTCGGACTGAACTATATGACTCTGTGTTCTACCCATAAGTCGCAGACAGCTTGCAAAACTTTGAACAAAGACAAATCTTTACAAGCTTGCATGCTGGCACATAGTCATAAAAGCACCAGGAATATTCTTTATGTCTATATTTAATTTATGTGTTTGCCATTTCATTTATGATCCTTCTGTGTTTGTGGCATTATAATGAGCAAACATATAGTTTGGTATTGAAATTACGACATTTAACATTGATGACTTTTATTTTCATTGGCTTAATCATTTATCTTTAGGCTCACATGATCGTCGTAAATCTTTGACAATTAATTTACAATCTAATTAAACTTTGATGAAGATTTTTGAAACCAGTTTTGTTTTGTATCCCAAGTTTAGCCTGTCGGTCATGTCTCATAGATTCCCCACGTTTAGACAAACGACTTGGCCGTCCGTGGGTTATATCCGTCTGTTATATCCGTAATTTCCTTTCTGTTGGTAGATACCCAGACTTTAGATACCTCTTGGTATCCAATCAGTGGGTATAAGATTGCGTGTGGAGAATACTCATTTTCCTTCCGCTGATGTTGCGTTGCCCGATGTATTTTATTGCATGTCAGTAAGTTTTATTAATTTAAGTCCATGTATGGAAAACAAGGTGTGACTACATAAGACATCGATACTTGTTAAACATTGTTACGTAATATTTGTAAAAGTTGTTTCATTAGTGGAGAATATTTACGATGATTCCAGTGAATTTAAAATATCATTTAAAAATGAAGGAAAATTTTATGAGGCACAGCTGTCATGGATGCAAAAAATGTTGTGATAGACAACAACTTGTTTTGATAGTGTCCGAACCTTCTCCCTTTGGCCTATAGCTTATGTAATTAATTGCAGATCGGGAAAGAAAAAAAGTTATGCAGTTTATACCCGAGATATTTTTCTTCGAAACACGCATTCTGGCCCAAGGTTCTCAATTTCACTCATATGTATCAAAAACGATAATAATTTTTTGGGGAATTTTGGAAATTCAAGTTATTAGTTTATGACTTTGCATAAATAAATACACTTTATTGCTACAAAAGTCCGTTGAACCAGTCTGAATACTAACTATTTACAGATAATTTTCATTTTGTGTGTTGTATTTTAATTGGTCACCATATTTGCATCGAACTAAAAGTGTGACATAAAAATTCCTTTTCCTTATAAAAAGTAAAAATAAGGGGCCAGGAAGATAAAACAGTATTTTGTATAAGAAAATATGGGAACAAATCAAGTTTTGCATTATATATAATCTCGTCGCCATCCACGTTTTCCGATCTATTACTGGTTTAGCATAGCCAAGGACCGAGAGTAGGTTTTCATCACAGAGTCTCAACTGGACCAGCCGAAGCGTGACCCCGAGAGCTAGGCCCTCGCACCGACAACTAACAAACAAATTGTACCCAGCAACACTGAAATATTGAAATTATTACATGTATTTAACAAAAATGTAAAAAAAAATCAAAAAATGAGCACACAGATATTTGGCAACTCCATTATTTAGTTCAAGGTTATGAAAAGCAAGAGTGATTGTCTGGCAATATAGTTTGGCAGCCTGATATACATTTTCAAAGTTGACATAAAAACATTTTAATATTAACTACAATAGCAATCACTGTTCGAAACTATACGCATCTGAGAAATTCTCTCCATTTCTATGTTGATGTAGAAAATAATTTAAAACGCTGTGAATAATTTCGATTTTAACAGATTGTTATTATCATTTGACACTTTGTAGTGACGGGAGAACAAACAATTAAAATTGAAGTATCAGTGTTCACTTCTCCTAGAAACTTATTTCCCTTCAGTTCCAAACGTATTAATTAAATAATAATGAAATTGAATGATAGCATGACCAAATGGCTATGGCCTTCTCGCTCTGGAGCTGTAGATTATGTAGTGTGCTTTTGCTTGTAAGGCTTAAAAGTGTATACGTAAACATAAAGCAGTCATCGTTAGCGTACAAAACAGTAATACTGATAAACGAAAGCTGATAACAAAATTTCCTAGCAGAGACTTCCCAAATTACGAAGACATATTTATGTTTGTTTCAAGGGAATTCCTGGTTCAACACTCTCAAAACACGCAGTACAACTACTGACGTTTTACAGTAAATCAAAACATATTTGTGGAGAATCCTAGAATGTTTTTTACATCTTGTTCTTCGCATCTTCTTCTGTTACAAACAGTTACGAGGCCGTAACCTTCTTGGTCGCAATGCAAAAGTTGGAAATAGGCTTGTGCTTTTATAAACGAATCAGGATTGTTTCAATGTCGGTTAATGTCGAGTTTCTCAGTTGGTGTTTTAGGTTTTTTCTTCTTTTCCGATCTCAATCCCGGTTGTCCCCTCGGCCCGCGAGGTCCTCTTTTCCCAGTTTTACCTGGCTTACCACGTCCCGGCTTTCCTGGTATGCCTGGTGGACCTATAGATAAAATGAATATTCTAAGGACGGGTAGAGAGTTTACATCCTCTCTGACATGTTTTAGTCAATTCATCAGATAACTACCGATTGAGAATTTTTAATAAAAACATGTTGCAAAATTAGACGAAATATTGCAAATTTTCCATAATTCAAATTTTTCTAACAACAGAAAGAAACAAAAGTATAACTGAGATATTGACTCAGCAAATTCAGCATAAATAACTATTTCATCCTTTTCTTTTCATTCACGAAATGTTTTGAGTTTACTTACCAATTGGCCCCGTTACACCGATTCCTGGTGTTCCTCTTGGTCCTCTATCACCTAGGTCACCTATAGACAAAGCAGCACATGTCAATATAAATGATGAAAAAAAACACAAATATGAAACAATTGAATATTTGAACCAACTATTTCATTTGTATATATATAGGTAAGAAATCTATCTACGGCTTACAATAGACAGAACTCGATTTAGACATTTTTTTAATGCATTCATATTTATTCATATTCAATTCATTGATACTATGTAATAAAATTTTAATTTCAAACCTTTGGATCCTTTGCTTCCTGGTAATCCTTGTGGTCCCTGAGCTCCGCGAGGTCCAATTTGCCCTTCGAATCCCTACATGAAAATATTTTAGGAAATCGAATTTTTTATGCATTGCCGGGTTCATGAATAAAATTTGAACAAATGTCGCAATTAGATCAATTGACAATAAATTCGACAGCGATATACCGAATGATATGAGATTTGTAATAATCAAATTCAATATCAATACCATTAAACAACTTGTAGTTTCAATTATATGATGAAATTTCAAAATGTGACCCATGCTCTTGCTAATGATACGAAATGTTAACAATTACACAATTGTAGATATTGACTTCAATAAATAGTATAAGCACCAGTTTATTTATTTCGAAAGAATTTTTTACTTTGAGGTCTGCTTTTACTTTGAGGTGTCGCATATCAGCACCGTAAGACGAAGATAGCCATATCGTCTTTGCTCTAGAATCAAAGTGGGGAATATTACCTGAGGTCCCGGAGGGCCGGGTGGACCAGGAGGTCCAATTTGTACTTCTGGTGTGTGTGAACTCCTGTATGCCGCTCTTGTTGCAAACCTCCGATCTCTGTCAAGATCCACCAAAGCTCTTCTCATTTGCTCTAAATAATGAGATTGATCAGGTCACCACATATATATATGTTTTCTAAAAGTCAGTCATATTTTCTTTTTTCGGCAGAATCGGCAAATTAGTGTAATTTTCAGGCTTACGTGGGAAAAGTCCCACGGGATGGGACAGCAGACATTTGTATTCCCCATGGGACACGAAAACCTTATGATTTTCCGGGAAGTGATGGTAGAACATTTCGTTATAGACTTCGTGTCCCATATATTTGAGCATAGCTCTCTTGTCAGTTAAAAAGAGCAAAATATATTCAGCATTAACAATATACTTCGTGAAGGGGCTGATGGACACATGTATAATAGTTATGAATATAGAGTTAATAAAGTCCGTAAATTTTGTTGTTTTGCATGGATCTTCGTACATGTAGTCCTATTTAGTAGACGCTAAACCTAAATTTAACAATTTTTATTGGATTGTATTTCAATGGGAATCCCGTGGGATGGGATGGGACAGGCATAATTGCTATGGGATGGGATGGGGATGGGAAAGAAAAATATGTCCCATGAACAGGCCTGGTAATTTTGTGTCAAATTTAAATTTGTCGAGTATGTGCTACGGGTATATTTCATATTAATTTATCCCTCGACAGATAAAATCTATAGCAGCCGGGTATAGAACTATGGTTTATCAAACAATCAAGCCAAACATCAATTCCCTCAAAAGGTCATCAATGACAAATCAGTTTCAAATAAATTACAATATTGTTATTTGCGACAAACTTTAACCATGTCAATTGTTCAAATATCTACTGACTTTTTAGTATTATTAAAAAATCCTAATAACGGCAATGAGTACCCACATATTTGATCTGTTCAAACAGAAGTACCATAAAAACATCTTGATTGATAATCACACATTCCTATTCGATTGGCCAACTCGTCATCAATATGACAATACTATCCCTGCAGCAATATACAAAATTGCTGATTACTACTTGGTTGATTACCTAATTGCCAATAATTAAACTTACCTTGCGTAATTTGTATTGACTGTTGTTTTGCTCTCAATAATAATTCGGCCTTGTCTTCAGGTGTTATCGTCTGTGATACAGCGGTATTTCCTTTTTCGCCGCGTGGTCCCTAGAAAATAGTTGTATTGTTGAACAAGGGAGTGAAAGAGCTACAGTACGATGGTTTCATGGATGCGTGGTTGCACTGGTTTGGAATTAAAATTTATGTTTCATAAGTAGGATGCCGTAAATTAGCGCCGAATTGGTAGATTAAAACATATTAGTAATAATAAAAGAAAACAAGCTAGAAATGTCATAAAACTCGAATAATAACGTTTTCGAGCAAAATAAATATATTCTCCTCTAACTAAATACTTACTGGAGGTCCTGCTGATCCGTCGTGTCCATCCCGCCCCGGAGGTCCTTGAGGTCCAGGCAGACCTGGCATACCCTGTACACACGAGAAAAATAATTTTTAGTACAGAGATATGTTGACGACTCATTTTAGATTAATTGTGCTTCAAGTTGCCATAGAGCGATTTACCTGCTTCATTCTTGATCTACTGATGAAAAGTAGACAAAAATGCTGATGAAAACTAGGTTAATGCGACCATTATTAGTAATGCTCTAATGATAGCCGCATGTAACACAAACGCTTTGGTTTCGCAAATATCTATTTCCAAAGCGTTTTTCTAAAATAATATGCACTCACAAACCACAAAAGCACCTTTTATTAGCAAAACAAAACAACCGCAAATGCATACCAATCAGCTAATAGCCATTAATGCAACAATAAAAAACAAGTATGAGCAACACTCGGCAGACTTTGTAAAATACATTCAATTAGGACATATATGATGTTCGGGTTTTAATACTAAACAAATTACAAATTATAAACCTGATTGCACAAATATCACATATAGATATTTTTTTGATACAGCTTGAAATAAATCATAAAATTTCCACGTTTTCTGTATATACCGCTTTCATGTAAGCTTTCGAAGCTATTGTTAAAACTTTATGTTGTAGATAACCTCTACAGTCTACACTCTACAGTATCAAGTTTGTGAACATAGTATATCAATCAATATTTTTAGTATTTTCTAGTTCGGACATAGTAACAGGCATAAGGCCAGTATATCAATCAACATTTTTGGTATTTACTAGATCACGCATAGTATCAGACATAAGACCTTCTCCGAACATAATTTATATCATAGTATTACCGATCTGCCAGGTTGTCCGGCTCTTCCTGCCGTCCCTTTGTTGCCTGGTAATCCCTGGAATAATTTTGTATTCTAAGCTACAGTACCGTGTTTGAAGTATTTCAGGAAAGTGAAAGCAAGGATCGATCAAGAATTTTGAATGGTATTTTGTATTTTATCATGTAATGTGTTAGGTTTATTCATCAAAAGCATGTTGTGACTTGTTAGCTGTTAATTAAACGTTGATTAAGAAACGAGAAAGAAGACTGTCAGAGTGAATAATATTTCTTTTTTAAGCGGTAGCCAGAAGAGTGAATCTGCGTCAATAAAACCGCCCAATAACTTGCGTTAACGAATTGATAATTTGCTTTTATTCGCTTCCCATTTAAAGGAGATATCAAATATATCTTGCAAATCACACTCACGCACGTAAAAGCGTTTTAGCCATATGCGATAGACGTGTGCATGAACCGCCAGCGGAGTTATAATGTGAGTAAAGAAATAGGAAATAGAGAGGCCGTTGAAAGAAACACAATGAAGAAAACACGAGAGATACTTTGCAGGAAAGAAAGAAGGAAGAAGAAGTATAAGGAAATGGATGCAAAATTAAAAATATTATGTTGTACGATTTGATTCGATATTTCGTACATTATGGATCTTTGACTTTTATTCTTAATTATATTAAAAATGCAAATCAATCGCGTCAATAGTAAAATTACTAATTAGACTTAAAGTGATTCCATCTGGTATGTCAACTGGCTGCGTGATGATGGTTTTTAAAACAAGTTTAGTTTGCTTCCATATCTATACACGTTAGTTAGTCGTATTAGTTGCATTAGTGAGTAGCACATACATATATGGCGGTGCGTGTTAATAGACAAGAAGATGCTACTCACATCCACACCCGGTACACCCTGTTATGATTCATTACATTTTAGTGAACAAAATTTCTACATGATATTTTTGCGAAACACACAAAAATTGCAAAGACACTGAAATTGGAACAAGCAGTTAAATCTGCATTCTAAACAAAAACACATATGTTATAGACAACTATAAGTTACTATGATGAAAAAAGGCTACATGCAATATAGAGCCACAAATCGAAAGCACGCACAAAAAATTAACCAATAAGTTAATTATTTCACACAAGAAAACATGTTTATGCGACCACAAGAAATATTTAAGTTATCTTATTTTTTGTTGGTCTACGAGGCAGTTACCAAGCTCAAATTCGAAATATGGGAATGTGGTAAAGCTTCTATAATATCACAAAATTATTATATTCGAAAGAGATGGAGACAACAATGACGAATACGACAAACACTAATAAAAAATAAACTCAAATTAATTTGATCAAATTCACAGCATTTTGGAAAGCAGGCTCTTCACTATGTTAAAAACAGTCACAAAGGTTACTACTAGACTAGAGACTAATTGTTACGAATACAATGATTGAGACATGCGACATAACTTACCGGGAGTCCTGGTTCGCCACGTAACGGGAAGAAAACCTTCGATCTGTCACCATTCGTTAACTAAAAGGTAAGATAATTAGCGTTAATAGCAAAATTTCACAGAAATCAAGCTGTTTAGGGAATAGTATATTTTTCGAGTGAAAATTGTTTTCGAACACTGTGATCCAAACATTACTCCCGCGCGAGATCCAGTGTTCAATATGTTTGAAGTATACTTACTGGTCTAAGTCCCTCAGGAAGCTCCAAATCGAATACAGATCCATCTGCGCTTCTGGCTTGAATTATTTGATCTTCATAATTCTAGAACATTAATATAGATAATAAAAAAAGTTAAAAACTAACAATATATCTTGACATTTCGTTAAATTTATCAATGGATTGAAATATTTAACAACATTATAAATTACCACATGGACGATGCTGAATGGCGCTCCGGTGTCACCTTTGATTGAAATCCCAGGAGTTCCCTGTTTAAAACAAAGAAAATGTTTTTTAAGTAAAAAGTTGAATGATTTTCGAACATTTGTAACTTTGGGAAAACACTTTTCCGCGCTCTTACCTGCTTTCCAGGCAATCCAGGTTCACCAGGTGGTCCTGGAGGTCCGGCAGGGCAGTCGCAGATTCCTCCGTGCCTTGGTTCTGTTAAAATAATCAGTCAGTTAAAAGGATATGTATTGAGTTCTCAAATATTATATTCTTGTTTATAAAATCAAGACAACTACACACAAATTCGTAGTTGAAAAAACAGGTCTATGATTCAGAAAGTGCGCTGTCGAATAATTATCCCTTTCATGAAAAGAATTCACTCCATTTCAGTCCTGATGAATTTCTTAACTTACGTTCTCCCTCGCATAATTTTGCTGCAAGCAAAGTTTGAATTTGTTTGATGGAATCGTAGTTTTTAACATGATACACGGTTGAATCATGAGGTGGTGATGCCATTAATTTTAACTCGTTGACATCTGCGTCTCCAACACCGACTGCAACAACCTGGTGAAAATGAGGATTACGGGTTAACTCTAGTTATAATATCGTACAGAGTCGCGTTAAACAGGCAATTGTTGAAATGCTGTACTTATAGGGTCTTCATGGCTTGAAATATCGAGAGAAGTCATATCAACTTACCCTTATTCCGGCATTCCTCATTTCCCGAGCAGGATTGCCAACATCGTCTTGACTTCTTCCATCAGTCAGTATCAAAGCAGTTTTACTGATGAATGGTCGAGCACCAGACGACAGAGACAATGCTTTGTACAATGAAAACGATATCGCACGACCGGTATTCGTATTTCCACCTGTGAGTCAAACGAGTGGGATATAAATCTTCCAACTCAATTTCTACATTGCATGATATCTTTCCAAAACGATGAACGATAAAGTACGATATACGACCAGTTGAAGCAGCCACACAAACGATGAAATCTACCTAAATTTTCCGTTGGCATTTCTTACCCAATCTACCCTTACTAGCGCTTACAACACGAAAATCATATACATCAATTTACCTTTGTAAGGCATGGCGTCGATAGCTGACATCACTTCGTTGACGGTTAGATGGTCAGTGAGTAAGAATTCTGCACGGGCATCATCGGAGTATTGTACAATAGCAAACCGAGTATTGTCCCACCTGTAAATGGTAAAGATATAGTTACAAATATTGACAGTGAATAAAAAAAAACGAGGTGCGTTATTTTGCCACTATCTTATGTTATAACATGTTTTGATACCAAGATGAGATGCCTTAGCCATCGATTTTTCCTGACAACGATGTTGCTGTCGTAAGCTACATATATCTGAAACCCTAGCCAGCTAGTCCACCATTCAACGAGAATGCACAATTTCACTAGTCAATAATTTCAGTAATTTGTATTACCCGACTTGGAAAGGTTGAACCAAAGCTTTCAAGAAATCTTTTGTTTTTCTGAAGTTTTCAGTTCCAACTGACCAACTGCCGTCTACTATAAACATGATGTCGCTCACTGCTGTCTTGCATGCTGGAAAATAAAAATAACATATATTATCGTTTTGTTATATTTTATGTATTGATTATCGTCTGTGTGCTGATCATGAAGTTAAAATAAACTTGAATAATATGTCACACGGTTTCCTGTGATGTCTAATCGCAGCACAAAAGTTCAGAACGCTTAATTACTAGCAATCTCTATAATACTTGAAAAGGCTTTTTGAACAATTTATTTATGCAAAATATGTATTTTCAAGTTATTATATTATCGTGAAATTTGATCATTTTTTCTCCTATACTGATGCAATAAAAAGACAAATCTTGTTAAATAAATTAAATAAATATACAGCTAGGGATGGGCAATGTAGAATAATTTACTATTCTAGAATATTTAAATCGAATCCAGAATACCGAATCCTATTCTATTTTCATATTTATTCAAATAGTGGGAATTTCTACATTGCTGGATTTAGATGGTAAAAAATTGCAAATGTATTACTTACTATAAATGTATTAGGCTATCTATTTGGAAATGTCCTGAACATTGGATTTCATTTGATACTAAACAGGCAGTTCCCAGGACAATAAAATTTAGAAATATCACAATATTTTTTGCCTTCCAATTGTTCCAAATGTATGTAATCCCTAAATACTAATAAATACTGATATGCTAAATTAAGACACGCTTTACACACTTTAATAGTAAGCGGTTAAATACAAAATAGACATGAAACGGCGTTAAATCATTATTAATGTAAGTCTGCCAAGTATACTAAAACATACCCGCTGAGAACCAGCGTGTGGCCACTGCAACCTATGCGCCGTTGTAAAATATTAAATTTAACCACTATCAATTAAAATCAACCATTTATTCTGTGAGAGCAAGACACGTAAAACCAAGTTCCCGTAAACGCGATTTCGTACTTAGTTATTAGGTAATAACATCTGAAGACGAACTCATTTTCTATGATTATCGTTACATATCATTATCTACCCAGACATGGCCCTACTCAAATTCGATACGTCACTATCTTCGCCAGATGCGGCAACTTTTTTCAAAATTTATCGGCGACTAAAATGCTACAGACACTCGATCGAACGTGCGGGTATCTTGAACGATAGGAATGTTATCATTAATCATTATCTACCCAGACTTAGCCCTACTCAAATTCAATACGTCACTATCTTCGCCAGACGTGCGTCTATCTTGAACGATAGAAACGGACCGAAAAATATGTAATCTTTTGAGAGTGAAATTAAAGTGTGACAGTTGTTTGCGTTTTGCGATATAACTTTGTATTTCGGAAAATGGTATAATAAAATTATTCGTAATTAATATTCGATCTAAATTAATGGCGACTAATGTTATAACATTTAACGCCTGGCTTTTGGTTTACGTGCATCATTTTTTTGGGAAAACTCGTAGGTCGCGAAAAATCATTTAATTTAAAATGAGGCAAGGCACGTCTGTAAACAATTAAAGATTGTTGCATTCAGATTATCGGAATATCACCAGCAAGTCGGCACAAATGACGCTAGCTAGATAGCAAAGAAGGAAAACGCAAAAATGGTGCAATAACGAGTCCTCGCCGTGAGGTTATGTTACCGACTTCTTGTCCTGAATATGCCGATTGATATTACAGTGTTTGATGTTTACCGATTTACGGGTTCTTTGCGAGCAGACGCAAGTTTAATTAAACGAGAGAGATTTCCACGCGAGAAAAACGCTCGTCTATAATTGATAAATTAGAAACCCGAAATACAAAAATTGACGCTTGGCGCCGGAGAGGCGGAAACCGAATCCTGTTATCGGATCCCGTTGGATTCGAATACTTTGGGATTCGAATCCTCCGGATTCGGTATTCTATATTGCTCATCCCTATATACAGCTCTTATTGAAGCGAAATAAATCGGTTGTCAAATTACTATAGGAAGTTGGTGTCTACCTCTGCATACTGGATTTGTGTTGCTCCATACTCCTTCTTTCAGGCACACTCTATGTGACGACCCCACTAGGTTTGAATCATTTGCAGTACAAGCAAAAGAGCAATTACTTCCAATTCTATTCCCATCTGTACAGTTCATTATTACATCGTCGTCCAAAGATAAAAGATGCGGACATTCATCTCCTGAAAATGGAAGCGTCCAATTTGCTAAGTCATGTAGTTAAAATGTGACACAAAATATTTTATCAAACAACTCGTTAAGAATTCCTATTTGAAGCTCATACCAAAAAATCTTAAATGACCAAATCCTAGTGGCTTGCTGGTTAACAATCTACCACGGAATCGCAAGTTGATTGGATATCTGGTTAGAATCTAGAGTGAAATAAAGCTGGAATCTCATTTTCGGCGCAAGTTTACCACATCCCCCATAGAGTCAAGGCATTCGTAGGAAATGTCGAGCTAGTAAGACTCCCGTCTTTTAACACCCAGTTGCTACCTGCTTATAAAAACTACTTGTATATAAATACCTTTAAAGAGCTTCATTAAGAGCAGTGTATAATATTGCTATGAAATTCAAATACAACGATTCCCGTGATTAAGAGGTTCATTTCTTTACTTACGAATGCATTCAGCAATGACTCCAGTCCATTGTCTATTCTCCTGGCAAGTTCTATTTTCCGAGCCAAGTAATTTGAATCCTTCCTTACAAGAGAATTTACATGTGTTTCCACACTCATCTTGCAATGCTCCGCAATCTTTCGAGCCGTGTAGAGGAGATCGCAGAGGTGAACATTGAGACACTGAGATAATTAAATCAGGCAATGTATAAATAGGTCACAACAAATTTCTATTGATTTTAATTACATTCTGAATTGTCGTGTAGGGAGGATTTCTTTCTGTTACCAGAAGAGGCAAATGTACCAACTACTTATTGTATTGCCAAGAATCTTAATTAATTTCAAAGAACACCCCGTGGGAAAACAAGTAATAATGTCCGTCTAGATCTAGATGAAATAATGCTGACAGAAACAATAAAGAAGTTAATTCAAGTTTCATGCTAGCGAACTTACTAATACATGCTGCCTCCTCTCCAGTCCATGAACCGTCTTCTCGGCACGTTCTTTCTGGCGACCCGAGTAAACGGTGGCATGAATCACATGCCACGTTACACGTACTTGATGCCTCGTTTCCTTCGGTACATTCAAGTTTTGAATTGAGAGGCGTTCGAAGTGTTCTACATTTGATTCCTATAAAAGCACTTTGTATTTATAAATCGGCAAAACCTAATTATAAATTAACTTCTGTGAATCGGATATTGTAACTCACTTTCACAATGAGGCTTAGTGTCGGACCAGTGACTGGAAGCCAGACATTTCCTGGTTGATGGTCCAATCAAGTAATAACCTTCGTCGCATACGTAAGTACATTCGCTATCGTAGTTTTGTTCGTCATTGCAGAATATCTCACCGTGATCAAGATTTTTGAGACTAGAGCAAGTTGTCACTTAACGAAAATAATAAAGTGAACAAGAATAAATACAATTTCAGATGCTTAGAGTACCTGGTGTAGAAAATCGGTGCAAGAAACAAGGAATCGAAAAACAACATTTTGAAAATTTTTAATTGGTATTCAGACTGCTGTGATTATATTAGCAAGTAGATGGTTTGTATTGAAATGATCTGCTATTTAAACACCTTGTGATTAAAGTAATCTATATATCAATTCATCAATCTTGACTTAAGTCTAATAATTGGTGATTCAGCACTTGTAGCCCAACAAAAAGTCAAAAACATCAAATAACTACTTACGTCTACATGATGCAGGAACACCAGAAAATGTTCCGTCTTCTTGACATACACGAGATCTCGTACCAAGCTGCCTGTAACCTAAGTTCAGAAACACAAATTCAAATAAGAGAATGGATTGACTACTATTATTACTGGCTGAAATAAATTTTCCTACGTATAAGAAGTTTTATACCTGGAGCCCAATTTTGTAGAAAATCAGTGAACATTATCTCAAAAAACTACTTACCGGTCATACATATCACTCTGCATAACGAGTTATATTCGTTTCCGGACGTACATCTAATTTCTCCGTTATCAGGACTTAACAGTTCCTGGCATGTAATCACTAAAAATAAAAATAAAATTGATCATTCAACTAAAAAATATTGGAGTGCCATTAAGATATATAAGTGTTCTAGTTTTCCATTAACATTACATTACAATTACCAAATTGGAAAATTGAGAATTTACTTACGTTCACAAACTGGGGTAGTGCCTTTCCAAAGCCCCGCCTTTTCACAAGTTGCCGCCTTGTCTCCTAGTAGTCGGTATCCAGTATTGCATGTGAATGTGCAAGTCGAAGAATACGCGTCTCCTGCTGAGCATGAAACACTGCCGTGCATTGGTGATTCCTGTGCTCCGCATCTAATAACTGATGAGAAATAAGATGACGATGCTCAAATATATGTACACAAAAGTAAAATAACATATATTCTCACCGAAATGTCAGCAAAAGTCCAGTCAAACGGTAGATGAAGTGTACCGAATGTCGTGTGAAGTTTTAAAGGAATTGTACCAAAAGTAATATAATTGTGTGAAAATCATTATGATAGTGCCAGTTAAAAAATAGCAAAAGTTGGGGTGAAATATTGGATCCATGGAAATAAATTTGAAATAAAATAAAATAATGTTCTTGTAGCAAATTTTTACATCTTCAAGTACCAGAATTTTGAAATGGATTGGTCTACCAGTTGCGGAGAAACTCAAGAGCATTTGATAAATATTGTAACTTACGTGAACAACTGGGTGCAATTCCACTCCATGTATGAGTGTCGAGGCAGGTTCTAGTCTTTGAACCATATTTCTTATATCCTTCCGTACATTCCGCCGTGCATACAGAATTATATCGATCACCATCAGTACATGTCATGAAACCGTTCTGAGGCATTGGAATAGGTCCGCATGTAATCCCTAAACAAGATGATAAAACATATGATTCGCACAGAAAATAATCAGGTAGTCAGTCGCTATGAATAGGACTCTAAATCAGCAGACACATACTGAACTTAGAAAGACTGAAATTTTTTGGGTTCCTCTTAGTCTACCTTTGAGCGAGGTTGCGGGATTGAGTTGGGCTGGTCAACCCTCGTTTATACAGCAAGATGTTCCTTGTCTGGCTTTTAGTAATTTATGTAAGATAGTGACAATTAGGCTATATGCCGTCGGGAAAACCGTAGAAATGAACCAAAAAAATTAGTTAGTAAAAGCATTGTGCCCCTCTACGCCAAGTGAAAGCAGAATATGCCCTGATGACGAATTGAACATTCAATTGAGCAGCCCCCGTACTTGTACTCAAACTTTTCAGTAGTCTAGGACGCTTTGCAGAAAAGTTGTGTTCTTTCTAAAATATGTTCCAAATTTTTTTTTCGGTGTCACCCGATACCAGTAAACACTTGAGTATCCTTCGAAATTCACTATTTCAATATACTTACTAATGCACATCGGGGCGTCATTCGTCCACGTTCTAGATAATTGGCAAGTCGTTGCTTCGTTTCCTGCCAGTTCAAAACCTTCATCGCATTTGTATCGACAACTGGAATCGAACTCAGAACCTTTGGAACATTTCACTTGACCATCGCGCGGTGAAACAATTGTTGGACATTCGATTACTAAAAGTAGAAAAGAATTGGCTGTTTAGCTGTAAGTGTAAGGTGACCAAATTACGAAAATTTTAGAGTTTTTTTTATTTTTTATTTTTATATCGAAAACGATTTAAACTAAGTTAAGCAGAACGCATGATTATTGCATGTTGTGCATTAAATAATTATGTGACTTCAATCTTACGTTGACATATAGTTGCCTCTCCAGTCCATTCCTGATTTTCCTGACAAGTTCTACTCGACGATCCTTGCATTTCATATCCAACCTTTGAAATAGAATCAAATATTATCTACAAGTTTCAAATAAAAACAAATAATAATATAGTTGTTGACGAATTCGTAGCAACCCTGTCATGAGGTCCCAAGTCAACTAACGCAAACCAAAAAGAATTGAATACAGCTAAGCCCTACTTTCGTCAACTTTAAGTCTAATTGCGGCCAATCAAGTCTAATTGCGACTCGGACCAGTAATGCCACGAGACGAACAACTCAAGTCACTATAAAATGTAGGACTCGGAGAAATCGAGTCGTTAAATCGAATTGACTCGGACCAGCTGAGAGTACTATTAAATTGTTGACACGAATCTTTATACTTACGCCACAAGAGAAAGTGCATGTTGATTGGAAATCGAATCCTCCTGTGCATATTATTTTCCCATTCGATGGTGCTTCCAATGGGTCACATGATATAACTAAACAGAAGATTATAAAGAATGTTACCAAATTGTATAGGTTTCCTTAATAAGTTAAAGCATAATCATAAATTACAAAAAAGGCGACATTTCTTACGGATGGTTTTTGCACCCTCGCAACACTTTTCAACATAATATGATCTAAACATAATATGAACTAGAGAGTTATATTGGACTTTCTGGAATGGCCGGTAAGCCAGTAATCCATCACAGATATTGTGTTTTTCCTACCGCAAAAATTACTGATAACTGCAGAATTTTCCTCACTTACTTGTCAAAGCGCCGGGTGCTGAACTCCATTCCCCTTCGGACGTGCATTGAATAAACTCGGGTCCGTTCAAAGTATAACCTGGCTTGGGTATCAAACGACATTCCGATCTGAAGGAGGTTGCGTGTGAACAGTCTACAATTGCATGTTCTGGCACATGTAGGGGGTCGCAGGAGATCACTAAAAATTGGGGTTATCGGTTTTCAAAAAATGAAAATTTCCGGGTCTATCAAACCCGCTAATTGTGGGTGCCTAACTGGGAGAGCAAAAATGCATCTTATGGCAACAATGGATTTAATAGGCTCAACTTGGGCAGAAAGAATCGCAATATAAGAGCTCTTGTCTCCATCGTGTCTACGACAAAATTACAAGGTTTTAATGGAATCGCGACACAAAAGGAGCTCGGTTAGGATGAGATTAGATAGGGTTTAGCATTATTTTTGAAATCGTATTTGAAAAGTACTCTTAAATAAGCATATATCAAATATGAATTGAGCATAAAAACTCAACAGATTTATTCTGTACACTTATTTGAATAACTCACTTTCGCAATATGGCTGAGTTCCGGTCCATGCATGATCCTTGGTGCACGTACGTTTTGCGTCGCCTTCAATTAAAGTGTATCCTAAGTCACAGGTGTAGTCGCATACTGATAAATACTTGTCGCCTTTTGTGCATTTTACTGCTCCGTTCAGTGGATTTTTCAGTGATCCACAAGTTGCAACTGCAAATCATTGTCAATACTGTGTTATTACGTATCCGTCAAAACCATTTATAACCATACATTAGGTGTGATAAAATATGATGCCGCGTGACTATATGCCAACATCAGACATAACACAACATGACAACCTCTTGGCTCAATTTTACTGTCCAACTCCAATATTTTCGACGACTCTCAGTAATAAATCGAATTCACTATGATTTGAAAACGGCAGAAATTTTGCGCTGCCAAAGTTTTGTGATTCGGAATTTAAAATATATATATATTTTTTTTCAGTCGAATTTTCAAATTTCTATCGGTCCGACAGAAGAGCTTTGAAATTTCAATTTTCACAAGAAAATTTCAAATTAGTATCTTGACCAAACGTCGAAATGGTTATCACTGTAGTTCCAAATTCACAGAATAGTAGTGTGAAACTCGCTGTGCGTTTAAACAACGACCTATCTAATATACTTGTCAAATATACAACCTGACTTGACGTATTATGTTCTACCTAAATGCGATTAAAGATCTCACTATGAAATTTGAGTGTAAGGCATCCTTGTTACATACTATAAACGAATATAAATTTCAAAACAAACATTTATTCTAGAAAATTCACGATGTATCAAATATGACGCAAATTTTAATAAGTCAATATCCTTAAAATATCGCTATAAAGGAAATTTGAGAATCTCTAATTCAGACATTAAAACCGGCATTAGCGTTTCATATATCGCAAAGTAGAAATAATCCGGGACTAAAAAGCTTTCATGACACTAGAGAAGAGATGACGGAGTAAATCCATTATAACGTGTGATAGTGCAGTTAAGTGACATAACACAAGTCACAACATTTTCATTTACTTTCGATATATAACGTCACAAAATTTTCATTTTACTTGTAATGGAAAAAACGTAATTTGAAAAGTGAAATATAAATTTGCCATATTTAAAGTATGCAAAGATAATATAAAATAAAATGAACCAAAATCGAGTTGACAATCGATTACCAAGTGGGGCTAAGCGGTTAGATATTGGCATCGCTGGTTAAAAATATTTTGTTTAAGTCCCATTTCGAACATCATATATTCCGTCCCTTTCAAAACATCGTAACTCCTTACATACCAGGGACAAGCCTTGGTTGAGGAGAAAGCCGTATAGAAGAGTTGTTCAAATTAATTTACTCGGCGTAGCGTATGAATCACTTCTCCTTATGACATATGACCGACCCTATTTCAATCACAAATTTTACAATTCTACATCACTTACTTTGACAAATAGGTTGTGTTCCAGTCCACGTCGAATCGCCTTGACATATGCGGGTTGTTGTTCCGGTAATATCGTATCCAATATCGCATTGATATTTGCATACAGATTCATATTGATCTTCCACGGTACAGACAACTTTGCCGTTCTTTGGAGATTTTAGATTTCCGCATTGGACGACTAGAAAGTAAAAACAAAAAATGTGAAACAAAATTCAAAGCAGTTTCATAGGCATAAATAGTCACAAAGTAGGCGAATACATTTTATAACATGTCACAAGTTGGGAGAAACTCTAAGCTCTTTAAATAAAAATTATAGTTAACAAATAGCAATCAGTCAAATTATTCGCTTAAACCGGGGGTTATTTTCCCTTATTCTCTTATTTACCTCATTGCAAATTTCGAAGGTAAAATTAGAGGCAAAAGGGCTTTAAAATAAAAAATAGAATTTTAAGGTAGAATGATGTATGTAGATGTATAAGATTGATTGTGCTGAGTTCACATAACCCGGTAGAAAACCCCCGTTTAGGACTTGAATGCCACACCTCACGGCGGCGTCTCCTTTCGTTTTAGTGATTGCTTTAACCCCCGAATATGTAAATTTTCCGGGTTCAGGTGGGTTATGTAACATTTAGAATATCCTACATAGTTTTGCGAAAGAAAATAAGTAGTTCTGTGAAATATTATTTTTCATTATATTTTACAAAACGCGAAGAATACAATACACTCTCTGTTTTTCGGGTAATTTTCTGATAGATACACCGTTAAGCAAATAAAACATTAAAAACGAATTTATTTTCATGGCTGTGACAGCTACAAAAAATAGCTTATTTATAACTTTGTTAGTATACGACAAACAAAAAAGCAGACGAATTTTTTCACGGGGCCACGAAGCGTATATGCAACGTTGCCTGGGCCACCGCATTCAAGCAAGCGGCAAAAGTAAAGTGGTATTTGTTTTGGAAATATGAACCAATCCTAAATCGGATCATAGTATATGCGTACGCTTTTTTGCCACATACACCTGGGTAATATGAGAACAAAAATAGAGTTTGCCACAAAATATATCGTTCATATTGTTTGAAACCTATCATATCTGCAGTGTGCAAAATTCAGATCAAACAGCGTTACAATTATTTCAGTCAACTCAAATGCGCATTGAACAAATACACTTACGCGAGCATGCAGTTGGCTTTCCCGACCATTTTCCATCTGCTTCACAAGTTCTTGCTCCGCTGCCCATGAGGTCAAATCCAAGATCACAAGAAAATCGACATCGCGAATCATACTTGTCATCATCCTCACATCTAAGAATATCGAAATGTTTCATTATGTACATTATTTGTTTGTGGACATACGACGTGACACAGGTGTCTGATTGAAGAAGGAGATCAAAGAAAGTAAACGAAAGCTACAGGGTGACGACAACATCGCCAAAAATGGTCTTAAAATTGACTGCCATCAAAAACGATTTTCACAATTGAAAATTGTGTTCAGAAATGCGTTCAGTATAAAGTGCCTTGAATACAACTCAAGAAAGAATGTTTGGTTAGGCACAAACAGAATAAGACAATGTCTGAGATCATTTTAAGAAAAAATATATTTATCGTTAACTAACGTCACACCAAATCTTTTTCAACACATTGTTGCATTAGCAACGTATGCCGGGATCAATATTCTCAGAACTTATAATTGTCGTATTATAATTTTGCACTGGAGGAAATCGGTTCTTTATACTTTGAATCCACAAAATATAGACCCAAGGAATAAAGAGGACTGAAATATGACGACAATAAATCACGTTAAAGTTGCATAACGGTCATAAACAGCGATGACAAACTTAATTGTGAAAAGTATCAATTTGCAGATATACTTGGTAACAAAAGATATACTACACCATAAAATGTGGAATTGGGTTGGTGACGTAAATGTGGCTTTGGGGTCATAACAGGTCAAATCCTTGCACGTTTCAGGTCGACACTACGAATTTGCCAGAAAATACAGGCTTTCTGTGGTAGAACTCAAGTAAGTCGTAGGATTACTATACAATCTGACATTGTCTACTAAAATCACATTCACTCTATCACGCCCTATCATATAATTTATAGCTCGGAAGGTGCCTATTATGTTTGCCCCCCACGTTGATGTATTCCAAAGTCCTCAGGATTTTGCATGAATGAATTGATAAAAAAAATTTGCTCGGATTCAAACAAAAAGTTTCTTTATTCCAAATAATAAGGGGTAAAATGCAATGTATACCGACAACATATTTCGATCAAAACCAATCGGCCACCGACGAAAGCAAGCCAAAACAGGTGTTTCCGGCGTTCAGGTTTGCGGTCGACTTTTGATTAGGACTGGGTATCTCCAATTCAATAGTAAATTATTCGAATCGATTCGGACGAAAATTTTGAATCGCCGCCATCTTGTGTTTTTTGTCCGCCAAAGGTCGAAGTGAAACCCCCCTTTTTTTATTGAAGCCATATTTTTACAATGCAATTCTGACTCCTTTATTCGTGATGAGTTATTGGGAAAACATGATTCTGATTGTGTGTGACGCTCAGCGAACTGCGTGAGTAATGGTTTCCATGTTTCAATAATTTTGGTGTCTTGAGGTTATTTTACAAATGAAAAAAGTCACATATAAATACCTAATCGGGATCAGATTAAAAAAAAAATATTTGATTCGATACTGATATCATCAGGATTTAGAAGATGTCCAGTCCTACCCCATTTTAGAACATATTAACCTGTCAGTAATGAGGACATAGCCGGCCATAGCAATATACATTCGTACCCCACGTCTTTAATTGATAATAGATATATAAAAATATATCTTAACATCAGTTACACCAATTTTTGCAAATTTGATAGCATCATTTCAAAGCGAAAAATCGATATTAAAATGAAATCACATTCAAGAAGCGATTCAACTGAAATTGTTTTTTGATATTTTACCTTAATATATTTCTAACGAGGTATTAAAACAATTGGTACATATTGGTTTTGAAGTATCGAAATATCAGTGTACTAATCGTTTTATCGTATATGTCGTTATGCGAAAATATTATACCTGCTATATCTAGACGTACTTCTGTTTAACTTATTACAACGACAAACTAATTGTTATTCAATACAATTCAAATATATTGTTATAATATATTTAATAATATAATGCCATTTTAATGCACATTTTGTGTGCACGTATTCATGTTTAGACAAGTTGATTTCAAAATCTTTCAGCACGACCGACCCCGTTTCGAGATTCAGGAAGCAAAACGTTCAAGTGTGCAAATGGTATGTATATTTGAGGCAGACGACGAGAGACGCCTCGATACCCCCCACAAAACGCCCATTTTACACAGTTTGGTGAATTTAGACAATGTCAGCACTTGTTTGAGAACTACGTAAGATGATCTTGGCTCACTGTGTCGAGTGTGGGATCAGTAAGAATTGCGCCGCCTAGGTATTTCTTGTGTAGGTTTATTTTGTCCCGAAGTCACGGCGTGAAAATGATACTTCAACAAAAGCTGTCACATACCTCATCGGCAGATAAAATAAAGTGACTAAATCACGTATAGGTATGTACTAATGTGAGTTTGGAAATCAAAATTTCTCAATCTTATTGAAAAAATATTTATATCCCTCCTGACCCAAGTCTCTACTGTATTTTGCAGTTTGATAGCTATGCGTTGCTAAACTTCTACAGTATAAAAGTGACCGGAAATGGGCCAAATAATTGTACATTTCTGTCAATAGATTAGTATCGTTTTTAGTTTTGATGACATTTCGTGAGCAAAAAGTATGTTTTGAACAAAAGTGCCTTATACAACATGGTAACTTATAGTCTTGAGCCCTATATCCATCTAATATCGTTTTGTTTAGGAAACACTTGCCAAGGTCACAAGTAATACGACCTTACATCCGCCGGGGCGGTAAACTTGTTTCCGTGTGACGATTTACATTAAGTTTACGGGAATGCCATGTTTTAATACAATATAGGGAAAAAGCATTCAAAAATTGATTGTTACACATTATTATAGCTCTGACCAAGCTTGATAGAATACCAAATAATTCTGATGGTTTGGAAGGTAAGGAAAGTTGATGAAATGGCGTCTCTTTTCTTGTAAACATCAATCAATATTGAGATTAAGCCTTGATGTTGCTGTATTTAAAACGTAGACATGCACGATCCTTTTAAAAAAAAATTTTTAAATGTATTTTTTTTATATGGTTTAATTAACAACAAGTATCTAAGAGTCGGAGCGTGCATGCGAAAAACTTGAATAAATGTACTTTATCAAACAAGTTGCAAAAATTGATTAATTCTTTGGAAGTCGGGTAACGATTTTCAGTCTACTATCTATTAATGTACAGAAGACTAAGCGTCAATAGTAAACTTGACGGCGAGCTGTAATGTTGGGTATAAAACACAAATTCTAAGTTGTCAAAACGTCAAAGAATGGCAAACATGACTGAGTTTAAAGGTCAGTTTCAACCTTTCTATGTTCGACGAAACAATGAATCTTATTCCAATATAAGCAAAGGGCCAAATGAACTGAGTTCATGTAAATGAAAACCGCAATTCAAGTATATGTTTGATTTAACGACCAAATTTGTGATTTCAACAGACACCGAAAGGGATTAAACCAAACCGACCTTTCACAGGTGGTATTATTAAACGGAAATACAAAAAGATACGTTAGGGCGCAAAGGAACATAATCAAAAGCGACATGGAAAATTAACAGCCATTTTCGTATCTATGAAAACTCTTATCAATTAATGATTAACTGATTATATTATATGCAAATCGATCAGATTCAACACTAAATATTTTGCGGGGACCCAAAATGACTGTGAACCAATTATCCCACTGGAATCATTTGCTCAGTGAGACAAGTAATACACCTGTATTTTAGAGAGGACATTGTACATATTTTGAATTCAAAATATTACGTTTCGCGGTATTGCAACTTTAGTTGAAATTTAATCTTACCGTTTACTACCGTTTGTAGGCGTTTCGAGTTCTCCACAAGTAACAATTGTACAAGTCACTTCGTTTCCGGTCCAGGAATGATTTGCCATACACCTCCGTACTTTACTTCCAGAAAATGTATGACCAACCTGAAAAAAACAATTACTCGTAAACTTTAATTTGAACATATAAAATTCTGTCTATTTCGTAGGTTTAATCTATTTTATTCCGGGCATATTATAGTGAATCATCTTAATGTCTATGCTCCATTGCCTCGAGCAACTAAAAAAGAGTCAATTTACGTATTCCATTCCCAAAAATGGCACTACCAACTGTACAAAATCATTCTAAAATGACATTGAAAATTTTTATATAGATTTCTAAATGGAAATATTTACCTCACAGACAAAGCTACATTCTGAAGCATAATTGCTTGAATCCGTACATTTCTTGCGTCCATGCCGAGGAGTGGACAGTTCAGGACAGCTGATCACTGAAAAATAACTTAAAGTTCACGTTTGATTTGTGACGTCATACAATCATATCTTATACGTCATCAGTTATTTTTAGAGTACAGTACTCAATCTTGGGCAGAGAGTAATAACATGACAGATTTAACTATTCCCGTGACGTCATCACATATGACGCCATAGACCGTTTTCCTCAACGCTGGGATAAGTAATACTTATCGAATAACTCACTTTCGCAAGATGGTGCAGTACCGTCCCATGTATGAGCACCCGTACATATTCTGTTTCGAGATCCCTTTAACTTGTAACCTTCCTGTTGAGATATAAATGTGAATAATATATTTCATTGAAAAAAAAAATCGGCGTTCAAAAACCTCACAGATTGTAGCAAATAGGAAAGAAATCTTTATATCTTCAGTATTGGGGAGTAGTCCACAAACCTCGAGTCTCAAATCAAGACGTCCTGGCGGTTAGTCGAGTCCTAGTTTAAATCTTTCCGCTGAGATGGCTTTAGTGACTTGGTTTGTCATGACCGACCCATTTCCACATAAACACTTTCAGGTGAACCACAAACTTATTAATAATTGCTGAAGTTATTGAAAAATTTAGTTTCATTTATGCCACTATAGTTAAATTATGATTGTAGTGGCAATGAATGATGATGCTGTTTTTGGCCAATGAGTCGTAATTTATTTTCATCTTATTCATTAAAGTGAAAATAGGCATAAGAAATTTAGTCCACAAAAGTAAAAAAAGTTGAGAACCACTATTTTAATATGTATTTACCCGGCACCGCCATGTTCAGAGCGGAAATGTGAAATAAATGAACTACAAAATTGATCACTTACGCCACACGAAAATTGACAATTTGACGAAAAATCGTTGTCTCTGCTGCATGTGATAATACCATTCTTTGGTGAAGTCAATTCGTCGCATGTTATTCTGTTACAAGTAACTTCGTTTCCAGTCCATAAATGATTCGCTTTGCAAGTTCTTACCACTTTCTCGGACAACTCGTAACCTTCCTGATGTGTAGAAATAAAGAGAATATGTTAAAGATTCGTTACTGTTTTAAACTAAAAATGCCAAGTGTGTATTGCGACCTTACCTCACATGTAAAAGTACAAGACGATTGATACGAATTTCCTTTTGTACATTCGACCTCTCCGTTAGCTGGATTTTTCAACTTTGGACAAGTTGCAACTTGATAAAAAATAATGTTACACTTCAATTCGGAAATTGTATATAAGTTTTTTTGCAAAAATTCTAATTCCAAATACAAATACAATGGTTTTTTGCGAGACCGATCACTAATCCTAATACAATAAGCGACAATGGATTCGTTTGCGTATAATGCAAGGATGCTGTAGCAAGAGTGAAAACTATTCTAGGTGATTCAAAAATGTAATTGCAAACTTAAAAGCATATTTCTGTAATGTTTCTTCAAAGCGAAGTCAAACTTCCCCAGTAAAATATATACAGAAATAAAGTTTTTTTAATGATATGCCGACGATAAACGATCTTATTATTTTTCAGATGAGGATAACTTCTTTTTTGACATTATTTTGAAGAAATTTGCAAATTATATAATATACTAACGTAAGCACGAAGTGTCGTCATCTGTCCATTCGCCATTCAACATACAAGTTCGACTTGTTGGTCCTACAAGATCAAACCCTTCCTGAAATATAAAATATATTATTGTACGGTAATATTTATAAATGGGATTAAAATAGCTGTGAATGAAACCATTTGTTTCAAGTATCTCCGCGTCTCCCATGAGATGTGAAGGAAATATTCAACGATATTCAGTAATATTCAAAGAGATTATCATTGAATTATTTATTTCACTTTGTTCGATTTTGTTTTGCCGATTCGAAAACTAGAAGATATACGTACCAAGCATATGAAAGAGCAGACAGAGTCAAAATCAGATTTTTTTGTGCATGTCATCAATCCACTCTCGGGAGTGCCTAATGGTGGGCACGTTATCACTGAAACAATAAAAATGTATATTATTTGGTAATGAGGACAATAGATATTTTTTGTGGAAAAATTTGGTGACTGAATCAAGCATGTCACGAATTCTTGGCTTTGGGTAAGACAATCTTTAAACCAAGCAACAAGGAAGTCTTGCTTACAATAACTGTCATTCATATGTATCACTCGTAAATTTTAATAAATTTACCACATTTTTGTAACAGTTTGATCACACTATGACTATGGTGCATATTCCGCTCACAAATACAAAATGATTTTACAAATGGAATAAATTATCTTACTCTCGCGATCGGAAGTACAAATTCAAGTGACCGGAAAATGTGTACTATAATCCAGGAGGATTTGTTGAAGTACGTTTTTGATGTTTTACTACACTGTAAATATTTATCCTTTCAACCACACCCAGAACAAAATTAAACTACGACATAGAGCAGAAGAATTTCGAGGTTTGAAGATTCTTATATATCAGAATAGGGTACGCTAGTAAATACCTATAAATCTAGTGGAATGTATGGATATTTTTAACAACAAAAATCGCAGGAATGCCAATCTTAGACTGGAATTCATTTATAGTCAAGTGTAAAAGCCTTTTCTCCCATGGTATTGTTTATATAACGATTTGTTTTGAAGTGTTGTGATCTTGTAGTATTTCCATGTCGCCAAAATGTCCAGTAAGATTCCGAAATCATTTACGTAAGTGAATAGATTTAATAGAAATACTCAAAGGGCAATAGTATTAGATTTTGCAAGTTTCAAATACAGTGCAGATACGCCTAATTCAGTTTCAACATTCGCGGAATATTATTAGAAAAAGAATTTAGACCATATTTATATTTACCCATAAATGGTTACCCATAAATGATTTAAAACAGGTAAAATACTTGTTTAGAAAGAAAATTTACGGGGCTTTACGAAAAGCTTTACCGCTTCTAAATTTAGAATTTTATTCAATAAAATTTCCAAAATGAAAATAGTTGAATATATATATCATAACAAATACACTATGCTGCCGTCGAAGATAAAAAAAATTTCTCATATAAATCGCAAGCACCCATAAATCTAGCCTAGCGTTATCAATTTGGAAGGCTATATGTCGAGTTGGAAATTGCAGCGAGATAAAAGATCTTTACATATTAGTGGAGGGTCGTAGCATTAATTTTTGGGTGAAGGTGAGGAGAAAATAACTCTGAAAAGCCAAGTATAGTCTTACGATCTGCAGCTGGAGTTGGAGCTGCTCCTTCGTCGGTGCATTCAATTACACTGGATCCATTCAAGCTATACCCAAGCTCTGCTTTTATGGTACAAATAGACCCGAATCTTCGTCCATTGGTACATGTAATAGTCGTATGAGGTTTTGCGATCAGGTTGTCGCATGTTTTCACTGAAGAATAATATTTTAAATTCATACAGTTTATATATAAAACTAACTGATTAAATAAATTCATGGGGAAGTTTAAAGTCAAGTCAATTGCAAATTATTATAATCTCTAAATGTCGTTCAAATGATTTATTTAACTGTTTTTGCTGAGCGTTTTAAAATAGACGAAAACAACGAAAGAAAGAAATTCAAATAAATCTAAGGGAATAACAATACATGTATTTTAGACAAAACAATATTGTCGTTTAATTTTTAACGCACATGACAAGCTTCAATTCAATATCCTTCATTCGATATTTTTTTTATTATTATACTCTTAAATATACAAATGCAATATGATCTTACCATTGCAGGAAGCTTCTTTGCCATCCCATTTTGAATTCTTTTTACATGTTCGGGTCACACTTCCTTTTCCTAGATAGTATCCAGTCTGAAAAAACGGAAAATTTGTACTGTTATGTTGATGCAACATTCGTTACTAAAGTTAATCATATTAAAGCATATCAGCATAAAGCATAATCATATTATAATATAAAGCATGTCATAATATATCAATCATATAATATAACATGAGTATACGGTTCATTATATCAATTATTGTTTCATGATGACGAAATGACTCATAAAATCGATGTGTGCTGACCCAGAAAGAAGTTCCGTATCTCCAAGTCCGGTTCCCATTAATACTTGAGTGACAACTTCTTATACAGAGCAATATTTAGAGTAAGCGCGTGAAAAGTCACTAAAAATTTACCAGTAAATTCATACAATGAAGTCAATTTTATACAAAGATAAGAGTTATATAATCTACTTACATCGCATTCCACAACGCACTCTGATGCATATTCATTTGATGCCGAACAAACCATGGAAGCATGAAGTGGTTCTGCCAGTACTGGACATCTGATCCGAACGCAGGATGGTGCCACACCAGTCCAACTCCTATCTCCACCGCAAATTCTTTTTCGACTTCCCGTCAGGTAATATCCTTCCTATTAAAATAAATTGTCAAATATATTGTGTTGAAAAAGATCATGTCATTTTCATATGTGAATAACGCAGTAACAAAATATTTGAAATTTCGAAGAAAAAAATGAAACGGAAAGTATCTATAAACATCTTTTTTCAAAAGATTCTTGCCACCTCATAGTTAAGTGGGCAAAAACGATTCTTGAATAAATACTGTACTATTTTTCGTGAACGAATATATTCAGGAATAACTACCGTACGTCAAAAACAGTAACGGGGCAATTGAAAAGAGATGCCAATAACCACTAAATTTTCGAGCCAAGGTAAACAGAGGTTAAACCTTAACCTTAAGTTAGTGTCAAGTGCAAAATATTTGAGTATTAGCAAAAATGTCAATATATATGTCATTTAAAATATATTTCGGTGTCAAAACAAAGACAATAATGATATTTTAATCTACTGCCTGAGAAAACTAATTTGAACTAACTGGAAAATCAAAACCAAAAATATGTTATTCATTGTATGCAACATTGACCTCTCGTATTTATAGGTCTGTTAAGGTTCATCTCGAATACAGTGTGAAGAATTTTTAACTTATACTGCGCCATGTAATTTATATCTTACACTGAAAGGACTCACTTTTGTACAATTTTGTACACCTTTGTACAATGGATTGAGACGGGATCTTAAAGGCGCCAAGTTGCCCACTTAAGATAACTGTTTAAAACTTGTCGTCGGCTGGCGTGACAGTAGCGGGAGATGTAATGGTAAACTATACCCTTGAAGTGGGATGGAAATGGCGTCTTCAAGGTTGGAGAAAATTAATGTTCGGTATTTTTTTGCAAAGACACCATTTTTTCAATATTCAAATTTATGGTTATAATACGATAATATATGGCAACCTATCGCTAAGCCGCATGGAATGAGAAAGTTTTTATCGGTTGATATTGATATCGTTCTATTTATATTCGAAGAAATTTGAGATCACCTATATTAGGTTGATAGCCTCGATTTGAAATATGTACCAATTTATAAATAGTAACAACTGAATCATTGTTCTTAAAGTAATTACGATAAAGAGAAATGACAAAAATGTAGTGTAGTACAATTTTTATCTTATTGAACTAATGCCATATAGGAATCGAAAATTTAAATTCTTTACGCTATTCAAATCGTAATAATCGTCAATTTGCATGATATACCAAGAAAATAATCATTTGATAAAAATAAACAAATTCCAATGTCACAAAGAAAAAATTCCGTCGCGTTGTATTTATGCCAGCAAGATGTCGCATAACGAATAGTGAAGAAGAGTGTCCTTGTGGATTCAAATCAATAGACGATACTCACTTCACATTCAAAATCACATCTAGTACGAAATCCACTCAGTGAAGCCAATTCTTCGCCACCATCCAATGAATCTGGTGCAGTGCATGTGATTTTTCCGTTCTCCAGAGGTGTCATTTGCTCACAGGTAACCACTGAATGAAATACAAATTATAACGTCAAACACGTGATATTGATTTGATAACTATAATAAAAATAAAACGACTGAAAAAATTGACGATTTTCGTCGTATAGATCTAATTTTACAACACCAGGCTATAAAATAGCCAACAAGGTTGACAAATTGATCAAAAAGCAAAGCTAAATTTGAAATTACTGCAGGTGCGACATTTCTAGATTGACGGGGATCTCGTTTAATGCGCTTTGTCACGGGTCGGTAATAATTGTTTGAAAAAAAGCGTTAATTTTTACAGTTTTCGAATATGCGTGTCAGACGTATGTCATCACGTAGTGTCTGTCGACAAATCTGATTTTGTCGATATTGGGTATGAAGTTTAAAATATAGATTAGGCACGTACATCTCCGTAACACAACTCAATTCGAAATTTGGGGGAAGTACTCACTGTAATTCTGTCAAAATCGAAATTTGTTGAAATATTGCTCTGCCTAAGGTCATAAAAAGTGGAAATTTGTGGAGGGGCATCGATTAATATTGCATGTTATAAAAATTTTACATGTATTATACGTATTATACTACTTTATTGCATGACTTATGCGTATTTCAATCTCCATTGCTTACTAAGTTAAGTACTGTAGATAAAAACTGCCAATTGGGGAAAACTACAAAAACTTTGTGTTTGTCCATGGGTAGCATAATTGAACAAAAAATTCAACGAAAGTATGTGTTGTGGTGCAACACTTATAGGCCGAGTATACCTCAAGTCTGTAAATAAGCGAAATACATTCTCGCATTCCCATCTCCAATCATCAAAACGCAACCAATTATAAATATAAAAATAGGATCATAAATCTTATATTCTCATCATGGTTGACACTGGACAAACTTAAATCTTGGATCGTTAAAAGATTCGTTAGCAGAAAATATTTCATTTTTTTTGCTAATTCTTTTACATATTCAACAAATTGAATCTTATATCGATGTGAGTAAATATAAGAATAGTTACCTAAACATGAAGTATCAGTTCCCGTCCATTTTCCACTCTCTCGACATATTCTTTCACCAGATCCAATTAAATCATGTCCAGGATTACAAGAAAACTGACAAATCGATCCAAAGTTTCCTCCATCTGTACAAACGCCAGATCCATCTGCTGGCAATGCTAGCATTCCACAAGTAATCACTAATAAAGAATTAAACGAGACATGAAAATACTGGAAATCACATTTGAAATACTGATTTCATGTAAACCTTATAATTTATCGAAAAGTTGATATTGCTGTGGATATTTATTTATTTGAGTGGTTTTTGTTATTAACATGTTGCAAACAGTTTTGATTTTGCACTTGTAATTAGATAATCAGGGTTAAACTCAAAACCTGGATGCATGGTAAACGAAACAAAAATATATAATAAACGATATGAAAAAACTTATTTTAATATAAAGACTTTTGAATTATATTGCAGTAAGTCAAACTGCAAAAACGTTTTGCATTATTCATTGATGCAAAATTTCAAACGAGCCACACAAGTGGATCGAAAGGATTCCATGAGTTGTTACTTAATGCTTACTTGTTTGTAAACTTGATATTCTTAAAAAAATTCGTTTATGACCCGAAAAAAAAAGTTTTTCCCACCCAAACTCGGGAGCGGAACAAAGCTTTTTGAAACCGCACCAAAAAAACCTTATTTGGTCAAACTTAACGTAAAAGGATAGGCAGAAATATAATTCAGACATTTTGGAGTAAAAATAGATTTTTAAGAAAGCCGGAAGCGACATTCGGTCGCCGAGGTCGTCTGGTGACGTACGTAGTACGAAGTGACCCATGGCGAACATGACACCACGCGACTTTATTAGCATTCTTGGGAAACCTTACTTTCAGGTATGTGAAACTCCGGGAGTTGTCACGAACTCTCCACGCTTGGAAGCAAAACGATGATCAAATCTTCTTTTTATACTATTTGTCCTTAACACAGCACTAGAGTAAAACCAAACTTTAACGATAGTCAAATAAGATTTTTCATTTTAACGGTTGGTGTAAGAATGATAAGTTTTGTATTTTTTGAATTCTGAAAACCAAATGTGAATATTTGATATTTGATTCTGATGAAATTCGATACAGAAAACTGGTTACGCGGCTAAAGATATTTGAAATTACGAAAAAGATATATTGATAATGGAGTAAAAAATTTTTTTTTTGTAAATGTTATTTTTCCAAGCTGAATAATTTCAATTTGACAGGTACTATGCAATGAATTTTAGTTTTGAATGAAGCAGGCCCGGTATGTCCAAAAGAGCAAACCTTTTTGGCAGCACCATTCTAAATAAACATTTTGCATAAATTTATAATTTCGTGTCTTTGCAATAGATTTGCATATTCAAACATTTGGGCATACTTTTTAGACTGAAAGAAAATACTCGTTAGATTTCCATTTAATCTTCGGATTCGGTCGTAAAATGCGCTACCCACAATAATAATTTGAATAGATAAATATATCGATAAATAATATTCTAGAACTCTGTGGGTTATGTGACGTCAGTCCCCTTCGGAATAAAACTCACTTCGACACGTGGGTTCCGATTCGCTCCACGTCTCATCTTCTTGACATAATCTTTCAAATCCGTCAATGCGATCAGTCTGGTCGGTAACTACGAGTTCATATCCAAGTTCACACGAGAATCTGCATACCGATCCGTAGTTGTTCGAATGAGAGCATTTGATACGACCATTAGATGGTGCGGTGAGTTTTTCACATAATTTGACTATAAATAATAAGAGATGATAAAAAATTTGATTATTGCATGGTTCGTCCTTATAGGATTACAAGTTAGAAGATAAAAAGATATTGTCAAACATTTACACTTTATCATGAAAAATAATCATGCCGACGGCGATTTTTATCTAATATTTTCGATAAAAAATACCAATTAAAACAGGCGATTAAAAATCCTCAAAATTACCATTGGAGGCCTGAACAATAGCTTTCTAGTACCTCCTCCATTTGAACAAAAAAAAATAACTAATTTTTCTATACTACTCATTTACATTCTCAGCAGTCACAACTAGGTAACTGTAGTTTGAAAGTACCGGATTTGAACCTAAGATTTCCAACCTTCGATGCCGACATAATTAGGTACAGTATATTCACTTAGTATAACAAATTACTTACTTGTACATGTTGGGGCGTTCCCGGTATACGTTTTATCAACTGTACAGACACGAACTCTTGACCCGGAAGTCATTTTATATCCGGCATGGCATTTGTACTCGCATCTTGAATTAAAATTATCGTAATCCCCGCATTCAACACTTCCATGAGTAATTGATTCAACTTCACCGCACATGATACCTACGAAAATTATAAAAAAAAATAGAAATTATTTTACTATTCATTCACGTTCAATAAATGATATTTACACAATTTTCGCTTTTAATGTTGCGTTTTTTTTACTCTCGCAACTTTAATCACAATAGCCGATTTATCCATCACAAACATCGCATTTATGGTATTTTCTGTGATAAAAGTTTGTTAAAACAAATGGGTGTGATAACCTGGCCTGACTTTAAGATCTGTTGGTGTAGTTATTATGATTGACTGAGGCATGCAAATAATTCTAATTTTCTGTGCACCAGATTAAAGAATATTTGTTTTGGTTTTAAAGGAAAACAAAGCATGAAATTTGTAAACTATTATAACCAGCATAGTATATACAACAGAAATTTTATTAAGTCTTCTGGAATGCAATAAAGATAAAAAAGCATTTTTCGAAAGTTTTGCATACCGTCATGCGGCGGTCGTCTGTGAACCCCAAACCTTACAGGATCAGAAACGTGGTTTTAAAGGCCTAGGCTAGATTTTGTAAGACCAATTTTAGTGTTTGATCCCACAACAAAATAACTTAATTGTTTCCATTTTTAGCATAAAAGCGGATAATATGACGCATTTACAAATTATGTTATAAAATAGGAAAAGTTTTCGACAATCACGTGCGATACTTTCTCAAACTGTCATCCATCAATTTCTTGCGCACGACTTGACACTTAAATTGTCGAAATATTATCTTAAATATAATAGAAGTTGTACGAAAAACAATGCAAAAGGTAGCAATAATGTTTATGGCAGCATCTTAATCTCAGTGGTGTGACTCTTATTTCTTTGTAAAGTTTACCACACAGTCCTGTATGCAGGAACATCGTCGATTTTTATTATTATTTAAATTTACCTTCCAACAATTTTGATAATAGTGCAATTTCTTGGGTTTTTGCGAGTCTTGATTCATTTTCTTTGATTTTCACCCATTTTGCTCAAATTCAATTTAGATATGAAACATAAAGTGTATTATCCTTAAAATGTTACGTTGATAGCAGGTGATATGATCCCACTGAGAGAACTTGTCGATACTATAATTACATGCGACTACAGTAGAGAACAAAATCTCTAGTGGGATCAAACACCCATGAATCAGACAGTTGGAATGGTAATTTGCCGAGACATATTTTTTTTTATATTCACATGTTTTTCCGGCCATTTAAGAAGATTTTAATAACTATATTTGGTGTTTCTTACGTCCACAGGCGGATAAGCTTCCTTTCCACAGTCCATTTGATCGACATGTCACATGACTATCGCTTCTCAATTCATATCCTTCCTCGCAGCTCAAACTGCATTCTGATCCAAAGTCACGTATGTTTGTACAGGTTATATGCCCATGAGAAGTTGTTGGGCAATGTTGGGCACGTAACAACTAAATCAAAGGCATAATTTAAGCATAGTAAAAAGTCACGTACACTTCTTAATTATAGTATTGACAATAGTGACATTGTCAGAGGACAATTCAAAGTTCAACACAAATCCATCTCCCCAAACTTCATTGAATTGAGAAATCTTAAATTGAATCCGAAAACTTGAGCAACTATAACGAGAGGAAACACGTGAAATATTTATCATACTTTCACAAGTCGGTGACTCGTGCGTCCAACTTCCAGGTGACCTTGTTCCAGTACATGTTGCAGACGATGGACCTCTTAATAAATAACCATCTTCGCAGTCAAACGCACATGCACTGCCATAGTCTGTTCCTCTCAAGCATCGCTGTGTCACGCGGGAATTGAGCATCAATGGCTTGCACGATATTCCTGAAAATAGACATTCATAAGACAACCTCACAGATGGTACAAGTGAAATGTTATGACTTTTAGCACAACTGTGATTTATTACTTGTCATGTAGTTTATACGATAACGACATTTTCTCAAACTACTGTGCAATAAATGATAAGTAGTATGTTCACGGTTATTATGGTGAACATTTTACATAGTAAAACTGTCAACCACAACAATGAACTTGTGTCTGAGGAATTTTATCACGCGTGTCAATTTAATGTGATAGAGTCAATGTTTAAATGTGTGTTTTGTAAACACAAAAAACTCTTGTCAAATGTCTCGTCGTAATTGACTTACTTTCACACACTGGCATTCTTCCGTGACCAGCGAATTCCCACCATCCTTGACTGTCACATTCAACAGAACTTGATCCAGTCAGTTCATATCCTTCCAAACACTGAATGAACATCTAGAGCCGTATCTTTCGTCTCCAGAACACTCTATCTTTCCATTTGAAAGTGGAGAGAGGCGGAGAGCAAGTAATAACTGAAATTATTTCGGTCATTAATCATAAATCAATCAAACACCGAACAAAATTTTATCATGTTGTCAGTAAAGTTCAGATTTTCATGGAAATTAGTACAAAAACGCAAGATCATTGCATAAACAATTTGAGGTTTTATTCTCACCTTTCCACCTTACACAGAAGGACTATTTGGCTTGGCGTATAATTTGTGAGTGATAAACTACACTAATGATTGCTATCGAGTTATACGTGTACACTTGAGAATTGCTAAACTTCGGTTTCTGAATGTCACGTATTTCTTTAATCCATACATTTGTATTATTAAAATATTAACTTCATTTAGTGATTTATAATCTTTGGCGAATAAATGAGAGATTTTATGTTAAAATCGTTAAAATATCCCATAACCGTGGTCAAAGAGATTCATTTCTACATTTGTATTGTTTACTTGAGCACGATGGCGTCGGTCTGGACCATCTTTCCGTTGTCGTGCATTCCATTGTAGGGAAGCCTTCCATTTTGTAACCCTCGTCACACGCATATGTGCACGTAGAACCGAACACACTTCCATTTTCGCACTCAAATCTTCCATTTGATATGAGTGAAAGGACAGGACACTTGATTTCTAAATTATATGACAAACAATACCTTTAGTTAACTTTAAAAAGGGAGAAAAAGATTCAAAAAAGATCATAATTTATCTTACGAATACATTCTGCATCATCACTTGTCCATCGAGTATCTCTGCGGCATCTAGGTCTGGTTTGACCTGAAGCTTTGAAGCCTTCATCGCATATGAGTGTACAGTAACTTCCCACACGAAAACCGCTGGAGCAGTCATATCGACCGTTTTCTGGCGACAGAAGATCCTCACAAAGTGCGGCTAAAATATTACAAATATTCTACTAGTCGTAGTCGATCAATTATTGTTATCAGGGCTTATATATTCGTAGTCATCCATTGTTGAGGTGAACAGATATGGATTATATTTACAAGAAAGTAAATTATACAGCAATATCATATAAGTAAATGAATATACCGATCCTAAGACAATTTATATATGTTTTCATATTAGTAATACCCTTGGTCGTATCCTCTTGAATATATACATACAAACAATAAATAATGTTTGAACTCAACGTCAACGTTTACTTATTTGCTTGTTGGTGACTTACGGTCACAATTTGGCTCCGGGCGATCCCACGTTCCGTCTTCTCCACAGGATCTGGTAGCATGTCCCAAATCGGCACCTTCTCCGTCTTCTAACGCATACAATGGCCCGTTACATATAAAAGTACACTTAGTCCCCGGAGTTAACTGCTCTTTGTCACACTTCACTCGGCCATGATCCGGCGCTCTTGGAGCTGGACAAACCGCTACAAAAAAAATTGTAAGTTTGTACGAGACATATACTTCGATGCAATTTGGTTACGTAACAATAGTTTTGTCGAAGGCAATCCCGCTCTTTCAAGTTGGTAAGATTGTAATGTGGTTTGCTTTTTGCTTGTTTGGAAACTGTCAAAAAGTAGAAGGAGGCAGGATACCGACGAATCAATTTTTAAGTGGAGCGGATGAAATGCAAAAATGATATATAAGAGTATTAAACTGAAATAAATTAAAGTAAGATTTACGTATTGATTTGCAGACGTCTTTCAGGAGTTTATCTTTAATACTCTTAATGTCATCGAAGTTTTGAACTGAAAACATGTGATCACTGTCTGGATCAGTAGCAATGTCAGAAAGTTCCGATCTGTGTATAACAAATATCGAAGTTAGTGTGTGACTGAGCCCTAATGCCATGGCCAGTGTTCAATCCAATATACTTACATCAGGGCTGAACCGACGCCAATAGAAAACACCTCTACCCCAGTTTCTCTCAGCAATCTTGCTGGTTCAGATACGTCATCCAGAATAGATTCTCCATCCGTAATAATAACAGCTGTTTTTCTTACACTACCTGAATGAACAAAAAACATTATTGTATATTTAAGTCATAAATATTTTATCAAATGTTCCTATATTACCATCCAGTCTGCTTCCTTGGTCTGTTGAAAACATTACTGTCCTCAAAAAATCCAGAGCACGACCGGTGGCAGTATTCCCTCCTTTGTATCCCATTCTGTTTACAGCCCCTATCAACTCTTCAGTAGACGGATGTTGGTTGAGGGTGAATTCAATTCTGCAAAGTCATAATGTATGTATTTATAAATGTTATAAATGAATAAAATTTAAATGAAATAAAATTTTAAGCAATTTCTTCAACAACAATATTCTTTCGAAATACATCGGAATATCCTGTGTAAGGATTTACTCTTATGTCGCTCATCACAAACGAAGGTGATATTTAGTGTAATCACCACTCACCTTGGATCATCGGAGTATTGGGCAACACCAATCAACACTGCATCAAAACCAATGGTAAATGCCTCAGCCAAACTGATAAGAAAGGCCTGCATTTTCTTAAAATTGTCTGGTCCTACGCTCCATGATCCATCGATTAAGATCACTAAATCGGTCTTCTTCGTTTTTTGGCATTGTTCAATATATTTGATATCTGGCGATGTCTCTGGAAACATAAATGATAGTGTTTTATTTTGTGCATATATTTAGTAATATATGTACAAAATCTTCACTTACCACCCAAAATATCGCGTATAGTCTCTCCAACTCCGACGGTCGAGTCTTTTCCCGTGTCAAACTCATCGTTCCCTGAAGTATGTGATATCATTTATTAAATTTTATTTACTTATTACTTATTTTCATAAGTAAGGATATAATAGGATATACATATTTAACCCAGGGGTGAGGGAATCCGATAAGACGGCTTAATTATATGTCGAACAACGGCCTCTCGTTCGGCTACCAGGCCATGTCGAGTATGGGACTAGTTAGTCAGGTATTTATTTTCGGAAAAACTCCCCAATCAGTTGTGAATCGATATTGATAATGCAAATTAATTCAAAAATATCAATGTCCGTTTGAAAAATATGTGGAAACGTATTTGAATATAAAATTATCCCATATCACTCCACCTGTTGTCACTTGAGAGACTACTTCAGAACTGTATGCTCCTTTTTTCTCCGACTTCAATGATATACGATATCTTGTGCCAGATTTTAGTCCTGTAATTTTTTCGTAACTGACTTTTGGTCTCAATTGTTTAATTTCATCGTATTCACCTCCTACTTCCTCAATTTGGAGCTGTATCCCGGAAATGCCACTAAAATATACAATATAAGTAAGTATCAACATCTTCAGCCTCCACGACATTTGATCCCATAAAAATAGGCGGCCAATTTGCTGTGTAGAGGTCAAATTGTCATCACCTATAGTAAAGCAGTATTTCTAATAAATAATCTCATTGCCATTCAAATAATCAAGTCAATTTATATTTCTGTATTGAACTATCCATTCAATATATATAACATCTTTCTAGTTTTATCCCCAAATAAAGGGCTTGATAACGTAAATTTCCACAAATATATATTTATTTATAACATATCATCTTACGTTGATCGTGGTGCTGGGACCCATGATGCTTTAAATCCGTTTGTCGTTATCTTTGATATTTCCAAAGATGTCGGCGGTGGTATTGCTGGAATATTGTTCGGTTACATATAAATATTACAATCATCATTGCAAGATAATCTTATGAAACATGCCTACAAATATATTCTTATTAAAAGAGTTGTTATAATTGTATAGGAGGTTGAACAGAATTACCGGCATGCGAAGCTTCATCATAGTAAAAATCATATAGATTATATATGTAGAGACCATTTTAAGTATCCAATGGCATTTTTGACAGAAGATATCAGTTTGATGTTGATTTTTAAATGAATTATTGGTTAGATATAGATTTGATTGTGAAGGTTGGTGAATTGTTTTATTCGTTAGTAATTTATCTGCAATTAACTAATACGTCTAAAGCAGTAGTGGGATTCAGCCGGTTCTATAGAACCGTCTCATGGAATTTTATGGGATCAGCGAACCGGTTAGCATCACTGAAAAAAACACAACTTTTTGTAACAGAACCAGCTGATAAAAAAATTTGAATCCCACCATTCGTCTAAAGTACAATGTAATATGATGCAGTGCTGAGACAGTGATGAAAGCAAGAATGATAATTATGACATACATGTGAGAGCAGATATGTTCACCGTATTGCTTTTTACACCATCAGCATATAATGCAAAAACGGTTATCATGTATTCTGCTGCCTGCTCCAATCCCTGAAAAACATACTCCGTCCGCACCGCAGGTATTCTTACATCTTTACGATTGTTTGGATTGGCCACCAGCAATTCGTCTGTGTTATCGGGTATTCTGACCAAGCTTAGGTAATATTGAACCGGATACATGGATGGTGTCAACCAGCGTATATGAATGGTGTTCTTGCTATTCCTTATTACTTCTAGATTACTCGGAGGCGGATGCTTTAAATCTTCAAAAGATTTCGAATCATCCGTTTGAGCCGGACGCTCACTTTCGTCAACGCTTTTAATAACTCTGGATGGATTTGCTCTTTGTTCTTTATTTACGAGGTCTATCAAATACGAAAAATATTGCGCAGTAACGTCTCCCCCCGAAAAAAAATCTGGAGTTGAAGAATTTTGTGTAAGTGTCTTGTAATCGTCAAACGATCCTATCAAATCTTTTTCTTGAAATGTTTCTCCAAGACTTCTGCCGTGTTGTTGCAGGTCTTCATTATATAAACGAAGTTGTTCATCGTGCGAGTCCACTCCATTTCTGGTACTTTTTGACTCTTGTCTATGCCGAGCTCGGCTACTCTCACGATATTCATGCCCACGTGGAAAACTAGACATTTCTGTTAGAACAGAGGCGTTATTTAAAAGCAAGCAAATGATGGTGTAACATGCATAAAGTGCAAGTGAAAAGCTGCGAAATAAGCAAAGGAATGCTTTGTAGTTGATAAAGCAGAAGCAATAGAAAGCGTAGCTGTTATTCAACATGCACGGGTATTGTCATCCCCATTCAATCGTTACATCAATTACACAGAAGATTTAAGGTGAATAGTGTTCACAAAAAAAGGCTTTCTACTACTGTATATGTAAAAATATATTGATTACGTAACAGAAGCAAAACAAATTTGCGTAACTTAACAACTTAACACTGCATACGTTTTTGCTATCCCTTCGGCAACGTATATTTCGAAAAACATTTGTACTGTACGCATCTCGATCGATTGCACTTTGCAACGCTTTTACAATAAACCGGTTTTCTTACTATATTAAAACTATTTTATTGAAACCTATTATGTATTTTTTGTATTTCCTTATCGGGGTAGTCATCTATCGAAATTCATTTGAATATAATATCCAAAAGTATGCGATATCTTTATCTTGGGCTATCATTGTTCACGGTAATTTTCTTTTACGTTGAATATCATTAGATAATCGCCGCTATGTGTCAATTTTTTTTTTCTGTGAATGTAGCTGAAGTTGTACCTGCCGAAAAATTAGAACAAATAAAACACAATTTTGATATCAATATTCATGCCGAATATTGAAGAATGTAATGATATTGACAATCTAAGAAAGTAACAATGAATTTGAGTTTCAAATTTTTTCGTTAGTAAATATCAGAAAAAATATCTTCTTAGTGAAAACAGAATATTTTTGTTTTAAACGGCCACAAGAGACTAAATCATCACATGTCAGCAGTAAAACGTCTCTTTGGTTCAAAAGATCAATTTAATGTAGTTTACGATTTCAGTATGTGTTCACTTTAAAAGTGTTTCTATTTTTAGAACTAATGATATGATAGTGTCTAAAATGAAACCTATCAGTCACAGTGTATAATATTTGCTGTCCACGCGGAAAAAAATAGATATACTTCGGCTGTCATCCGCGTGATTGACAAATACAAATCGATTACGGTTAATTATTCGAATTCGAGTCTAAAGTTGACCCGAAATTTGGCCATTACCCGTTTGGTAAGATTGACCGTCAGTGCAAAATTTCACAAAACACTGTAATGGTACAAAATTTATTGTATACCGTTTTGAAATATAGAGCCTGAAGTGTAATATTGAAAACTGTAATTGTAATTGTAAAATTGTAAAACAAAAAATAAATTAATAAAACGCACACGTCTTACGGGGAAAAATTAGAATCCAAATTAACACACACGACACACGTTACTATAGCCAAACTATGTCTTTTAAAGGGTTAATTTCAATTGCATTGAAAATCAAGTTAGTTGAACACTTTGCACACTTGATAGCAAAAAAACTATAGTCAAGCTAAAAAATGCTAAGTATCCAAATCGTGACATCAAATCATCGCTTGTCTTATATTATTATCGCACAACATTTGCAAACAAACAAATAACACGTAGCATATCATCGCTTTCACGCGCATGCTATATTAGCAGGAAACCATACTTTTGGATTTTTATTCGAGTTAAATATTACGCACACTATAAACCACGGAGATGAATTGTAACATTTTTGTTAAATATTAAGCCCCAGCTGGTACTTCTGAAGAGATATGCCTGATGATTCCAATTTCTTGTAATATTCGTATTCTCATAATTAGGTACCGGTATTAGGTTTGTAAAAGCATCCTCTTTAACTTATAAATATTGTGGAGTCAATTAACAAGATTTCCAAGTCCAAAGGTCATTTAAGTTGAACACTAACGATTGAAATTTTTTCTAATTCTTAGAAATCAGATGACCGAGTTGGGACACCAGCGAAGGACATGTACTGCAGTTCGCCAACAGTAGTAAATTATATTAGTCAGTGTTAAACCGTGATTGCAATTGGCTTTTCGGTCAACATACGCCATCGGTCGATCGAGCCCCTGTCACAATGATTTAGTCACTTTCAGTGACTTTTTTTTCTTGGTTGCATCGAAGAAATAATTTTCACTTCACGCCTCTTATTGTATATTGCCTAATTTAAAAAATCACCCATTTATGTGTCATTGAAATGATAGTCATTCAAAATCTTAAACAACGATGCATCATTTTTTATCGTACATATTTCTGCATAAACTCCATCAAGACGTATTTCTATATTAATATGCAACATATATTTTCACCAAAATATATGGAACAATTACACCGCAATCAATAAACTAAACCATTTCTCACGACAAAATATAGCATCGACTTACCTGGCTCTCTTTTTCCGCGGATCAAACTCGTATCCGCAGATTCTAGTACCGCCGAGAGTTCCGGTACTTCCGGTCCGCCAACAACATCTTCTCCGTCGGCCTTCAACGCTGACGCCAAAAGTACGAAAGCTAACACTAATCTTTGCTTACGCATTGTCGTAGAACGCGCCGTGCATGGAATGTCAAGTCGCTTCTTGCTTTCCGACTTGCGACGGCAACGAATTAGTTGAAATTAAATTTAATTGAATAAACTGAGAAAAGAAACGATTTTTATTGTAACGAAGAAATAAGTACTGGTTATATGTATCAAACTTTGAATCAAATATTAATATTTGTCGTTAGAAAAATTCTCTTCTCTCAAATTTTTAATGTCTCGGAACTTCTTGTTGAGTCACTGTATATTTTTTATAGGCGATCGCTCATGAATGACAGAGATGCAACCACTTCTCTAATCATAATGCTAAGAAACTACATCAGTACCAAATCATTTATATTTATATACCCTTGCAAAAGGAAAAAGGTAGGAGCAAAAGCTTCGATCGTGAACAGGATCTGTACGGAATTCGTCATTCAATCGAACGTTGCCGTAGTTGCGGCAAATAGTTTGGCACTGCGGTTTATCTAAAACTGGCAAAATACCACGATTTTGTAATAACTTTAAATTGCATTTTCTGTCGCTATTACTCCGCACAATTGTAGCATTATTCAGAGAAATATGTATTGGCCGATTAAAATACTGAATCTTAGTAACATAATTCATATATATACAATGCCATCTATAAATAAAAAGCAATAAAGCAATAAAAAGGGTATTTGCATATTTTGTCTATATCATTTTGCACCGCATCAATTTTATGAATGTTCATCTCAGTATAGGCGCAATATAAAAGAAACTTGCTAAAATGAAGAAAAAAGTTTATTCTCTCCACATTACGGAATAAATGGTAATATTAGACAATATATATATATATATCACAAATTTGTGGCTGATTCATGAAACTTTCTAGGGATAATATTTTTATCTACAAAGTCCCAGACGTATTGTTGTCTAAACCTTCTTGTCAATGCCTCGAATTGTCAGAATTATGAATTCCCATCGCGAAGTTTATTTTGATCTTCTGAACTCAAGACTAGTTGTGGGGCTGATCTTTAAGCTATCTTTATTTTACAGGTCGAATTTGTAACACTGTGATTATGGTTAATCTCAAATCTTTTTAACGTATTTATATATAGCGTGCACCATGTCCTACTGGAAATTCTAGTTTTTCATCCATTGCTGAGGTCGGGAAAGGATTAAATATTTTGATACATTCGTGAAAATTACAGCGAATATGATGCTTCCAATTACCAATGACTCCAGTCGAAATACACGTTCTCTATTATATCAGTAAGTGATATACCTGAAAATATAGGACCTTTTCACTTCTTTCGTGATTCATAGCTAATGCACATAATGACCCCAAATTAACGGATGAATACTTAAAAAATCCTGCTGATTCAGCTTTATCGTTATAACCTATATTCAATCTTTTTCATAATTAAAATATAAAGTCCCAATATCAACGACATGCTGAGGATAATCTGTAACAATAATATTTCTTTTTGGCGCTTTCACTTATTTCCCATCTTTCCTATGTTAGTTTCTGTTCTCGAAAATTTCACGCCCGCACATTTTTTGCTTTTGCCAACTAGAAATCAAAATAAAAAACTAGAAACCCGCTTTCTAATTTCAAATTGGAGAAATGAGATCTCATCGTGAGTAAAATTTTATAACGATCAAATTTTGAATGATTATTTTATGTTATGAGGATTTATATCGTTTGAAATGGCATTTCTAATCACGGTATATTCTCCCATGCTTCCTAAAATGAATTTATCTTTTCTGGCATTCTCAAAATACCAGGCTTAAATTAATCGCCATACCCGGATCACAACACTTTCATTATTGGCTAGGAATCTATTATGGACTTCGTTTGTTTATTTAGCGACTTTGGCCATCCACTTATCGCTTATTATTCGCGGACATTATGTGAAAACGGAAACAATGCCACTGCCCATGCAAAAATTAAGAAGAGGTTATATTATATCCGAAACACTACATACCTATTACAGCAATATTTTTTTTAACATTTTGTCTCCTGTGAATTTATTATAATCATATAAAACCTTACGAGATTTTAAAAATAGTTCCGAATTCTTTTATAAGTAACCTTCATATATTAGGCGGTACATTATTAGCGTGACAAATATGGACTATAATAATGATGATATTACACGACTGACTGACTTTAAGATTTTTATAGAAGGAAACCAAAGTCCACGCACAACTCTCGAATAAATTTGAGTGACTAGATGGGACTCAAAAAGTTCGACGTTTACGTCACAATTTTATTCTTATAATTAAAGCAGCCGTGCGGACAAAAGGTTCATCCTAAACCTCAAGGTACTTTGAGAGATGTGACCGGCGTTTCAAATTTTCTAAATATATTTAAAAATTCATTTGATCTTCCGGCGTATCCACCTAACGGAATTTTAAGTTAGCTTCTTGATAGAGAACTGAATCTGGGTATTTTGCTCAACACGTCATGGGTTACTACAATATAAAGTACCGTTGTCACAAACTACCGGTATATACTCTTCATTAGTGCAAAGCATTATATATCTACTATATACATCAGGTCTCGCGCTGGCAGTAATGCTTCCGACAGCGAACCCAGCTAACCCATAAACTAGCAAGCTTTCAATGCCCATTGCAAACACCATAGCGAGTTTGTGCTGCTTTGAATATAGAACTTCTTATTTATAGTGGTTTGTGCTCACCAGAACAAATGTTTTCATGTCTTCATGCATTTTTTTTGTAAAACATTACCTAAAGCAAATATAGAAATTCAGCATGTAATAGTCAGCATGTAATTATTTACAATATTTTATACGCGGCATATTCTCATAAATTTTGAAAGTTTAAATTTAGATATTGCTAGACATATTTGCTTTGTAAATAAGTAGCTCTCAAGACGCTAAAACAAAGACTTATATATTTGTGTCTGGGGCCAGGTGTATCACTGTAATAATTATCCAGTGGGTTTACAAATTTTTTCAAGTAATCGCTTAAATCATAGTTCGAAAATAATGGTAAAACAGGTGTGTTTGTATCATATACATTGTTTATTGTAATGTCCGCAGTTCATATCTGATCTTGATGAATAAGGCGTCATATTTTCCATATGTACTAAAACACATTCACTCAGAAATAACATTCGATTGTCTACCGCATATCAAAATATAGTGTTTACAGTGCCTCTAAGATGTATTTTATGTTTACATAATATAAACTGTAAAATTTGCGTTTTTGATTTTATTAGATTTGATAAGCTGCAGAAAAAATTTCTATTTTTGAAAATGTGTCTTGCGTTATGGGTGGTAATTGTCAATCATAGCCTATAAAATTTACTCGCATTTTCCGGTTACTACGTAATCAAGTTTTTGTGAAAAACATGTTTATTAGGCCACGCTCAATTTATCGCCGTGAAGTTTCATTCCCCCAAACACTTGATATTTTATTGCCCAAGCACGCCCGAGTTTGAGTAATCCATGGATCATGTCGCCTAGACATCGTCCATACACGGCACTTAATAAAAATAAAGTATTTTCGCATATATATGGTTCATGTACTATTCCTCGGCGGATAAAATCGCATGTCTATGTTCGCGTCAGAAATCCTACAAGCCTTAATTCTGATTATTTTGGGTCAAGGTTTTGTCGATATTTCTAAATAAGGATTACCATTTCCTATATCGTAATCCACTCAAACACAGACAATACTATGTCCGGTTGGATGAAAATAACGCACATCACACAACAAATAAAGAAAGAAGACTACAACTATTTTCTTTTGCGCTATGTGAATGATATAACCATAAATTATTACAGTAAAATCTAGACTATATTTTCTACGTTACTCTGATTCCAAAATCAATTGCCCTTTTAACAAAATCTCACATTACTCTCACTGGAGCGTCAGTTAGATTTATTTACATCTGGCTATTCGTGTCCTGTATGCTTGAATATTGCGAACTGAATAAGGCGTCAAATCACAATTTCTGTTCTCCGGTAATATTTTTATTCTTCTATTTGACGGAAACGTTTCACACTCTTCTACGAGCGGCAACTTCTGTCACAAATCCATGTAACTTGGCGCAGAGATGCCCTTCTTTACACTGACGCGCTATATGGTGCTCACGACGGGAAGTCTGCTTTGCAAACGGCTTTTGGCACTCGTGACACCCCGTATTTGTTTTAAAAATTGGTCGCTTAATTTCAAACTATCGTGATCTTATGGGTTTTACAGTAAAACCGATCCTAACTTACTATCTGTCATCACAATCTTAGATATTGAAACATCTCGGCTGAGTAAGCCATCTTTCTCTCAAATTTTAAAGGGTCGGAAACTTGTTTATTAATAAATTCGTTCACGCTAGAAAAATAAAATGCATATCAATTTAAAAACTTATATTAATATTTATAATCGACCTTTTGATTGCTCTATTTTTTATTCTATCTCTTCAAATATTCTGAAACTTCTGCAACGAGCCCAATAGTTATACTATATTAATCGCTAATCGTCGGCCCGGTAATGGAACCCTATATGAATGTAAAGTAAATGATTGGATTAAAAGTTTACATTTTTGCGTTTACCAAATTCCGGATCAGTCTTGCATTTTAGTCGGGTTAAATAATGCTCAGAAAAAATTTAAAACTTGTGGTAGTGCTATTTTTAGTTCCCAAAAGTAGATCTTAAATAGGAAAGCATGAAACCACCGTGAAAAACGTAACCGTCCTCAGCGTGCTTGGCTGACAACAGATAGACTAGTTCAGCGTTGGAAAATATTGGTGGAATTATGTCTTGCGGAATATAGTATAACGCAATGCAAATCATTGATATTTTCGAATTCCCTAAATCTTCTGTGACCGACCGTGGAGAATATTCTCTTATTAGATACCGTAACCAGGTAATTTTATTCAGGAAATCATGTGAAACACGAATCAGTTTTGTCAGAGTTAGAACCACACGGTTCATCGTGATTAAATACGATTCCGCAAGAGTCACAACCCTCTGCGACGTAAAAATCAGTGTAAAATGATATAGCATTTCATTTCCTGCGAATCTTTGTTTGCATTACTTCAAGTCTGGAACAATCTTGACTAATTTGGGGATCGTCCAAACGTAGTCGCAGAAGGTCTCGATCAAATGCCAGTCAAAAATTTAAATTATAAATATATCGTTCTTCAATCGCAATTGGCAATTCAAGCTGAATAAGGCAACCGCATCACGAGAAAATAAACTTCTTTTTTGAACGTATTATCGATTGTCGAGAAAAGAACTTCATTCTGTCTGGAAATATCTCTTTCTAATAGAGATTTGAAAGATTAGAATCATGCAACGGTTTGAATACATTTTATTTTTCTGGCCAAAATTAGAATATTGATAGCTTTACCATGGAATGAATGCCTAATTTGCATAAATTTTTGCGTATTCGTGCAAAAAGAAAACCTCACATTTTATCTGATGTGATATATTTTAAATCCTCTACCTACGTCAAAAACTGTGTGGAAATTACAGAAATATCGGGCGCATTTCATGAGTGTGACAACTCAAATGCCATGGATAAGTTCAATTAACTTGAATAGTACATAAATAATGAATTGAAAAATTTGGTGTAAAAATGTACGAAATTTGATCAGAATTAAATATTATCAATAAAATCAAGTAAGTATTATCAAAAAAGTTTTTCGCGGTCGTAGTTTGGATGTACAGAATTAAAAGACTGTATAGCTAGTTTGGCATCTACAATTTCACTTTACCAAGTTGCGTAAAGTTTATATTATGCGAGGAATCATCACGCATTGGACAACAATCAAGATCACGAATGATTTAGTGGTTATGTCTGACACATGCTTCTCCATTGATCTCAAAGTAGTTCGGCACCTTATCTGTACTTCCATCAGACTAGTAATAATTATTATGAAATTCTATTAAAATTTATGGAATTTTTATTAATATGTGTCATGGCCTGTTCTGCACGGGATAGCAGATTTTCCATTCAACTTTTGCCCTAGTGACGGTTTCCTTTAAATACGCCGTACAATGCGTCAGATGCTTTGATTGATTCATGTCGAACGTATTATTCACGCCTTCAACTTTGATCATGACAACATTGCGTTGGCGTTAAATTAGGAACTATTAATCCCACGTGTATCCTGGCGCTGAAACTTTGATCCCCAATACCGGGTGACATCAACAATTAGCATCCTCGAAATGCGCACAGCACCATTGCAGTTTGGTTCGTTCATTTTAATAATATGAAGACTCACTAAGTGACACATTTAAGATGGACATACATATTCTAATAATTGCGTATAATATTGTTATAACATTAAAATATTGCAATACGGTCCAATGTATCATATTTTATATTCGATCGAGAAATTAGACAGTCGAAAAATAACGATGACTAACTGTTATCGTGGGAACATGAAATTCAGATATGCACCAGAAATAATCGTATGATAATGTCGCGTACATCTTATAAGTTACATTTGATACGATGGAAATACCGTAAACAATTCCAGAATTCAATTATAGGTATTATTATGTAATTACCGATTCTGCAATATTACGTTTTTGGATATACAGATAACGTCTGCATTTTTGGTGAATTAGTCAAACGCAGAATCTTGCATAATATCTACCCTAATTGCATTGCCAGTAGTGATTAACACATGGTTCAGACGGTGGTTAAAAACCTCATTTATCGATATTAGATTTATACGTATGTATACGAGTTGTTTCTATTTTATTACAGTGTTACATATAGTTCGCACACGAACACTTATGTCATGCTACCTTTTAGTAACAATATGCATTCATTTTGATCTCTTGTGGATTCTTACCGCAAGTTCACAAATTTGCATACACTGTTAAAAAAATTAGTAAATATACTAATTTTTCTAGTAAATTTTTACTAATTTTTCGAGTATTTTATTGAAATCACGTGACTTGCTTAGCTAAGCCAATCAGGGTGCTTGTTTGTTAATAGTTTACTAATGAATAGTAATTTCACTGATCAGTTAGTAATTAATATAACAGAAAAATAGTAAAAAGATTTGTATACTTGGAAAAAGTAGTAATTTCACTGATCAGTTAGTAATTAATATAACAGAAAAATAGTAAAAAGATTTGTATACTTGGAAAAAGTAAAAAAAATCTAAGTTCCTCTAATTTACGAGTAACTATTCTTTCCAATGAACGAATTTATCTACCTACGCATGCGATATAGTCACGAAGCAAATTTAAATACTTTAAAATTTCATCTAAATTTTGCTCTGGGTATCAAATTAATTTGAATTAATTTTATTCTAGAATTATTTTGGTTCATCACCCAAAAATTCTGATTGTTTTGCTATTGCATTAGACAAGATAAGATATTGTTTTATATCTTATTTTTCCGGAAGTAAGCGGACCTATTTGTCCAAATATTCATCCGCAAAAACTCCACGGGGCAGGTTGCGTGCGCAGCATTTTTGATTTCGAGTTTCCTTGTGCCGCGCATCTCGGCTGGGACGCTAAGCTGTTTGGGAGCTCAGCATCGGTTGCGTGCGTATGAAAACTGAATGCGGTACGCATGTTAAGTATGCAATAGCTTGAGTCTGAGTTTGATGATTGTGTTAGCAACGGTCTGTACGGTAGGTGCGGATTTACCACGGGTAGTGGTCTGATTATTGAGGTACCGGTACTGGTACTTTTTGCAGAGAACAAAGTTTCCTATATTTTAATCCTTCTCTTTACCGTCACAGGTCATTTGGTACCGGTAATGTGCCAATTATGACATCACTCAAATGTCACGTGCCTGTAGCCCGCGCTTTTTACTGGTTTAGGAATTAGGACTCGGTAAGCGAGGCTCTTTGTCGTTAGTGGATGTTTATTTTAAGGCGGTTGGTTTTTGTAGATGTTTATTTTAGGCGGTTGGTTTTTGTAGCTTTCATGCGTTAATTGAGCATGTTTGTGTTACAGTAGTAGACTTGTAGTTGGTAGACCAAAATATTCTTTAAATACCGTGTACATCAGCATCTAATGGTATCGTACCTGTATACAGCGACATGCTTACACACTGCGTTAGTTTCGCCGTGTTACCGGCACCAGTATCTATCGACGACCAAGAGTAAAAATCTGAATTGGCTATTTCAGTATTTGTTTCGGAATAGATGTAACTTACCGGTAGCCTATGGTGATGTGATACGTTCAAACGTTACAAGTCGGTGGCAACAATAGGTACGGTACCGGTAACAGACAGATGAATTCAATTATAGCTACAAAGTCTACAAGGCGGCCATCTTGGTCGGAACGTATTTGGCGCTTTACACTGTATTATATACATATCCTAATACTGTTAGGACATTTTATTTCTTCACAGTAAAATGACAGTAATAGTTATTAGAGATCTTTTCGAGTCTTTTTGACAGTACTAGATCCTCTAACAGGTTTTGTTATACTGAAAAAATAAAATAAAGCATGGTTTAGTGGACATAATAACATGGATGAAAATATGAAGTATTGCGTTTTTTTGCGTCTGTTAGTTCTATTGCTAAATTTGTTTTCAGTGACTTATGCTCGGAAGAATTGTAACCCTTGAGTACATAAAATTGGTTAATTGTACCGTTAACCTGTTCAACATTTTTGGCCCTTCCCATTGCCTAGGTTTATATAGGAAAGTAAATAAATATAGGAAAGTAGTGATTACATTGACAGGTTTATTTTTTGAAAATTTATTTTTTATTTTTGGCTGTGATTTCAATAAATGTTTTAGTTCTCGCTGGCACTGCTGAAGATTTTAGTAATGGCTAATATAAATTTGAATGAACTGTCTAAAATTGGTTTGAATAACCAAGCAATACAAGACCTGGATGTGAAATTAATAGACCTTGGCGTCGAAGATTCTTCCTGATCTCTTGCTTATTAAAGAGGAAGACCTCTATGGTGTGGTGTCTGTCATATTGGCCCGGAAAATTGTTGCATACTGGAAAGATAGTCTATGTCTGGATATTTCATCCGATGCAACTGAACTATTCAGCGATTCCTCTTCATCTTGCAATGCAGAAAACTTTGTGATATCTTGGAAAGACTTTCCCACTGACATAATTGAAATGTGCAAAAATGGCACAGTTGTTCCATCAGCCAGAAGAAGTGAGTTTGTTCGCATTCTTGTGGACTCTGTCCTGAAGTGGTCGGGCAGTTCCAAGCCGTCAAGGGCAGAATTGTCGACTATTGCTAAAAGGGTCATACGTAGATATCCAAAGTCTTTCCAAGATACAAGTGGACCTGAAGGTGAAGTCATTGGGTCTGGCTATTCCTACCTGACCCAACAAATGGTTTGGCGTATTGACAACTTGCGGAAGTCCACATCAAAGAAGAGAAGCCAACAGCCTAAGGTGGAAGAACAAGTAGATGTTGACAGATATGGCTGTGTGCTTTGGGGTCCTGAAACAGATAATGAAGGGGAACTTGAACAACTTAGAATGTGGCTCAAGCATGAGTACACATTATCAAAGTCTGATCAGGATTTGGGAAAAGTGGAAGAATATATGAAACAGACCTTCCCTCTTCAACGAAAGCATATAAATCAAAATCAAAGCATCAGTGGGATCAAGGAGTTATGGCCACACTTGTTCGATGGAATCTGTTTAATGCGCCATTATGAAACATTGGTTGGTAAAACAGAAGCTAAAAAGAATATTTTAAAAAAACTTGAAGACAATTCCATATGCATTCACAAGTAAGTTGCACAAATATCTGATACTTTGCAAGATAATTTTCATTCGAATGCTATGCCTTGCAGAGTTTTTGTTGAAAGCCTTCTTGTGCCCATTATTTATTGCTTCCTATAAGAGGTTATAACTTATCTGAGGTTAGGCTATACTTAAATATTCTGAAGTTTCTTCTATTCTTTATTTTACTTCAATAATCAAGTACCCTAGTTATTGTGCACCTGTTCTTGCAGGCTGGTACCACATGCGACATAGTGTGCTCTAGAGGTTGTCTGTTTCCATGTCTGTGTAATAATTGCTTGACAATAATTGCCCTTTCTTTTCCAAGCAGGCTGTAATTTAATGTTACTTTCATCTCTCTTCAGTCTTGCAATAGGAACAAATTATGTAACTAATCGCAAGGTCGATGAGCCAACCTCTATGAAATTACCAGTACTTAGTGTCATTCAATCAGAAAGTGGATCACTTACTCAGGCATTATTATTTAGGACATTGAAATGTTCAACCAATAAGAAAATTTCCGAATTTATAAGTTCTTCAAAATCGGAATCAAAGAATCTGAAAACTGAATTACCAAAATCGACTGGGGTGGTCACGTTGATCGCCTATTATTTCGGAGAGGACCTAAACCAAATATTTAAGTGTTTCCAGGTATGTTCTATGCTTTTTTTGAAAGTTTTCGCATCAAGAGTAATGTAACTTGTGCACAACACTGTTCGTATAAAGTTTGTGAGCCGACTGCAAATTAATTGGAAACTAACTGCATGATAGTGGTTAACGGAATTTTTTTGCATATTTATTCACTACTTTGCCTATTTTCAGAAAGAAACCACTTTTCCCCAGATATTAGAAGATATTCCAAAATCTCCATTCATTGCTTGCATAGGTAAGTGTTAAGAGGTGAGCGATGTAATTGTGAATATCAGGAACAATTTCGAAATATGATATGATAGCTGTTTTCCTGTGATTAATTCTGCAACTTTTTCAAAGGCCATTTTGTGTCGCCATATACTTCTCAGTTGTGATTATTATAAAATGATATCACCAGCTTCTGTCATGCTACCTGCTTAACTGTTGCGTCACAGTATGCATTGCTTGAAATATGAAATATAATATTTCTGAAAGAACGTCATAAGCCTCATCAATATAATAGGTTCTCCCTTCGTTCTATCAGTGTTACGCTCGCTATCAACGGTGAGTGAAAATAAGTACAAATCCATGTCTGCTATATTAATATATAGCCAAAGCCAATTTGAGATGATCGTACTATTATACAATTAATAATTGTGTAATTGCATATTATCAAAAAATCACTAATCGTCCACCTCTAGTAAGTGTATTTGTTATTAGTTGGCTTTAGAAGTTGAGATAATAAGATTAATCAACCTGTCAAGTGACTTTCACTTTATTCATAAGCCTATAGATTCGAAGCTGAAGTTTACAATCTTGTGTTTCAGGTAACACGGTAGCGACTGCTGAGACTTTTTACGTCATCGCTGAACGAGAAGTGGTGTGTTCCTGTAGATCGTTTTTGAAGCGGTGGCTTTTCAGTTTGCTTCGTTCTATGTTTTCAACATAGAATATCCAAATAAGGCCTTGCTGACGTTTGATTTTATTCAGAGGTAAGAAAAAATGTGCTAGTCTACAGTGCTGATATAATTCTTGCTGTTGGCACAATGTACACGTTGTTGATGAATTACCTGTTACTTCTGTCATGTAGTGTTATTTGATGACATACAATACAAAAATGGGTTGTGAAATGAAATATGTGACTGGACTTGCACAAACTCGTGGTGTCCATACCCTGGGGACTGGGCCACGAGTAGGGCTGGGAATAATTTAATTAGTTAAACAGTTTTTAGGTGTTTAATAATAGTCATGATTTATTTTAACCATTCATCGGTACGGTACCGATTAATGGTTAAAATAAATCATGACTGACTGGCGTACCACACATGTTTACATGTTTCCTCCTAATCTAATATGTTTTACATTCATATGTGAAAAATGAACTCACAACAATCCTATTTTAGTGAACTTCAATTTGAAACGATGTCACTGTGCTCTCCATTTTGTAGCAGGAAATTTTTGATATATTTGCAAAAAATCATTACTAATGACAGAAATTAATACAATATTTTTCAATTGCTGCATTTGCAATCGAATGTCAACGAGCGGATGAGCCTATTGCGATTTGCGACAACTGGGGGCTAGGAGGATCTGTAGCTTTCTGGTTTGGCAATTGCATTCCTGGCCCACTGACAGTTTTTTGTTTATCCCTTGGCAAGGCACGATACATTATAAATACCTGACATTTTTACTATTTTTGTCCAGTGTTTGTGTTTTTACTATTTTGGTGATGAGATAACAGGACGTTTTCCAAATTTCATATGTGAAACCTATTCGCCATTTAAGTTCTGCCTTTTTTCAGGTTCTTCGGTGACATAAACCCCAGCGGCACTAAGTCGAAAAAAAGTAAAGGCAAAGACGTTAATGCAAAAGTAATCGGCCTTGCAAGAAGAGTGAATCTATCACAGGCGTTATATGTGCCGGTGTTAGAAATTGATGTGGTGGTGTTACTGCTAGGGTTGCCACTTCCGGATACATTTTTTTTCGAATCGAATTTTTCCGAATCTGATTCCATTAAGCTTTTTTTTATTTTTTTTCATTGCATGCCTATTTTTGCTCAAAGTCACAAAAAAGCTCAAATCTAGAAGAGAAAACTTGAAAATGGAATATGCTAGATAGCAGGGATGACAAAGTTTTTTCAGTGAATAAGCCACACTTATTTCCACCAGGTTAAAAAAGATGTGAGTTATCTGTGAGTCTTACAATACTGGGTTATTATTGTGTGTAGCTTTACACATACAATGTACTTGTATCAGTACTGAGGCAATTTGATGAAATTTCTTTCGAAACTGTTTTTTACAAGCCTTAAAGGCATTCAGTGTGTATTTATGCTAAAAATATTAATTGTAATAAAATGATTTTCGTTTCCAGAATCTCGTTTTTTTTATTTTAACTGTAATATTCTGTGTGTTTACTGTTGTGTCGTGCCAGTAGATCTTTGCTACTCTCGTAGTGGTTCGGTCATCGCGAGTGAGAAATTACCATCATGCTAGTATTGTATGGTACTACTGTCGGGTAAGGTAGCTGCCATCGAGATAGTAATTTTATTTACTATTTTAAGGTAAAAAATATTACTACTGGTGGGTAGGTTTACTGCCGTCAAAAAAGTAGTATTTTTTACAGTTTTATAGTAATTTTTGCTACCATCAATCTCTGTAAATTTACTGAAAATACTGTTCATAATACTACTGATAGGGCTCGTAATTTTTTTTACATGGGGCCAGTACTTTTGCTGCCATTTTTTTTTAGTAAATTTGGGAAAATTTTTTTAACAGTGTATTAAACCCCATGGGATATCAAATAAGGACACGCTGTTTATTTCCATCAATTGTTCTTCACATTTCCGGTATATTACGATCTACATTCACATTGCTTAACTGTCTTGTGTTGTGGGGAAATCAAAAATTACGTTTTTTTTTACAATTTTCAGAAACCTCTACAGAACGCAAGTAAAATGAAACATACGCTTTTTTGTGTGATAGGACTGGTTGGGATCAATAATATCTTTAACTTTATCTTTTTCGTAACGTTATTACATCATTGTGCGACAGGACATGTGCATGATGGCAATTGTTTTAAAAAAATAATGATAAAAATCTAAATAAAAATTTCCAACCGTTTGTTACCCAACTACACCAGATTAAATTTCATAATATTAGCATTCCGTGCTCTTGACATCATTTTTGACGGGTGCATTTTATCGTTAAAATGACCGTACATTTTGACGAGTAAAATAATTTCGACTCATTTAAATGCTTTTTAAGTAAGCCTGGAATGTAGGTATAATATTTCGTTCACACATAGAACCCATACACTGACCATGTTTTGCTTGATACTGAGTATGGACAAACCACCGTTAGTGCTTTGCTGAAAAAGTATTCTTGTCAGTTGATGACCTGTCGTTTTGTTTTGGTTTTTGTGGTTATGTTTTTATACCAAATATAGCATATAATATTGCCGCAAAGGAATGTCGTCACGGGCTAGCGACATAATCCACGGCACGCTTTTTAAACTATAAAATGCTTGAATTTCATTTTTTATTTTTATTTAAATCTTGTAAATAAAATTTCTTCACATTTAATGACAGTTTCAAAGTAATATCATTGGAAACTGTTTATTTACTTCAATACAGATAATTGTTTAAATGAATATGTAGCACGCCGTAGTGTCAGAATATGAAATGGGTTATTGATAATTGTCGACAGATTGATAAAGAGGCGTGGCTAAACGCAAAAATCACACCCCACTGCGCGAATACTTTTAACAATAGCATAGCCATTTTCTCCCATTTTGGGTAATATTCTCCACTTCGAGAATGTTCTTGAAACCGTGAAAAAATGTCCATGATAAAAGAACAATGATGAAAATATTTGAAATTATCAAACGTTGCTTACAATGGTTTTAGCTGCGAAAATAATAACTCTCGGCGGTCTTAGTCTATTAGTCAATACAAATATACCTGATTGTATTTGTAAATTTATTAGGATTTTGGTAGGAAAAATAGCTTGTTAAGCATAAAATGCCTCATTCATGGCCGATAAATTGAGACTAATCCAACACAGAATGTTATTTTCATCACGTTTATTTCATTCTTTCGTGCGATATTATATATACAGCAATAACAAATTCAAGATTATATTCAAGGAGAGTTTCTTCATTGTGAATGTTGTCCTGAAATTATATTCCACGCAACAACCACCAAGCATGTTTGGGTACCATTTATTCTTGAAATTATAAACTTCGAATTGTTCATAAAAATACCAAACAAAATGCCTCAAATTTGGTTCTATTCTGCTTAAAGAGTTAGCCATTCAAGAAGATTTTTTCTGTGGCGTATTCATTCCAGATAGTGTCGTCTGTAGCACCGTCGCTGAGAAAAATTTACCAAATCAGATCACATGCCAGTTGCTAAAATAAATACGATAAATAGTCTGTACATGCCGATATAATACTTTCATAACAAGGTCGAACGAGGTGAAGTGGTGAAAAGAATGTAAGCTTTTCATTAATCTTTCCAAAAATTCATTACCATTTTATAGAGCTATTCAAACCAAAACCAGGTATGTTTTTCAAATTTTTCATATTTATTGAATCGATCGTTGATAACGCAGTACTCATAATATATAGCGTTCACTTAATTCGAATATGCTCATTGGACACGAAATGGATCGTTTTGTCATTTTGTAACTTTCATCTTTTTGTTGTGAAAAATCGCCTTTCTCTTCAACCTCAGGATCAATTGCTTCAAAATTTCTGTGGTTAAAGATTGTTGTTGTCGCTAGAAAGGCTTTTTATTTAGTACTCTTCTATTTATTTCAAATATTTTTGTGGGCTCAGGGTTCGTTGTCACTTTCAATTTTGGTGTGATGACGTCATCAAATTAAAAAATGCGCACCATGCCATGGTTCCGCGATCGCATTTCTGCGGTCTCATGGTCGAACTACAGGTACAGTAAAAGATTTCATGCTACTTCATTTCGTGTCCATATATTTGAGCAATGCTCTCTTGTTTCACATTCATGACCGTAAATTTGAATCTTGGACTTTTGAATATTTTTATTGAACCTATAGTACATTTGTTAATCAAATATATAGCTAGTATATCGAACTTCATACCATGGTCTTATTAAACAAGTTTAGTTGCGATCCGTTTTTAGTTCTGGATTCAACAATCATACGCGGCGGCTTTCAAATTATACAACAGAACTACTCATTTGCAACCACAAATAATTCCTGCGAGTCTTGAATGATTTTGATAGTGCACAGATGCCTCGTGGGAACCAATTTATGTGCCTATGACGCAGAGGGTGAAATTTGGCTTTCACGTTGATAATGTTTGCCCATCGGATTACACGTAATCTCGACAAAACCGCGTTGTCTCCGATGGATGTTAATTGGGTTGCTTCAGACAATCATTTTACGTGTTTTGGTGTTTCGAAATTATCAAAATATTGTCGAAACATTAATATTTGATTTGTACTCAATCAAACGTTATAAACCAGAATAGAACTTGCTTTCATGATGCTTTAAATTTACGAATTAAGTTGCATAAATATGTACTCCTTATTTTGTAGAAAATCCACAATACTGTATAGAAGAACTACGAACCTGTAGTCTGGTTGGACATGGAGTTGACCTATGGATCATCGTTCTTGTTATGTTGTTGTTGTTGTTATTGATATTTTCAGTGGTTACAAATTGTTGTTGTCTCCAGAAGGCTATTTTATTTATTTTGAAAAATTCTGGGGGTTTTATGGGATTCGTTTTTCACTTCGACGTTTTGTATGGTGACTTGAACAAAAAAATTACTTGTATCGGTTTTGTCATCGGATCTCGTGCTTAGTGGTAGTCGGAAGTTGTTATGGGGCTAGGTAACCTACGGTACCCGTACTGTGAAAGATCTGATGATATAGTTGTGACACGAATCAATTGTCTGGGAGTATGAATCTACGTCACGCGACCTGTAAGCACAAATATCCTGATATAGGTACTGATACGTTTCTCTATCGTCCCTGTTACATAGTTCCAGCTCCGTCCATGATATGATTTTCGAGGGAATGTTGATATAAAATTTCGCTTTGACTTCCGTGTCCGTATATTTAAGCATCGCTCTAGTGTTTGAAAATAGGAAATCTCTAAAAATATTTGAGAACGAGTACTCTGGATACCAAGATCTATCTATTCTCTAGACTTTTAAGACAGGCGAAATAGATGTTTTAATTTTAAATATTAAAAACTTGAAATTCGAATCCCACATCAATCATATTTTGCAAATATAAATTTCTGTTTGTGTACATTGATTAGTGAGCAAGTCTAATGTACGACTGACTCATCCAATCTGACGCGACAAGAAATATATGTCTGGAATATAGCCGGAACTCATATACTCTGTAAGTTTGTTTTATAAATTTACAAACAGACATCAAAAGTTTGGCAATAACTGTGATGGCTTAGTCATTAGTGGATGCAAATGTACTCTCCACAAATGTATTCAAAGAGGGGGGAAAATATGACTCAATGACAGTTAGTTATATTCTATCCCAAGTTTGGTCTTTTTTTAGATTATTCACGATACAACTATAAATTTCACAAAGGATTTTTTTCAAAAAACGCTTCTGTTAGGTCATGATTATATACATTTAAAAATTGGTTGCTGCTAATTGTATAATATACATAACATAAGCCATGGTCATTTTTAAAGATGAACTCCATTCATCGTGCCACGGGAGGGTAAATGAGGTCCTTAGGTTCGTTATTTTCATTACTGTTTAGAATCCGTTGCTTAGATACCGTGTATTTTCTCTAGCGGAGATTTACTTTTTTCTAAAATCCTACCTATTTTTATCTCGTGTTTATCGGAATGTAGAAAATGTAATATCGTGATTATCGTCCACATGTCTTGTCTTCATCCATTGTGTGTGGTTTGATAAGACGAACCTGACAGTTTTGAAGCGTCAACAATTAACACGAATTTTCTTGTACGGTAACAAGCACAGTAGCATCATAACTTCATAACCTCAAATATGTTTGTTGCTAGTGACTGTCTTGTACTATTTATGCAGATTTGATAGTGCAGTTCTCAAAAAAACTTTTGAAATGCAGGAAACCGAGACCTGAATCATTTGTCTATGTTAAATGAGAAACATTTATTGAGGTATTCACTCACAATACTTATTTATTGACAGTTGATGATTACATGAATAAAACTTTAAAGACGTTTTATCGATTTGAATTTTGTAATAATATTGGGTTACCAAATTCAAATGTCAATAAGACATGCACCAAATATTTAGAAGTAAAATATTTTTGTACTTCACATATCGTTTGCTATACACACCACCCCAATTGAAACCTTTTATAAACGCATATAACCAGATTCCACATCAGTGAAAGGAAAAGAAACGGGTACTTCTACAGTTTCGAGCAACTTGAAACAAAAAACGAAATGAAACCGACCTTTAAAGTCAAGAATGAAAACATAATTTACAAAGTTTGGCGTCTTACCTTCAACTAGTACGAGAATTACTGTTTATAATTTAAACAAGTGATAATGATCAGATTGTGTTTTTATTTATCTCATACTGAATATACCTGGTAATATTTGATGTTGCTAATTATATGGACTCCATATGAACTTGTATCTATTTATATAGATTCCATCAGCAGCCTCTATTCAAACACAATTGTTACTGAAAATGGAGAAACATTATGCTAAGCGATTTTTTATGTTTATGACTTGGAGCAGAAAAGCCACAAATGATTTTTTATTTTCTGTAGATTGCAGCTTGCAAAAATAATTTAGAATGTTTTTGTTCGTTTCTGCGTACTCATTTATAAAGTTCTGAGTGAGTTTATTGTGATATATTGTCGCCAACAATGTATGCAATGTCCAGGGGCCATGGCACCCACTTTTTTAAAGGGTCAAAATTGGTAATTGGAACGTAGTATGTGTGCCAGGTTATGGTTAGGCCATAATTTCAGGTACAAATACTACGGGAGTCACATGGCTAGTCCCCGAACTCGTAATGGAACTAAAATAGGGGAAATTGAAATAAAATCATGGCCTAACCCTAATCTGGTACACATATTACGTTCCAGTATCCGCCATCTTGGTTCACATACTTCGGGAGTACCCAAAATTGTAGTATCCGTTTAATCGGAATGATGATAGTCCCACAAGATGCGCCTCAGTAGCAGCGAAGTTGTATAATACAAAATTAAATTTAGGATCTTGTAATTCCATGTTTCGATTAAGGATTTCGCAACAGATAATTTTCTGGTGATCGACTGTATTGACAAATTATAAACATATCTACACGATTGCGGACATGAAATTTAGGTCTCAAAATTCTATTTTGACCGCATCTAATTAATGGCCGCCAGGCAAAAGAATAAAACAATTTGTTTTGAACATAAACATACACGCATCATAAATGAAAGCAAGCTAACTTCAGGTTATTTGAAGGGATTTTAAGGTTAAATTTGGCTGTTCTCAATGATTCCATGAATTCCATGATTCTGATCCATGAGCCATATTCAGTTGAATCAATCTTTTCCGTGATCTTGTTTATCTTTTTCCTTCTGCTCCATTTACAGCATGGTCCACTCTCTACCGTTTTTTTTTACAAATGTACTTTACCCAAATAGCAGTTTCAATTATTGCATAAATAAAAATTTAAATACTGTCATGTGTTGAGAAAACGAATGCAGGAGAATAATATTTTCTCTCGAGATTGTCACCAAGTAAATGGTTGTCATAACAGTGGCAAAGCAGTATTCCAAACAACGTTCTTGTAGCCACGAATTTTCGCAAAATATTTTTTCAAAGGTTGAACCATTCTTTGCATTATTTTTTACTGTGACTCGTCAATGGCATTTTGCTAAGTTATGTGTATTAAAAGATAGAAAAATAATATATATTGAACTAACATATTCATATTTTATACAGCTAAAGTTTACAACACCTGGTGATCTTCAAGATTGAATAGAATATCGAAAGTAAACAGTAAACTTCGCCCCTATGTGTTTGTTGGTTTTAATATATAGCGGAAGAGGTAAAAAATACATTTTATAAAATACTTGAGAGTCGTGTATATACTAAATAGAAATTCCGAAAATTAATACATAACCAGTCGTATCGTAACTACAGGAATAGACATACCATTGTAGAAGCCCGAAATTATATTGCTTCCCGAAGAAGACGTGAAAATCTCTCACTTGAAAATAATCTTTGAATCGCGCAGGAGACGACAACGGTCTCACTAGTTGATGAGCCGAGAAACATACGGCGGGTCCGCTCAATACATGTTATTGGATCCTGTATTTACCAGTATGGTCAATATATTTATTACACGTTGTGGCATATTCATCGTCGGTTCATATTGCCTATGCCAGTGACTTCAAGATGTACGATGCACAAAAAGAAAAATTCGTGTTTGTGTGATAGAATTTTTCCATGTATTGTCGCCCAAAATGTTTTCTTTTTGATCGAATGTTTTAATTTCTCTAATTGGTTCTGTGGGAACGTAAAAAAGGCATAAGTTGACTTGTGGCAAGCAGTAGTTACAGTTGTCCATTGAGCTTTCCTGATTTCATCGTAGCAAATCGCGTTTGAAAGTTAAAGGGAGAAAATTTTGAGACATATGTACCAATAAGAATAATTAGAACAGAAACAAATGAATTTGGGCACTGTGTTTTCGTTATTTGCTTTGATAAACAGCGTTCTACGGCCACCATGCGGAAACATTGAATAATCTTGACGTCATGTGAAAGTGCGCTGCTGCCAGGATGGAAGTGTTCATTTGAATTATTTCCCAATTTTTTTATTGGACGCGGAGTGGACGTATGGTTCGTTTTGTTAATATGTTGTTGTTGTTGTCAAATAATCGCTTTTTTTTAACTACAGGATTAATTGCTACGGTGAAATGCTATATATATTTATCAACCATTATTGTGTTAATGCGGATTGATGCTATTCTGGTACTTGATTTGAAGCATTTGAATGGTCAGCAAACAGATTTTTGTTTAGGGCACATAGTCTACTAGGGTTAGTAGTCGTACTTTCGTGTTCAAATATTTTAGCATTGGTCTCTTATTGTTGATTTTTCTATATCTACCTTCAAAATTTTAATAGTCACTATATAAGCGTGACTCTTTAGTAGTCGGAAGATTTTATCATCTCATTGTAAAAAAAACAAGAGAGCTATGCTCAAATATATGGATACGTAGCGCCACCTGAAGGCAATAATTTTGATGACGTCATAGCAAAAAAATTTTTTTTATCTTTAACCACTGAAAATTTCAAAGCAATTGGTCCAGTAATCAAAGAGAAAAGCGACTTTTTAAAAACGTGTCAAAGAAAAAGAACAAGAACAACAACATAATATTGAAACGATCGCTATGTCCACTACGTGTCCAATAATAGCCAAAAAACCTGGTAGCCTACGTCATCTTTAGTTTCACTGACTTTGACTGCCGTGAGTTTCACAATCAATACGAAAAAAAGTGGCAATAATAGATTTATGATTACTAGAAAAAAGTTTAAAAAATAAGATTAAAGTGACAAAAATGTCTTTAGGATTTATTGAAGCTTTTTCCAACCGCATTTCGAAACATGTACAAAACGGGTTAGAATTTCATAGTTTAGAGGTATAAAATGGTAATTGATCTATTCTATACAAAATAGAACAGAATTGCGATTACTTATACTGACCCAAGCATGTAGTAACGAATAAACGAGAATATCGGTCAGAGGCCGAAGACTTATCGATCGAAAGTTAGGGGATCCCACAAAACAGCGGATTTACTCCATAGTGACACCTTGTGTCCCATCACTAATTAATTAATAAGTCGCTAATTATACGATATAATTCATCCAAAATCAATAGGCTTCTGGTCCGACATATGATGAATGCCCACAAAATCTGGAGCAGATTCAATCTCGCTTTCGTGAGATATCGCGTGCATCTAACAGACAGGCAGACAGACTGACAAATACCTATCAACATACTTACTGATTAAAATCGATAAGTAATCACTAAGTAATAATGAAATCGCAGAATTGAAAGACACTGAAGGCGAATTATTATTCAACCATATTTCTATAAACTAGTCTTAACATTTAATAATAAGAGTCTGGTTCAATACCATAGTATTTCTTAGGTGGTTACGATACATTATTGACTTGATCATTTCTGTTTGAAAGTATGCTTTATGTGACAATGAACCAGTTATATTTCCACACATAAAACCCGTTCTTGAAGTTTGAAATGTTTTAAAAACTACCAAAATTTCTTATATTATATTCTTGTTTTGCAAGCCTTTCAAGCTATTTTGTAAAAGAATTTGATCGCCTATGGCATATATTCTAAATCTAAGTACATACATGACTGTATATTTACCAGCTTGACAACTTTGAGTGATCATTTCATACGATGAAAGTTCTAAGAAAGTTTCTTTTTATCTATTGATCATAGTTCCACTGAACCACATACGAACTGTATATGGAGGTGCCATAATGACGACAGCAATACCGACAGCGTAGTCTAGATATGTCACTTAATAATTATGAGGGTAGAGCAGCTTCTCAGTTGTCAACGAATCGTTTATCCCCCACTCCATCAAGGAGAAGCTCGATAATTTCGATTTTTTTCCTTCCTTAAATATAGCAGCAGGTATAATTCTTAGTCTACAATTCTAGATGAGCCATCACCAAGGTCCTAACTTTTATGACAAGTAATGAATACACCTACAGTCGATTTATGCGAATGTCGTTCATCAAGTTAGTTCAGAACAAATGAATTCCAAACTGTAAGTCGGAGCAATAACTATAGATAACAATCAGTAATATCGATCCTCCATGTATTCGGATCCGATGGTTATTCAAATTTTCAAGCATTTGAACTGACTGATGAAATAAAAAGCATATTGTGAAGCACAAGTATATATAGCATCAGCAATTTCCTGATTATTGAAAAGAATGTCGAAACTAAAAGGTGGTACATGCATTGCTTTCAAACCTCGAATGATTATTTAAAATCGGTGTAATTCAGTTAAAATGCTGTATTGTTTTATTTATGTCAATTTCTGAAGCTAACGTAACAATGTTATTGTGGATAACAAGTAACAGAAATGTTACCTAATCAACCCTAATAAATGTTCCACTTATTTAAAGTGGTTGCCGTTTGGTCAGAAAATATTCAAGTTGTTCAAGTCAAGCTGTATTAATTTTATCTAATTCTCCATCCCGTGCTATGAAAGAAAGCAAAAATATGCATTTCAAAAGATATATATTAATCGTGAAATCTTGTGATTACATACATTAAGTGCTTCAAAATGTATTCTGAAATATACGATATATATATATTATATATCATAACGAAGATTTGGTGAAAGCACTTCATTCACCCAAGCGGTATTCCGAGTTCGGGTCCGCATTCACAATATGGAATCTGAAAGTGAGAAATGAGAAAAAATTCTTAGGCTGTAGATCTAAATTGAATCGAACTTGAATAAATATTTAAATTGGTTTTGGATTAACACGCTGCACATCATTTTGGGATGACTTCTTGTCGACTTTTCTGTTTTATTAGAATTTAACGGTGTATATCGAGTTCGTAACTATATTACAAAATGATAATTTTTGCTTTAATACAGGCGTTAAAGATAAATGACTTGAGATGTTGCCAAGATACTAGACGCGAAAGAACATCATAACAAGTAAATAAAACTACTTACCGTGTAGACAAACAGGGAATACGGAACTTGTACACATTTGTATGTACTTTGGCAAGTGTTTGTGTTGGTGCATCCGTTAGGGTAATTTCCGGATCTTTGATTTAAAATATAAGAGGTTAAGATTTAGATCTACTCTATAATGTTGATTCATATTAGCTTTATATTCAGCTGGATTTTCACAACTGTTATAACATTAATGAAATATGTATAATTATAAGTATATATGTTTCAACGTGGGCGGCTTATTTTAATTTAATATAATTATGCATAGTTCATTCTCATAATAAGGTTTTTTCATGCGATTGCGTTGATGTCGCCACAACTTTGTGGGAATATATGTAGTCACAATATTTTGTGTATCAGTATGAAAAATAAGCAAAGGTATATTTTGTCAACTATATAGCCATATAGTTGATATGCATTCATACTGACCTGCAATTGTAACCATAGACAATGTAGGGGCATGGCTGATCGGGTATCGGGATAGGAACGTAACATTTTTCATATGTACAGGAGGATGGAGGAGAGAGACTAACATGCAACATGTCACAGCGAACCTCTCTGTCAAATAGCCTGAAAAATATAATAAATACTCACTAATATAAAAATATATCGAGAATAAAATCAAGCTATGAAAGTGCTGTCATCAAAACCAATTCTTGATTCTGTAGTTTATTACACATATGTGCTAAAATGTACTTACGAGTATTGATCATAATCGCATATTGGTGGATATGGATCTGGCGATGGACATGGCTGAAATGAAGGTTAAAACGGTAAAAGCATGAAAAGAACACAACGACTTTTTGAAGTTTTAGATAGAGACAGACAGATAGATCGATGCTCAAATTCATGTTTTTCATATAATTAATATTACTTCATATTATTAATTTGATAATTTGTGTGGGATTCCTCGAGGTTGTGGTAAAGAAACTCAAACAAACATTTGACAACGATCCAACAAATAAGTAAGTACTTGTCACAATAGGTTTAATTTTCTCTGATTTTAAATAAATTAATAATTTGTTTAGATGATAAAATGTAAGCTTACCAAGTGCTGTTGGGCAACATCGGGGATTTGTGCGAACGTTTTGCAGATTAAAGCCGCAATGATAAGGCAGAGTGCGTATGATGTTTCCATTTTTGCTGCCAATCAATGACGTCGATCATAGGCCGTAGTTGTAGATGTAGAACGTCAACTTGTGTCAGTGTAGAAGAGACTTGACAACTGAACAAGTCTCGTGGTATTTATAGGTTTTTGAATAGGAGAGTTTTACTCTCGAAACTGTGATACCATCTTCTATTGGTCGAAATTTCTAAACATATTTTCATTACTGTAATTTAAAAGATAACCACTTTACAAATTACCACATTAAATTGAGTCCGTACAAATCATTTTTAAACATAACCAAGCATGGTAAATTTACTATGGATATGAACCTCCAACTGTGGTCCTGTAGCAGATGCAAAAATGGCTTTCTATGATACTAAGAATTAAACGAAAAAAAATAATACGTTCCATGTTTTGGAAGAGTTCCTGATCCTAATCTTGGAAAAGTTCCCCATCATAATTTAACTCGAATTACGTAAAGATCAACGTACAACGTTTGAAAATTACTTGAAATATATACTTGTTATTCCAAAAACATCATACAGATATCTATTATTTTTGATTTATCGTTTATTTATACCGTTTTCTCTCATTGGTAAATTGGGATCGTAAATAAGTTTCGACAACTCAGCTGTTTATACAAAAAAGTAAAATATAAATATACAGTATTAAATAAAAACATTTATGTTCTATAATCAACAACTTTTAGCAATAAAATTTTCCAAAAGTTTTAAAATTGATATTACTTTAATTTTTGAGCTCTTTTGAAAATTGAAATTCTGCAAAAAAGTATTACGTAGCCTTATCATGATTACTAAGGAGGATCAAAGTTAACAGCCAGTAGAATATTCAACCTCATCTGCAAAATCATAAAAGAAGATAATCAATCCTTCAATGTCGAGATTTCGATTTTTATTTTAAAAAGACATGGCGATTGGAACATGGCTCAAGTACAAATGTGGCCAATATTTTTAGAAAATAAGCCATAGTTGAAACGATTCGTATGAATGTATAAAAATTCCATGGAATCAAAGCATATCAAAAAAAAAATATAGATGTCATTAGAAATGAAAATAAATAAATACAGTTTGAATTTGCCCGCTCAGAAACAATATGGATAAAAAATGACTATACTTAATATAATATTGAATATATAATAATATTTATTATTATTATTATAAAATAAACAAGATTAAGCTCGTGGAAACTACCTAGGTTTGATAGATGATGATAAAGTTAACCCAATCACACTATAGAGGGATCAATAATAAATACCGTTAATTTTAAAAACATGTTCGCAAAAAAAAAAATCTCGTCCTTTTTTGTCACGACAGGTTAGTGCGACATTTCGCGATGGCTCCGACAATAGACAGAAATATCAGAAAATTTTCTGCCTGAGGCATCATTGGCTAAACTCCCTTTGTCATTTTTTCAATTCTCGACTTTTCTTTAAATAATATAGATGTATTCGATGTTGAATGTTAATTAACTGAATGATTATAATTAGACTTGACTATTAATTAAAAATACCTCGAACAATACAACAAGGAAAGAATGTATGCAAAAAACGTGTGATATAACTAGTTTTGTTTTTTATCAATTCTAAAAAAACATCGTGTTTTAAAACAATGGTTTGTTTTAAATCAAATTTTTTTCTGTATTTTTTGTATTTTTTATTGAAATACCTCTTGCATCGCCGAGAAACTACGCCAAAACGTTGCGTTCGGGCAGCTGCACACGCGGCCGGAATTATAATTTTAAAAATGTAAGTAAAAATTCCTATTTTGACTTTTACTTCTATTGCGTACATTTATCGCGACTTTCGTATCTCCACTAAAGTCATAAGATTTTAACCGGAATGTTTATCCGAGGTATCAAAGAGACGTTTTGAGTAAGAAAAATCATGAAAATTAGCTCACAAGCATACTACTAAATTAATTAGAGAAATTGCAGCCTTCGGCAAAACGAGTGGGTTGCGATAATGAATAATATGATTACATCGACGGCGGATGAGACACGTGAGACATGAGACATGAGTTCTACAACCACCATGCGGAAACATTGAATAATCTTGACTTGATGTGGAAAGACGCTGCTGCCAGGAGGAAGTGCTCATTTGAATTCTTTCCCAAAATTTTTATTGGACGCGGAGTGGACGTATGGTTCGTTTTGTTAATATGTTGTTGTTGTTCGATAATAATCGCCTTTTTTAACTACAGGAATAATTGCTGCAAAATTTTTAGTGGCTAAATCCTGTTTCCTAAATCCTGCAATTTATTTATTTCAAATATTCGCTACTTAAAAAAAAACGGTGGAATGCTATATATATTTATCAACCATTAGTGTGTTAATGCGGATTGATGCTATTCTGGTACTTGATTTGAAGCATTTGAATGATCAGCAAATAGATTTCTGCAGTGGCGGCGCGTCAATAGGGCCAACCGGGGCAATGCCCCGGTTGTTTTTTCGGTATAATAAAAAATATTCGAAAATTACCTCAATATCGGTTGCACAGACTGTCTACACTAGCCATATTCTCCCGACGTGGTTCATTTTTCGCTCGCAAAGCCTTCGCCGAACGTCGACGGGGCGACGCCGATTTTGCCCCGGTTGCTCATTGTATATCGTATTCTCTCTTTTATCTTCCACTCGCCGCGTTTGTCTTGTTTGTTTTCTGTTTCTTTTACTAAATCATCGGGGCCGATGTTCACTGGAACAATCCCATGACGGAAGAAAGCGTCGGCGTACATTCTGTGCAGAAACTTGGTATAAAAAACACGAATGGTTGTGTTACAGCGAGGACAAAATCGCACTTTTTTGTTTTTATTGCCTACTTTTTGCTACCGCCCGTGACTCACGTTGGTGTAAATTTGGTTTTAGAGATCTTAAACATCTTTCCGAGCGTGCCAGGGATCATCAATCTTCTATGGAGCATCTGGACAATGCAGTAAAATACCGAACATTCGGAAATGTTAATATTGCAGCACAGTTGGATGAAGGACGCGCGGTTTCTATTCGTCGGCACAACCAAAACGTCGAGAAAAACCGCCATGTTCTCGGTCGATTGATAGATGTTTTGAAGTTCATTGGTTGTCACGAGCTGTCCCTCCGTGGGCACGATGAACGGGCTGGCTCTTCTAATAGAGGGGTATTTTTGGATATGGTGGAATACACCGCATCCCTAGATACAGTATTGAGAGATCATCTTGATGCCGCAACTGTTTCGAAAGGGACATCTAAGGATATCCAAAATGATTTGCTCGACTCAATGTATAAAATTTATTTACAACATTTGGCTCTAGAAATTGAGAATTGCCAGTTCCTTTCAATTCAGTCTGACGAGACAACTGACATCACGTGCGTTTCCCAACTGGCTGTGATTTTTCGGTTTATGAAAGATGGTAAACCTACCGAAAGATTTCACAGCTTTGTACCAATCGTTGATCGCACGGCTTGCGGGATATCGGCTGTACTGAAAGAAGTGTTATAGCCTTACAACGCGAAGTCAAAATTGATAGCTCAAACTTATGACGGCGCGGCAGTCATGAGTGGGTCGAAACATGGTGTTCAAGTTTATATAAAAGAAGATTTTCCTCATGCGCATTTTTTACATTGTCATGCACACCAATTTAACCTCGTTATTAAAAATATGTGTCTTGATACCCCTCTCGTCCGTATATTTTTTGCAAATGTTTCGGGGTTTTCTTCATTTTTTTCCGTTTCGTCAAAGCGCTCTGACCTCCTTCGCCAGATATGTAGCCGCCGTCTCCCAGCTTGTGCACCAACACGTTGGAACTTCCAATCACGCGTGGTGCAGGGCGTGTCCGAAATTATGTCTGAGCTCATTGAGTGTTTCAATGGCATTCAGAGCTCTCCGGTTTGGGACGAATGCTCTGTGAGGGAGGCGGCAGGTCTAAAGCGTCTGCTAGAAGATGGTGAGTTTTCATTTTTTCTCGCTTTTTTCTCCACAATATTCTATCACGTTGATGTATTATACGGCGCATTGCAGTCAAGGCTAATGGATGGAGCGTCTGTGCAATCGTGTGTTTCAGACTTCTGCGATGCTGTATCTCGTATCCGGGAAACAATAAATACGACGACACATGGAGTGCTTCTTTACGCCGCGGGCAAACAACGCAGCGTTTGATTTTGTCTGCAAAGGAATGCCGTGACATTCTGGTGAATCAAATAGGCGATCGTCTGCGCACTGAACACCTTGCCGCGTTCTCTTTGATGAACCCCAAAAATTTTTCAAAATTTGCACGTCAATTTCCCATCCATTTCTTTGCTACTGTCTCCAAATTTTACCCCATGATAAACGTGGGTAAATTGGAAAATGAATTGCGATGTATATACACCAATCAAACTTTTTTGAACATCACATCAACTTGCGCGCTCTATGGGTTCCTCATAGATAACACTCTAGTAACTACCTTTGCGGCGTCTGCAAAATTTCTGGACATCATTTTGACGACGCCTATTTCTACCGCCGACGCAGAGCGAACATTCAGCACGCTGAAGCGTATTAAAACGTATCTCAGAAACACAATGAAGCAAGATAGATTAAATTCCTTGGCTGTTTTATCCATTCACAGAGACGTTATGTCTGGGATGCATGACTTTAATCAGCGCGTTATTGAGCATTTTGCTTCCCAGAAACCGCGGCGTGTTGCATATATGTTCAAGCAGTAGAAGTCTAGCAGCATATATATCTATGAGTGAGCGACGCATGTCCTTATCTTTGCATTACCTTTCCTTTCTTCATAGTAACGTTTTAAACCTTATTTTAGGTTTTGTCTGCTTTCCCGAAGTTTCTGTTAATATGTCATTGTATTTATCTGGGTAAATATTGCCTTTCCTTTTGAAAGAGGTTTCAAAATAAACTATGTCTATATTTATTAATCCATTGACTAGGACCGGTTTTAAAGACACTTTCTTATCGTTAAAAATTGTCGCTTTTGCCGATTGGTTGTTACCGATGGAATAGTTTTTATACTCATAAAATGATGGGAGAACTTACAGCGCCCATCCTGTCCCCGTAGATGGGGGTGACTTGGTCCCGCAGTAGCTTGCCCCGGTTGTCAAAATGACCACGCGCCGCCACTGGATTTCTGTTTAGGGCACATAGGCTACTAGGGTTAGTAGTCGTACTTTCTTGTTTAAAATTTTTAGCATTGGTCTCTTATTGTTGATTTTTCTATATATACCTTCAGAATTTTAGTAGTCACTATATAAGCGTGACTCTTTTGTGGTCGGAAAATTTTATCATCTCTGTGTAAAATAATAGCTTCAGAAACTTGGTACGTCACGTCTGTAAAGATGGGGGAACACTTTTACATGTGACCGCTTAGGGCGAATTATGAATTATCATTCAACCGTATTTCTATAAACTAGTCCCAACATTTATTACTAAGAGTCTGGTTCCATACCATAGTATATCTTAGCGGGTTACGATACAATATTTACTTGATCAATGCTGTTTGCTATAGTATGCTTTTATCTTACAATGAACCAGTTATATTTTCACACATAAACCCCGTTCTTGGAGTTTAAAACGGTTTAAAAACTACCAAAATTTTTTATAATATACTCTGGTTTTGCAAGCCTTCCAAGCTATTTTGTAAAAAAATATGATCGTCTATACTCTATACTCTATTCTACTCTATAGCATATAATCTAAATCTAAGTACATACATGACTGTATATTGACCAGCTTGACAATTTTGAGTGATCATTTCATACGATGCCGTTTCTAAGAAAGTTTTTTTTTATCTATTGATCATAGTTCCACTGAACCACATACAAACAGTATAGTGATGTCATAATGACAGCAATACCGACAGCGTAGTCTACTCTAGATATGTCAATGAATAATCATGACGGTAGAGCAGCTTCTCAGTTGTCCACGAATCGTTTATCCCCCACTTCATCAAGGAGAAAGCTCGATAATTCCGAATATTTTCCCTCTTTAATATGGCAGCAGGTATAATTCTTAGTCAACAATTCTAGATGAGCCATCACCAATGTCCTAACTTTTATGACAAGTAATGAATACAACTATAGTCGATTTATGCGAATGTCATTCATCAAGTTAGTCCAGAACAAAGGAATTCCAAACTGTAAGTCGGAGCAATATCTATACAGTATATTACAATCAGTAATATCGATCTTCCGTGTAATCGGATTCGATGGTTATTCAAATTTTCAAGCATTTGAACTGACTAATGAAATAAAAAGCATATTGTGAAGCACAAGTATATATAACATCAGCAAGTTCCTGATTATTGAAAAGAATGTCGAAAACTAAAAGGTGGTACATGCATTGCTTTCAAACCTCGAATGAATATTTAAAATCGGTGTAATTCAGTTAAAATGCTGTGTTGTTTTATTCATGTCAATTTCTGAAGAATAACAAGTAACAGAAATGTTTAGAACCTAATAAATGTTCCACTTATTACTTATCGATTTTAATCGGTAAGTATGTTGATGGGTATTTGTCTGTTTGTCTGTTAGATGCACTCCATATCTCACGAAAGCGAGATTGAATCTGCTCCAGATTTTGCATGTGCAATCATCATATGTCGGACTAGAAGCCTATTGATTTTGGATAAATTATGTCGTATAATTAGCGAGTTATTAATTAATTAGTGATGGGACACAGAGTGTCACTATGGAGTAAGATCGGTCTATGACCGATATTCTCGTTTGAATTGGTTGCCGTTTGGTCAGAAAACAGTCAAATTGTTCAAGTCAAGCTGTATTAATTTTATCTAATTCTTCATCTCGTGCTATGAAAAAAAGCAAAAATATGCATTTCAAAAGATATTTATTAGTCGTGAAACTTCGTGATTACATACATTAAGTGCTTCAAAATGTATCCTGAAATATTCGATATATATATATGTTATATATCATAACGGAAAAATATATATTATATATCATAACGAAGATTTGGTGAGAGCACTTGATTCACTCAACCGGCATTCCGAGTCCTCAACATTCACAATATGGGATCTGAGAGTAAGAAATGAGAGAAAATCATTAGGTTGTAAATCTTCTTGTCGACTTTTCTGTTTTATTAGAATTTAACTGCAGTTCGTAATTATATTACAAAGTGATAATTTTTGCTAAAAGACAGGCGTTAAAGATAAATGACTTGAGATGTTGCCAAGATACTAGACGTGAAAGAACATCAAAACAAGTCCGACAAAATAAAACTTCTTACCTCGTATAACGAGGTACCCGGACGTTGTACACATTTGTATGTACTCCGGCAAGTGTTTGTGATGGTGCATCCGTTAGGGTGATTTCCTGATCTTTGATTTAAAATATAAGGTTAAAATATATATATAGATATCCTCTATAATGTTGATTCATATTTGCTTGATATTCAGCTGGATTTTCGCAACTATTATAACCTTGATGAAATATGTATAATTGTGAATATGTTTCAACATGGGCGTCTTTTTAATTTAATATAATTATGCAATTTATAAATCATTCTCATAAAAAGTAATGGTTTTTTTCATGCGATTGCATTGTTGTCGCCACAACTTTGTGGAAATTTATGTAGTCATAGTTTTGTCATTTTGTATATCAGTGTGAAAATTGAGCAAATGTGTTTTTGGCTAATTTTCTACTTATCCATATAGTTGATATGTATTCATACTGACTTGCAATTGTAACCATAGACAATGTAGGGGCATGTCTGACCGGGTATCGGGATAGAAACGTAACATACATCATATGCACAGGAGGATGGAGGAGAGAGGCTAATATGCAACATGTCACAGGTAACCCCTTTGTAAGGTGACCTGAAAATACAATAATTTTTTATATATAATGTAAAGATATATCGAGAATAAAAATAAGCTATAAAAGTGTTGTCATCAAAAACAATTCTCAATTCTGTAATTTATTACACATTAAGGCTAAAATGCACTTACGAGTGAATCCTATAAGAAGAGTCCTTGCAGGGTGGTGGATATGGATATGGCGATGGACATGGCTGAAATGAAGGTTTAAACGGTAAAAGCATGAAAAAAACACAACGACTTTTTGAAGTTTTAGATAGAGTCACACAAATCGATGCTCAAATTCATGTTTTTCATATAATTAATATTGCTTCATATTATTAATTTGATAATTTGTGTGTGATTCCTCGAGGTTGTGGTAAAGAAACTCGAACAAACATTTGACAACGATCCAACAAATAGATAAGTACTTGTCACATTAGGTTTAATTTTCTCATAATTTCAAATAAATTAATAATTTGTTTAGATGATAAAATGTAAGCTTACCAAGTGCTGCGGGGCATCATTGGGGATTTGTGCGAGCGTTTTGCAGATTAAAGCCGCAATGATAATGCCGAGTGCGTATGATGTTTTCATTTTTGCTGCGAATCAATGACGTCGATCGCAGGCCGTAGTTGATCGGTAACTTGTGTCAGTGTAGAAGAGACTTGGTGACTGAACAAGTTTCGTGGTATTTAAAGGTTTTTGAATAGGAGAGTTTTACTCTCGAAACTGTGATAGCATCTTCTATTGGTCGAGATTTCTGAACATATTATTACTGTAATTTAAAAAGATACCCATTTTACAAATTACCACATTAAATTGAGTTCGTTCAAAGCATTTTTAAACATAACCAAGCATGGTAAATTTACCATGGATATGAACCTTCAACTTTGGTCCTGTAGCAGATGCAAAAATGGCTTTCTATGATACTAAGAATTGAACGAAAAATATTAATAATACGTTAAACCAGGACATGTTTTGGAAGAGTTTCTGATCATAATCTCGGGAAAGTTCCCCATCATAAATTAACTCGAATTACGTAAAGATCAACGTACAACTTTTTAAAATTACTTGAAATATATACTTGTTATTCCAAAAACATCGTTCAGATATCTATTATTTTGTTTTATCATTCACATATACCGTTTTCTCCCATTCGTAAATTGGGACGAATAGTTTCGACAACTCAGCTGTTTATACAGAAAAGTAAAAAAATAAATATAGAGTATCAGATAAAAACATCTGTGTTCCATAATCAATAACTTTTAGCCATACGATTTTCCAAAAATTGTAAAATTCACATTACTTTAATTTTTGAACTCTTTTGAAAATTGAAATTCTGCAAAAAAGTATTACGTAGCCTCATCATGATTACTAAGGAGGATCAAAGTTAACAGCCAGTAGAATATTCAACCTCATCTGCAAAATCATAAAAGAAGATAATCCTTCAATGTCGAGATTTCGATTTTTATTTTAAAAAGACGTGGCGATTCGAACATGACTCAAGTACAAATGTGGCCAATATTTTTAGAAAATAAGTCATGACAAATGTATTAGGTATGTCTATCTGAAACGATTCGTATGAATATTATGAAAATTCCATGGAGTCAAAGCATATAAAAAAATAAGGTTAAATACAGTTTGAGTTTCCCCGCTCAGAAACAATATGGATAAAAAATGACTATACTCAATATAATATTGAATATATAATAATATTTATTATTATTATTATAAAATAAACAAGATTAAGCTCGTGGAAACTACCTAGGTTTGATAGATGATGATAAAGTTAACCCAGTTACACTATAAAATAATAACGATGTAACTCGTTGTTTTGATTTATACATTGGTTGTTAACGAGTTATAAGTTTGAAACGTCCATAATCATATAATAGGCGTAGTCGAGAGGGCTCAATAATAATTACCATTAATTTTAAAAACATGTTCGCAAAACAAAAATCTCGTCCTTTTTCGTCACGACAGGTTAGTGCGACATTTCGCGATGGCTCCGACAATAGACAGAAATATCAGAAAATTTTCTGGCTGAGGCATCATTGGCTAAACTCCCTTTGTCAGTTTTTGAATTCTTGACTTTTCTTTAAATAATATAGATGTATTCGATGTTGAATGTTAATTAACTGAATGATTATAATTAGACTTGACTATTAAAAATACCTCGAACCATACAACAAGGAAAGAATGTTTACAAAAAAACGCGTGATATAACTAGGGTTTTGTTTTTTATCAATTCTAAAAAAACATCGTGTTTTAAAACAAGGGCTTGTTTTAAATATATTTTTTTCTGTATTTTTTGTATTTTTTATTGAAATACCCATTGCATCGCCGCGAAACTACGCCAAAACGTTGTGTTCGGGCAGCTGTACACGCGGCCGGAATTATAATTCTAAAAATGTAAGTAAAAATTCCTATTTTGACTTTTACTTCTATTGCGTACATTTATCGCGACTTTCGTATCTCCACAAGAGTCATAAGATTTTAACCGGAATGTTTATCCGAGATATCAAAGAGACGTTTTGAGTAAGAAAAATCATGAAAAATAGCTCACAAGCCTACTACAAAATCTACTTTGTTTTCAAGGTTGAAGTGATAGAGTTTTTCAAGATTATACAAACTCATTTATTCGATCGCATTTCAATTTTCGCACGGTGGTTTCCTCGCAGGGTCGTTTACGTAACGGCGTTACGTTATCGGTTGCGTCTTACTGCGCCAACCACTGAGTTGCAACCTGAGAAGGTGTACATAATCCTCTATCGTTATTTGTGGCGTTTTGAAGAATTTTTTGCAAATAGGAGGCGCTTGGCAAGTTTTTACATCCATCTTTCTTCAACCTATTTAATACGAAAAAATAAAATAGTACAGCCATTTTAAACAAAACAGGCAAAAAAAACTCGATTTAAAACAATTGTTTTAAAACAATTCTTTTGGAACAAATCCCTAGATATATATAACCAAATAGTAAAATCAGCAGAATTAAAATATAAGAATATAATTGTTCAGAAATCAAGCTGATGATTATAAATATATGTCTCATTTTATTTGGACAATCCCAACCCATCATCACAGTTTTGTGCCAATCGTATGAAAACTAAAATGTACCGAATATTTCGTTAATTATTACCAGAAGGCGTCAAAATATTGTATTAAAATAAATTGTACTTGACCCGGACCAGTGTTAGAAAATTTTCGGCCTGAGGCTATATTGAAAGGGAGTTGATTTTTTTTGGTTGTATAAGTAAAATAATACGAAATTGTATTTTTTTCAATTCAAGTCAAATCGGCATCGTTGTAAACATAATCTGTGCCGTACTTCAAGCCTTAAAGAAATCCTAAAAATTGCCAAAGCTACTATTTATATATATATATATATATATATATACAATATAAGTTACCAAAATGCCTGATCACGATGGATTAATATACCTTCAGATATTTGTTATATATATATATATATATATATATATATATATATATATATATATATATATATATATAGCTTTATAAATAAAATTTTCGGACCTCCAGAAGTATGAGCATCAAGATGGCGCACAACTGAACATAGTATGTGTGTACCGGTTAGAAGTCAGGTTGTGCGACATCTTGGTGCGCATACTTCTGGAGCACCAAATTTTCTTTGTTTTGCCATTTGATTTCTATGTTTTCTTTTTTGTAATAATATCATGGCTCGGAAATGAAGTCGTTTGGGAAAAATATTTCCTCATATTTTATTTCTGATGTATATATACAAAATTCATTGACAAGATACAGCATTGAAGATTATTTTGCCAACGATTATTACTCGATGTCAACTAAATCGATATATCTGACATGGGAAATTCAATAAATATTTAAGTGAATATAAAATGTTTCATCAATACTCTATTCATTTTCCTATCAAACTAAATCAATAAAGCAATCGATATTTTCCTATTTGATGAAGAATCGCCACTTAATCTCCTAGTATCATTATTAAAAAAGTAGCGAGGTTCATCCTATTTTAGTATTTTCAATCAAGGCAGGATCGGAAGGAAACATGATTTGAATATATTTAGGGTTGCGATGTTGCATACTTGCTAAGATGCTATTTATTTGAAATAAGCAGTTTCAGTTAATAACGTATAGTGTTAGTAATGTTATTGTTTTCGCCTATTACGTGGATGGTCGACGCATCAATTGGGGTGTCCAAAACGCTGTAATAGCGTTGACCAGCAGTTTGGAGGAAGGTAAAAACACAAAGGAGAATTTATAAATAAAGTATGTCTCAGAAATTAGCAGATCGTCTAAACTAAACTCTTAAGTAAGCGTTAGACAAATATTATATTGGAAGATATACAAGTATATATATATATACCAAGCTATACCAAAGTATTTAAATCTTGTCATTGTTTTATCAGTTGCTCCATCTGAATAATTGTTCAAATTCGCAGCAATTTAAATTTAGTTTAGAATTCGCTTTCAGACATGCAGCGGGCTCGTTCAACATGGCGAACTGATTTCTATCTAGAGTCTTTCCACTGGGATAATTTATATTACGGCTGTTCACGTACGCCTTCGAACCAGAATCACACTGACTACATACAAAAATCTTTGGACAACAGAGGTTCGTATATATTGATTTTTAAAACCCAAAAAACAACACTGATTAAAATTCACCTGTGTGTTGGAGATTTTACCAACTATTTTGTCTAACCAGCCACCATTCAGGGTGGCAAACCTAGTGTATAGTTTGTTGTCAAAAATTCATTGCCCTAACTAAGCAGATACCCAAGTCCTACACTGGCAACCAAGCGTAGCGTTATGTGCACTTCACGACAGACTGGCTGGGTGCGCTTGTAATCAAAGATTTTGTACCCTGATATAACACAATACACACATTTTTGTATCACCGGAAATTCATACTCATTAAAATAAACGAACAACATTTGAGATGTCTTTCTAACAATTAGATAGATAAAATATCACGGATACATCATTCTACCCGAAATGTAGTTTAGTTCATAGGTTCTCAAAGTGCTCCGTAGAAATCCCCAGGGCTTCAAGAGAGAAAACCTTATAATACGGATACATCATCCTACCCAAAAATGCAGTTTAGTTCATAGGTTCGCAAAGTGCTCCATATAGATCCTCTGGGTTCCGAGAAAGAAACCTTTTTGAACTATTACTTTTCTTATTGAAATACTGACTTGGCTGATTTTGGTACTGTCAAAGCAATAACGCCATTAATTAATAAAATTTGACAACGGCGCGAATGGTACTGGTAAACGTAAATGGGGTAGCATTTTCACCCGAGTATTTTGTATTGACTCCGTGCACGTACATTCGCAGCGCGTGTTTTTAGGTCTCTGCGGTGTAATAGCTACGGTATTCTTGCAGATAGATTGCACTTTTCCCCTGTTAGAGTTTATAAAGTTCATGGTTACGCAGTGACAGATCGGTACAGTAGGTAAAGAATATTAACATGAGTTTAATGCCACGGACAACGGGAATTAGTACCAAAATATCGCGCTGTTATAAAAATTTTGGAAAATGTTTGTTTTCTTCAGAAAGCCAAGAAACCCATCCCAACACACCAAAAGGACGTCTGGACGACGTACAGAAAGGTGTGAAACACGAACAAAAGACACAAGAAAATATAAATAATTCTCAAAGCCCCAAGGGTAGGCAAGACTAGCAGAATTATTTACTGTTTTAATATGCTTATGCATTCCTCATTTAATCCTACTTGTTTCAGTGTTTATTGAAACACCATCCAGCCATCTTGTACCGTAGGTACCGTACCGGTATCCTAGCCATGTAGCTTGATAGTTTGTTGTTAACAATGACTGAATGATGCATGACCTAAAACATTGAAATACGGTACCCTGGCGTAATGTAGCCTACTATCATTGTATCAGAATGCTTACAAGTTTATACCTTAATTTACCGCTATATCTCGCCTTGCTTTTCAGTTCTATAGACGTCTATGTCCCAACTCACAAGGTGAGATTGCCCGTGCCATAGCTGCATAGGCCTATGTTCAAACCTCATTTCAGCATTTTGGGTTTTTGCAACTTTTCTCAATCTCCATCCTGTCGTTCCGTGTGCTTGTCATTTTGTACCACTATACTGTGGTAAACTTCAAAATAATGATCATAGGTTTCTGTATCTACAATTTGGCCTGTTAGTCTGTCGCTACAAAGCTCCTAACACTGCAGCATAATGTTGGCATTCTAGAATCCAAATTCATGTCATTTGCAGTTAATCAATTCTATAAACAAGGCTTAGTCAACTATGTTCATTTAGTTGTACACACCCTACTGCCCTATGCATTTTCTCAATTTGAGATTTTTCCACAGATAATATAAATCCATACACTGGGGAAATTGGTGGACCAGCAGGGCCCGAGCCAACAAGATATGGTGATTGGGAGAGAAAAGGAAGAGTGACAGACTTTTAGACTTGTTCATTTTCTACCTTGTTTGATTGTTTTGTGTTAAATATCATTTTTAACTATGATAAAAATTACAAAATAAACATGTAATATATAACTTTTAATGCACTGTGAATCTTGACTAAATATATAGTTTGTTATGTATTATATACTAATAATACTATAAATCTAAATTCTTTTCAATGATCAATTTTGGTATTCAAAATTGGCCTACTATAATGTGAAATGATTATTTTGCGAATCTGAAGTGAATAAATGTTGCTCTACTCTAGGGGTCTTCAACTTAAAACATGTCGCGGGCCACTTTTTGAAATTTATTGACTACTCGGGCCGCAAACCAAAGAAAATGGGTATCTGAATGTATTATGTTGAAATTACACTTGAATATAACAGCAAACGAGACATGAAACATATTCATTTACTTGTGCTGCATATTTGGTTTCGATTTTTGGCCTTATTTTTCGTTGGTTTGCTAGTCTTAAGACAGCATGCAAATGCTCGTCTGTTGGTATTGCTAGTTAATCTCTGGCCCACTTGCCATACCCATCACCTCACCAACTGTGTGAGAAAGTGGGTAAGCAATGCTGAAAGAAAGATTCTATATGAACATAGTAGCTTACATATTGGTTGGACATCTTCGGAGTGAAAATTGTTGTTTCTGTGTTAGGCATAATTTAAAATTAACTGACCAATAACGCTTGGAAATTAACATACCTCGTCATTTCACTGATGTGACTGTAGGCCTATTGATTATTTCGAGACTTGCTGGTAAGGCTGACCAGGAGGTTTCATATTCCTATTTTGCTTAATAATTGTATTATTTTTGGGTGCATCCTGATAGCAAAGAATTCGAATTATTTTTGTTTATTTAAACCAGGTCTATAGCTTTGCTAAAATCAACCATTATCATTCATTTGAAAATTTTCAAATATCTATTGTGTATGTTTGTAAAATATTTACAAACCCTTGGATAATTTGTATTTGATGTATGTGCAGGCTAGTTTAGATGGTCATATTGATAACATGTTTTATTTTTACATAATCTGTTACTCTGAAAGCTCTCAATCAGTAATATTATGCAGGCAATAGTTGCTGATGTTAATAATGTTGTATTTGATATGGAAGTTGCAATGGAACAACAACTGGGAGTTCAGCCCCTGCCTTTTCCTGGAATGGATAAGTCTGGGGCATCTGTGTGTCATTTTTTCAAGCAAAATGTCTGTGCTAGAGGTGTAAACTGCCCATTTCGTCATGTTTTGGGTGACAAAGCAGTTGTTTGCAAACATTGGCTTCGTGGGTTATGCAAAAAGGGAGATCAATGTGAGTTTTTACATGAGTATGATATGAGCAAAATGCCTGAGTGCTATTTCTACTCAAAATTTGGCCGATGTGACAACAAGGATTGTCAATATCAGCATATTGACCCTGCTAGTAAAATAAAGGATTGCCCTTGGTATGATAGGGGGTTTTGTAAACATGGTCCTCACTGCAGCAAGAGGCATAAAAGAAGGGTTATGTGTATAAACTATCTTATTGGATTTTGCCCTGATGGGAAAAAATGTAAATATACCCATCCAACATGGGATCTTCCTACTGTGGAACCGAAAGGAGCGAAATGTCACATATGTGGAGAATTTGGGCATAAAGTGGCAACTTGTCCACAAAATCCATATCGAACCTCTGAAGCTGATACTAACAAAAGCATGCCTAATGGAATCCATGCCACCACACCACAGTTTGGTGGGCTTGTGCTTCACATAACTCGACCAAACATGACTCCAACCATACCCATGCCATCATCGAATCTTGGTGCAGGAATACTAGGTGCGATGCCGAACACATCTCTAACTGGCTTGTCACCAACGTCTGTTCCTCGTATGAGACCCATGAGGGATTTATCAAGAGTCACTTGTTTCAAGTGCGGGAAGAAAGGACATTACGCTAATCGTTGTAATGAAATTGCTTCATTTCCAATGCCATTCTTGTCTAAACCAGCAACTTGAAGGAGTTTCTGATTGTAGAATTCTTTGAACTTGTGCTGTGGTTTCAAGTCCAAATGATTGCTTGAAAGAGTGAAGCAGATATAATTTCAGCGCCATGAGACTATATTCAAAAAAACATCCACATGCCTTGGTGTATGTATTCCCATGAAAAAGCAAGATTTCTTTGGGTAGCACACACAGCTTACATTAAACCAGTCTATTCCATAAGGAACACAATTTCATGCTTGTTTGGTTTGGTTGTCATATGGAAAACATTGCTAAATTGAGGTAATCCACAAAACTTATCTTGCTCTGTGCAATTGCCGGAGTTATCCTAACATCTCCGCATATAATTTGAACTGCCTTCAGTATTGCTGTGCTTATATTTATTTTATAGTGATCGGACGGTCCATGGGCACAAAATTAACTTATTGATTACTTCCATAAATTGTTCCTAAAAACTGATTTTCTCTACTGCGAACATTGCTTTCTATCATTCATAAGTTGTTCAATGTTTAATAACCTTTTTTCAGTGGCTTCGTAGCTTTCAAGTATCATTTCTTTTGGTAAATGCTCGTAACTTCACCAAATGTTAGGAAAATCTGGACATGGGAGTGTCAATTCAAGTTCAGACTCCACTCTAACAAATCCTTGGTAATGATTGTTTACATCTATGAATTTCTGTTGTATTGAACGAATATGTATTTCTCTATCTTGTTTGAACAATCTTTAAATACAATATACAAAAATGCGAGTAAAGAGTAATTGTCAACTGGACTTGGTCGTTAGAAAAATTAGTCAAGAGTACAGGTAGTTCAGATTTCCTATTTTTTTTTCTTTACATGCTAATGTAATTTTACTAGAATCGACGGATACACATAACAAACCAGAAACATTGACATGTCCTCGAATAAATGTTTAAAAGCGTTGGCAATGGCTCTGCGCGCTATTTTAAACAATAGAAATGACCCCAAATTCGTGTTTTGGCATGGCACAACCTGAATAGCTGAGGCCAT